TCCCAGAGACCAGCTGTAAGCCTGGGTTTCTTATGCAAAGGAGATGTTTGAATAAACCCCTGTGACTAATGAAATCTACAAGATCTTTGCATATCCTCTGACTGAAGAGGTAATTAACCAAAGATCAAATATAAGGGTATATATGCTTTATTTTTCCAAATATTTTTCTCTTGAAATCCCATCCAAGGAAAACAACATATCCCCACACTCTGTGTCCCGCCCCCATGGCCCCGGAATCTTGGTCTGCATCAGGCTGTATTTCTCCGTTCCTCATTCTGTGTGCCTGGTACTGCAGTTTGAGCCACAGCCACACCTGTTTTTAGTGAAACAGAGCAACACTGTCCGCGTGCGCATGTAGACGTGAGAAATGACTTTTCTTAGCATTGAATGTCTGTCTCCAGTCTCACATCTTCCACTCCTGGTGAGCTTGGAAGGAGAGAGGTGGGTTGTAAGAAAATAATCCTGAGATGGGGCTTCCTCTGACAGGATTCTCTGAGTATTAAATCTCAGCCTTGGCTGCGTTTTAGTATCACCTGGGAGCTTTAAAAAAAAATCCCAAGGCCCAGGGCAGTTAAACAAGAACCTCTGGGGACCCAGGCATCAGTGTTTTTCTAAAGGTGATCCTAAAGTGCAGCCAAGGCTGAGAACCATCGCTACGAGAATATCTGCTTTCCTCCCTCCAAAACGGATCAAGACAAAATTTTCCATCAGTTTCTCTGCGTTAAAAATGACTGAGTTCTCTTTTCAAGCAACTGCCATCCATCCCTCTGTCCCTCCGTTTGTTTGTCTGTCTATTTATGCATCCCATATTTTATTGAGTGTCTGCTCTGTGCCAGACACAGTGCTGGCTGTTTGTGTTAGGACAAAAAAAGTCAATGTCTTCAAAATGCTAAAAATTAGAAACCAGACTGGGAGGTGGGGGCCGCTGAGTGAATAGGAAGTCACAATCCCTTGTGATGAGGGATGTAAATCCAGGGGGTGATAGGGCGCAGAGGTGCTCCTCTAACCTCCGAGGGTCAACGGGGCAGCTTCCCAGAGGAAGTGGTATCCAGGCTGACACTTGAAGGACCAGTAGATGTTGGGCAGGTGAAGAGATGGGAATGGCCCGGGCAGGCGCGACACTAAGAGAGAAGTGGAAATCCACGCACGTGCTGTAACGAGCTGAGGGGGGCCAAGCAGAGGATGGGAGTGGGAATGTGACAGGAAGCCTCGAAGCACAGGTGGAGGAGGCCAGTGGGCCCAGATCACGGGGCCTCGGTAGTTATGTTAGGAGTTGGAACTCATCCCAAGAGTAGTAGGGAGCCTGGCGAGGGTGTTCATCAGGGGAGTGGCCAGACCACATGAACTCTAAGTAGATTCCAGGCTCAGCTGTACTGGAACATGAGATGTGAGCTTCTGAGAAAGCCCTTCTAAGAAAAGACAGGGCCTTCCGTCTCTTGCAGGTAAGGATGACAGATGAGGGATCTGTGCCCATGGCCTCAACCTCATCACTGACATTGGATGTCCCCCCACAGACCCTGAAAATGCCACGGGTCCCTTGGGAGTAACCAGCCTCTCCCAGGCACCCCTTGTTTTTTGCGGGGAGGAGGCTGAGGAGAAGGAGTACAGGTTTGGGGATCAGACAGGACCCACCTCCAGTTGTCACCATTAATAATAATCTCTGTTCTCTCAAGTCAGGCAAATTCCTTGGCCTTGTTTCTCCATCTTTACAATGGGGATATTTATGGCCCTTTTGTCATTGGTTTTTATAAGGCTAGAATTATACAATTCAAGGCCAGGAATGTATTTGGCATTGTTCTTAATGCATGGTCAGCACCATGATTGACACTTAGTGAACACCGATTCTTTTCCAGCTCCATCTTCTGGGGGCACTCCGTCTTTCCCCAACCCAGAGCTTTATGACCCTGAGCACTAGGAGGGGAAGGGAATCATAAGTCCTCAACCCATCCCCTCCTCTGCTGCCAACCCCCCTTTCACTCCACTCAGTTCTCAACCACAGCCGCCAGCCAACCTGAACCAGTCTTTGCCCAGGTACCCTTACGGGTCTTTTTCTTATGTTTCCTGCCTCTTGTGCAGGAGCCAAGCAGGTCTGACTTACCAACCCTCCAGGCCGAGTGCTATATGGAATCTTCTTTCAAATCCAAGCTCCTACGTCTCCCTCCTATCCACAACTGATAACCAGGGTCCGTGGTTGGCAAACTGCGGCTCTCGAGCCACATGTGGCTCTTTGGCCCCTTGAGTGTGGCTCTTCCACAAAATACCACGGCCTGGGCGAGTCTATTTTGAAGAAGTGGCATTAGAAGTAGTTTAAGTTTAAAACGTGGCTCTCAAAAGAAATTGCAGTCGTTGTACTGTTGATACTTGGCTCTGTTGACTAATGAGTTTGCCGACCACTGACCTGGGTCATATTCAGAGGTGCAGTTACAAAACTCTTTCATGTCCTCTGGGTCCCCTCTAGGTCTTTCAGGATCAATCCCCCAAAGCTGAGAATAGCCTGTGAGGCCTCACATGAGCTGACTCTCCGGACCCTTCACTGCCCACTGACCTCACTGCCTACTTCTGTCTCCCTCGCTCATTCCAGCCCAGTCATATCCGCTTCCCTCCCGCCAAGGACACTCCCACCCCAGGGCCTTTGCACCTGCTACTCCCTCCCTTTGGAATGCTCTCATTAACTGCAGACTCTCGCCCTCACTTTCTTTGGGCTTTTGCTTTTCTACCTCACCGAAATCACACACTCTCATGCCTCGCAGTCACTGTTTCTCTCACCTCCGTTTATTTTCTTCATGGTGCTTATTCACAGCCGACTTAGATACTTGATTGTCTATTTGTTTATTGTTTTCTCTCCTGCCCCCTCCATCAGAATAGGATTTCCATGAGGTCAGGGTAGACTTTGTTCAGTGTCACATCCTGCACAGCAGACACAGCATCTGGCATGTTGCAGGTGCCGGATAAATATTTGTTGAATGAGTGAGTTCCTGAACAAACTCATTACCTCATTCGGTCCTCACAACAGCCCATTTGACAGATGAAAAAATACTGATACCCGGGGTCTTGCCCACAGTTCCATGGCGGAGGGGAGACGAAGCGAGTCCCAGAGCCTCGGCCTTGGGCTCGCCTCCACTCCACACATGGCACATTCCTCTGCCGGCCCGTGATTTTCATACCATCAGGATTTCCCCCAACCTTTAGCCCGAGAGGAAATGATATCGCAACTGGGAGAATACCCAGAGGGCTGGGAGCTGGCAGCGAACGCCCCGGCAGCTGCAGGGAGTGTGTGAGTGGATTCTGAGTTGGCCAGAAAGGCATCGGAACGAGCAGGATGAAGGCATACAAGAATGTCAGCATGCGCCTGGGCCACCGCCAATGTCAGTCACCAGAGAGGAAGAGGTAGTCTGCACATCAGGAGTTGGGATGCGGGACCACAGGGCTGTCTCCAGGGGTTGTCTGGGGCTAGACTGTGGGCTTCCGTGTTTGGGACCCTTTTTAGCTGTGGGACGTGGGGAAGGTCGTCAGGCTGTCCTGAACTCTCAGCTTCCCAGGTGGGATCCACAACCCTTGGGTAATGATCTGGTGTCGCAGTTTCCGCCTCCATAAAATGGGATGCCACTCTTGTCTGCCACTGAGTATGGTGCCCAAGAGTCAAAGGGGATGTGGGGAAACTGCTTTGGAAGTTGCAAGTTTCTAAATGAAGGTAAGAGATGATCTTGCATTAGTAAACAGATTGTCCTCCAATGGGCCTGGTGTGGATTCATGTGTATTATAGTCTCTCATGGCCCCAGGTTTTGCCCTCAAATCTGCTTGCTGGTGTCACTACCCATTCAGTTTTTCCAACCTCAACTATAGGAGTCCTTGGTGGCCCTCCTCAGTCCCATCAGCCTCTCTCGTTGCTCTGCCTCCAACTCCACCTCTAGTATGACAGGTGCCCAACATCTCCATTGCACTGTCCAGCTCATCCACTGCTGTCTCTCCTCTGGACCTTCACAAGGCTCCTTACTGGTCGCCTGGCTTTCTCTTTTGCCTGCCAGAGAGATCTTGGTAAAACATAACAGCACGGCCCACTGTCCCTCTCCTGCTTTCTATCCTACCCACTTCGGCCACCATGTTGGGGCTTCATTAGGCCAAGTCTATTCCTGATCCAGGCTTTTTCACCACCCTGCCTTCTGCTGGGTGGCACTGACCTGGATCTCCGAGTGTCACCTCAAGGGCCTTTTCCGACCACCTTCTGAGCAGCTGCTCCAATCATGCTTCCCCACATCCTGAATCTGATCTTCAGAGCATTTTCTGAATCTGCAATGATCTTATTTATTTTCTTACTGTTTATAGCCCACCCATTTAGAATGTCACCTCTGCCTGTCTTGTTCATTGCTGGATCCCTAGTGACTTGCCGTGGGTCTAAAAAGAATTGGTGATTGACCGTGTCCCTGGTGGGGAGGGATGTGAGCCGGCTCATGGATCATGGCTACTGACAAGCATCGTTGTCCTGCATGGAGGCAGTGTCCTCAGAGCCTGATCTACAAAGCAAACAGAGCAGCTTCTAAAAGGAGACTCACCCCGAAGAAGAACCAAGATGCCTGTTTCCGCCAGGGCAGCACAGCTGACTTCCTGTGGGCTCCATGACAGGGGGCCTCCAGGAGCGTGTCCTGTTCGCATTCGGGCTTTCTCGTGGAGGTGGGGGTGAGGGAGCTGATGTTGGGATTTGCTTATTTGTATATTTGACTTCAAGGGTCCTTGAGCTGATCCAGGAGAGTTTATAATTTGTAAATTATATGCATGCTTATTAAAAATAAGCAGCAGGGTTGGTTTTTGTTTTTGCTTTTGCCTTAGTATCTAGAACAGGTCCTGGCACACGGTAGGGGCTCAGCAGACCCTTGTTGAACAAATCTTGATCATTCTGCTGGTGATTCTGATCCTCCCCCGGGTGATCAGAGGTCTCCCTCCTCTCGGTGCTGGTGCAAAGAAGGCTGATGTTCCTCATGGATTTTTCTTCTCCTTTCCTTCAGGTGGACGTGAAGACCAGTCATTCGAGAGCTGGCCAAATGCTACAGTTGCGAATGCCAGCAGCGAGGAAGCTGGAAAGGGTAATGTGAGGCTCACCAGGCCTTTGGGTACTTAAAAAACAACAACACAAAAACCTTTGGTAAATTTCACATAAAATTTACCACTTTGACGTGTACCATTGAGAAGCCTTACGTGCATTCACAATGCTGTGCAGCCATCACCATTGTCTAGATCCATGTTGCTTTCAACACCTGAAAAGCCAACTCCATACCAACTAAGCAGCTGCTCCATTTCCCCTCTCCACAGCCCTGGCTTTGGGAACTCTTATATTCCTTTTATCTTAGTGGACTAAGAAGTCCTGCAGTCTGTGGGCATGAGAGAGTGAGTCCTTTTGTTGAGTGGGGTGGGCTGGCTGCCAGAGAAAGGGATAGAGTGTGGCACTCGGTTGCTCAGAGACTGTACTGTCTTTCGTTAAACTCTGCGATCTGTACTTGACCTTTCTCTCTAGAACTTGGCTTGTGCGTTGAAGCCCCTGAGGCCTGAGGGGAGGGATGATGAAGTTTGGGGTCTGACAGAACAAGTGGGCATGGGAGGGAAGGAAGGAAATTAAGCTGGGTTAGGGGCTGGGGCGGGGAGGGTGTAGGCTGGAGAAGCCTGGGCTGTAGGGGAGGCAGCAGGTGAGGTTGTGGCTATCTGTTGGGCAAGGCCACTGATCAGCAGGTACCTGCCTGGAAGTACCACCACTTCCTGTCTGCATTATGCTCAGGCCTGCGAATGCTCTCCAGGTTGTAAGATTCTAGCCTGGCGGTAATGGGAAGGTGTCTCTCTTTTGGAGAGCTTTTCCTGTTCAGAGGCCTACTTTCTACATAAGATTAACACAGAGCAAAGGGAATAATTTTAAAGTGCCAGGATCCTAAATTTGGGGGATGACTATGTAGGGATGAAGTAGAAATTATTATTTGCTTTATTTTATGTTTTTGCTTTAATGTTACTTTATATTTCACAGATACACATGCATATATACATAATTTCACACAAATGCATATGTATAATTCACACAAATGTGTAAATGTGATGATATATAAATTACAGACTTTTTCAGTGTTGTCTCCTTTTCTTCTTTTCTTTTTAATTTGGTTACCTCCTTCTCTTCTTTTTTCTACCCTTTCCCAGGTAATGCATGCAAATTACTTTGTATATACTCTTCCATGCATATATATGCACATATATATTTATGTACAGATTTATACATATACACATACAAACATATATATAGCTATAAACTTTGTCATTTAAAAAAAATGGGATCATATTTGATACATGTTTTTTATGTATCATGCTTTTCCCATTCATCAATACCTTATGGAAAACTTGTTATAACTTCAATTTGTTCTTCTAAATAGTTGCAAAATATTACTGGTATTACTAGACCATCATTTATTCATCCTTTCTTTACCAATTAATATTCTCTTTAGGCTTTTGCCATCATGAATACTGCTGCTAGAATGAGTTTCAAAAGGTGTAACCATTCACATTTCCGTGACAACTTAAAATTGGGTCCCTTTCCCCATATCCTTTCTAACTCTAGGCATTATAGTTATTTTCAGTAATGTGAATGGTAGCTTAGTGTTACTTATTTATGTTTCTCTGACTGCCAGTGACTTGGAGCATCTTTTTCTACCTCTGCCAGTGATGTGAGTGTGCACTTCTGTGACTCAGCTCATCCTGTCCTTTGCCCATTTAAAAAAAAATATATTTTTATTGATTTTACACAGAGAGGAATAGAGAGTTAGAAACATCGACTAGAGAGAAACATCGACAAGCTGCCTCTTGCACTCTCCCTCCCCCCCCCCCCCCCCGCAACACTGGGGATGTGCCCGCAACTAAGTTACGTGCTCTTGACTGGAATCGAACCCAGGACCTTTCAGTCCGCAGGCCGATGCTCTATCCATTGAGCCAAACCGGTTTTGGCCCTTTGCCCATTTTTTTTTACTCTGTTTCTGATGCCTGTCTTGTCAATGTGACCTCTTTCAGAGAGAAGCAGAGATACTTTAGCTCCCACTCCTTGCCACCACCATTCGACATTGTGCACTCGTTTCTCAGTCACACAGTTTGTTTCTGGAACCAGGAGCCAGGCCCCCTTTAGCATCTGTGTTTAACTGCTCTGCTTACTCAGAGGTATTTGGACTTGTGCACTGTCAGGCTCCAAGACACCTGACAAACTCAGTGGCACTTCATTTTGGCCTTGGATGACCAGCACTTAGAGGTGACCATGGAGCATAAGGTGTGGGGATGAAAACAGAGGGGCTTGCCATCACATGCAGTGACACAGATGCCAAACCAATGTTTCCTTCCTGATTTTAGTGATTTACTGTCGCATAAAAACTACCCCCAAACTTAGAGACTTCAAACAGTGATTTGTTATCTTTCATGGTTCTGTGGGTTGACTGGGCTCAGTGGTGTGGTTCTTCGGCTGACGTTGGCTGAGGTCACTCATTTGACTACATTCAGCTAGAAGCTGGGAGGCCAAAAGAAACTTTAGTCACAGCCTTGGTGCTTCAGTGTACCTCCCCACATGACTCCTCTATCCACGTGGACTTTCACCACTTAGTTGTCTAGCTGGAGACCTTTTTTATAGAATGGCAGCTAGCTTCCTAGAGGGAGGAAGCAGAAGCCATTAACTGACTTAAGGCCTGGACTCAGAACTCCCTGACAGTCACATTCCAATGGTCACAACAAGCCAAAGTCCAGCCCAGGTTCAAGGAGAAGAAAAAAGATTCCATCCCTAATATGATAAGTGGCAGAAGCTCACAGGGATGACAGAACTTGCTGGTGGCTGTGTTTGGAGACCATCCGCCACCTTCCCTCATTGTTTCTCACCTGCTCATCAGCCATAGATATTGTCAGGGTTTTTAATATTTACTAATTTATTGTAAACTGGGATAGTCAGACACACTTGTAGCTATGACCTTGGGTATGTTATCTAACTCCGCATAAGAGATTTAGAATTAGAAATAATGTTTATACAAAGTGCATAGCCAGATATCTGTTGTGTAAAAGGTACTCCATGAATGTAGCTCCTCCGCTGCTGCTTCTTCTCTACCTCTACCTCCAAGAATTATATTATCCAGCATTGCAAGTGCATTGTCCACCTCTGGACTGGAATCCCACAGCTGTTCAACAGCTGCAGAGAAACACAATTAAGAGGGACAGGAAGGAATAAGGCTGCTGCAGCCCATTAAAATTCTGTCTCCGGAGGGGTTGTACACAATACCACACTGCAACGAGAGACCTTCTTGGTTTTTTTTTTTTTTTTTTAAGGAGGATGATGACAGCTTTCCCTCAGCTACCACGCCTCAAGCTCCTAAAGCTGGCTAAATCCATAGTCTGCAGCTCCTCAAATGACCCTGGTTTGTTTGAAGAGGATAATGTCAAGGCCAGGCCGATCCTCTGATCTGTAGGACAGCTTCAGAGGAGCAGTTCTTTAAGCATCCGGGACAATCCTGAGGGGAAAGCAGACCCCAAAGGGGAGGTGAGGGCAGGCAGTGCTGGCCTGTCCGTTCAGCCTTCTCCTCCAATTGACACTCCTGGGCACTGTCAGGAGGTGCTTCTTGTTTTGTTGAAATTAAAGATAAGGTGAGTTGTGTCAATCTCAGATTCTCCTTTCATCACAACCTGCACCCCCATCCCCACCCCCGCCACTCCAGGAAAAAGAAACCGCCCAGGCAGGAGAAAGGATCTGAGGGGAGCCCTGGGCTTGCTGGCTTCAGTGGCTGGGTTATTTCCTGGTTTTATGTGTCTCCCCTCAGCCCTGACGGGGGGATTTGTGCTCCCAGCTCTGGGGAGGGATAGGGGTTGGGAGAATTGCTCACTGAACAGACGGTCTAGTCTCAGGAGCCTCTCTCTCCCAGGAAATGGGAGCCCAGCCTGCATTTCGGGGCTGATAATAGGATTAATGAAATGGGTGGGTATGTGACTGCTCCATGAACGAAGCCATGATTGTGCTCGGCCTGATTTCCAGAACCATATTCATAGTAGAGGATGGACCTGTCACTTCCGGGAACAATCCCTATGGGCTTTGTGCCCAAGCAAATAACAGGATCTGGTTGCACCAGAAAATAGGTAATCCTACCAACTTAGGCACAAAGCACCACTCAGTGTCACACCCTGAAAGTCACTTACCTCAGCGTATCTGGGTGTAACCGCTGAGCCTCACCTTACGCATTCTTTCCAGCTTCTCCCCCAATGCAGACCTGGATAGTCATCACTGCAGCTTGCATTGAGTCCCCACCACAGCGGGCATTTGACATTTATTACCTGCCCACACCACCACCATGCAGCAGAAAGGAAAGCTCAGGGGAGGGTGGCTTATCCAAGGCCACACAGGTGGCAAATGGCAATGTTTACCCTGCACCTAAGTCCCTCTCACCCCACACTCTTGCTCTTAATCGTGGGGCTATCTCAGTGGTCCTCAAACTAACCTGCCCTTGCAAATCACCTGGAGAGTTTCAGAAACTACAGATGCATTACTCCACTGGAGGCCCATTGAGTCAGCACCTCAGGGCAGGGGACAAACACCAGAATTTATTTATTATTTATTTTTTTGTTGATTTCAGAGAGGAAAGGAGAGGGAGAGAGAGAAAGAAACATAAATGATGAGAGAGAAGTATTGTTCGGCTGCCTCTTGCATGCCTCCTATTGGGGATCAAGCCCACAACCTGGGTATGTGCCCTGACCAGGAATCAGTGTTGACCTAGGAAAGAAAAGGTTCATAGGTCAACACTCAACCACTGAGCCACACCAGCCAGGCCAGCATTTTTTAAAGTTCCCCAGTTGATTCAAATGGGCGTCTGAGAACCACTGACGCAGTGAGGAGCTGCTCTCTTGTCGCTCAGGATTGCCACAGCTCTGGCCAGGTGCACATTTGCCCATCATCTGTGGGCTGCGGGTTATGCAGATGGCTGGACCGTACGGGTGTTTATTTCCAGTGTGGGAGTGATCCGTTGACTAATTGAAAATTCACAGTTCCTCGCTTGAGAAGGCCGGGTCAGGCCTGGTTCTGTTTATGACACGGCTGTGCCTTCCGCTGTGAGCATTGAATAGTTATGGCCGCTCTGCTTCTTTGGCGAGGACAGGGTCCACTCCAGGGTCAGAGGATCTAAATAGACTTCATCCCCTGCCCCCAGCGTGTTAAATCCTTTCAGACCCCCTGAGCTCCTTTTTAAATGCAGGACTCCTGGCCATAATACATAATTACATCCTTCTATTTGCACTCCGGTTCCAGATAGTAGTAATCCAAGAAAATCCAATAATGACAGTTGCATTAAGATCCTTCTTCCAGGCTAAGCGGAACATCTGTTTAGACATATTTTTAATCGGCAAATGCTTCCTGTGTTGAGTCCTTGGCAAATTAAATTTCTCACCGGACCGAGGGGGAAGCTGTCATTCAATAACCCATCTCTGGAAATTACAGCCTGGTTTCTTTCCAGGTGCACTTAAGACTTTCCCATGCTGACTCGGCTGCATACCGGCTCTGACAGTACTAGGTCACATGCGTGTATAACACAGCCTGTTGGGGGAACAGGCTCTGTCTTAGGGTGAACGCCCCCGAGAGAGAGAAGTATTCTTGTCCATCCTCCAGAGGAGAGTTGGAGGCTGAGGAAAATTAAGAGACTTGTTGAAAACCATATGGGAAATGAATAACAAACTTCCACTTGCTACAGCGCTGCCTGTGATTACTTAAGACGTGATGATTCTCAGTATTTAAACGTTAGGGGTTTGGGGGCTGCCAGTATTCGGAAGAGGTTTCCACCACAGGGTGGTTTGGACTGTGGGGCTGTTTATTTTTAGCATAACTCACCCATTCTTTAATTCATTCAAACTGTGAAAACCCAGACCAGGCAAAGTGCTGGGTGTGAACAGAGTGTGAACAAGCCAGTGACAGATCCTGGCCCCCGGGGACCTTCCAGTCTACTGGGGCAACTCATATTGGAAATCTGGGTGCAATTTGTAGTCTAGGGCTGAGACAGCGAGTTAGAATATATGTAGAGGCCAAGCAGGTAATGTCAGTGGGTGAAATCGGCTGGCTGGGACAGGGGGACGTGGGAGAGAAATGCCGGAAACTGACTATGGGGAGGAGGTGCTACTTAGCTCCAGTGGGTTGTAAATGACAGAAGGTTAGCTCACTGTTGCCAGGTCTTACCGTTTTTAAAGAAAAACTAGAAAATCTGCATGTTTATGTGAAATATTTTGATTTTTAAAAATTGGCTACTGAAGTAAGATAAAAAACAAAACAAACAACAACAAAAAACACACAAAAAAAACAAAGTGTGGGCCAAAAGTGTTCAGGCCAAACAAAACACATCTGTGGGTTGGGTTTATCCCAAGAGCTGCAAGTGCATGACTTCTAATCTAGAAATTCTAGCGGTGAAACAGTTCTTTTCAGGTTCAAAAATGGATTACATGCCAATTTTTTGGTTCTGGTGATATGACCCGTTGAACAAGTGGGGACCTCTTATACAAACAGAGACCTGCTGAAAAAACATGGAACCTCTTCTCCACCCCAAATTAAAAATACGGAGTTAAGCTCAAAGGAAGGAATGGGAAATTGCCCTGATCAGAAGAGAATGGGAAACATAAACACATGGAACGAACCTTCGGATGGAGGCAAGATTGCAGAGGACATTGAAACTGACAGGAATGGCAACAAATCTTGCTGTCTTTCCTAGGCTCTAAGTGGGGGAAAATATCTTCTATGAGAAACTGAATCCCAAAGCCTGTCGCTCATATAGGTATATGTTCTCAAATTATATTTCCTATTAGTAGCCCTGCGCACGAATCTGTGCGCCAGGAGCTCTCTGTGGGGCCTAGCCTCACCGCACCCGCTGCCCAGGGGCTGTCCATGGCCCAGAGGCCCATCTGTGCCCTGGCCTGGCCAGAGGACCATCCGCGGCTGGGCACAGAATGCTTGCCTCATCACCATGGCAACGAAGCAAGTATTCCACCAGGCCGCTCACGTTGCCTGCTCTCAGCGGCTGCCTTCCCCCAACCCTGGGACTGGGGACTCCTGCAGGGCTGAGAGGACTGGGTACTGCCATCTTGTGGCTGTGGGTGCTGCCATCTTTGTGATGGAGTGATGGTTAATTTGCATATTACCCTTTTATTAGATAGGATATATGGAAACCTTAAACTTAGACATTAATGTAATGATGGGTCTAGGATCCACAGCATTCCAAGAACCCTGAAAAAATGAAAAACGGGGTCACACTCATGATGAGAACCTAGAGGACTCCTGTGGAAAGGAGTCATTTCACCTAAAAAAAAAAAAACTAAATAAAAACGTGAGAAACACAGAAAAGGTATTAATCTGTAAGGAAGAATCAGCAGAGACAATAAGTTGTAGAATTAATACCTCAAGGTATGGAAATAATAGAACAATCTGTATGACATTAAATAAATATACATAAACTAGCTGAAGATCCAGTGGAAGAATCTGAACCCTGGTGGGAAAAACAAAACAAAAGAACAGGCAAATTTAGAAGCCCCTAAATAGGGCACTAGAAATGACAACGATGTTTATTGAAACTAGAATGGGATAAACATTATATTGAACACAATTGAAGAGAGAATTAGTGAAGTGAACAAGGAAATTTTAGGTGAAAAATTAGAAAATGAACATGGAAATTTTACCACGGAGATAAGGAGACAGAAAATGTGAAAAAAAGGCATAGCAACATGGAGGATAAAATGAGACTGTTTAAGGTGTAAAGATGCCAATTCTCTTCAAATTGATCTATAGGTTTAATGTAATTCCTATAAAAATCCCAGCATGGTTTTATTGTTGGGATAGAGAAGCTTATTCTAAAATTTACAGGGGAAGACACATAAACATTTATTTGAAAACATAGCTAAAACAATCATGGAAAAGAAGTCTAAAGTAGGAGTACTCACTCTATCTGATATTAAATACCTCACTGTATAACTGTAGTAATCAAGACAGTGTCATATTAGCAGAGAGGTAAACATATAGATCAATAGCACAGAATAGAGGACTCAGAAATAAACCCAATTGCTATATGACTCAGCAACTCCATTTTTGGATATTTATCTCAGAGAAATAAACTATCTTCACACAAACTGTAGTGCATGAATGTTCATAACAGCTTTATTTGTAATAGAAGTCCTTCAAGAGGTGAACGGTTAAACAAACTGTAGGACATACATATCAGGGAATACCATTAGCATCAAAAAGAAACTATTGACATATGCAACAACTTGGATGAGTCTCCAGGTATTGCACTGAATAAGGAGAGCCAATTCCCAAAGGTCATATACTGTAGTATTTCATTTTTATAATAGTGTTCAGATGATAAACACCAGATTAGTGGTTGGGAGTTTAGGGATGGGTTGGAGGGAGAGGAGTGAGGAAGTGGATGTGATTATGGCAACATGAAGGACCCTGGATCCTTAGGATGGAGCTGTTCAGTATCTAGAATGTGATGGTGGATTCAGAAATTTATACATGTGATAAAACTGCATCAAACTCACTCTCCCCACCCCTTCAACCCCCACCTCCCTACACACACACACACACACACACACACACACATACACACACACACACATACACACACACACACACACACACACACACACACACACACGAGTATACATAGTACTGGAGAAACCTGAGTGAGACCAATTGATTGTGTTAATGCCCATAATCCAGTTGGAATTGTACTATAGTTTTTAAGATGTTTCTATTGGGGAAAACAGTAAAGTATACTTTACTCTCTAGTATTTCTTGCAACTGCGAATCTACAATTGTCTCAATAAGAATTTCAATTTACAAAAACCAAGTCATATTCAGTGAAAAAATTGAACTTCAACATTATGATTCAGTTTGTTCCTTCAAATATGGGTGGCTTTGAGAATAGAGCATGCGCCTAACTTGGCTCCAACCCAAAGGGTTGTGAGATGTCTGTGCCCACTTAATTCTGTGGTCCATAGGCTGCCCTCGAGCCCCATATGGTCTCATTCAAGGCCTCCAGCAAGCCAAACTCACTCTCGTCATAGGCCTGGTACACTTACCACACTTGTGCTTGCCCTGTCTGGAAAATTACTATCCATGGGTTCAAAACCCTGATCAGTTCCAATGCTCCCTTTAGAACACACGTTTGGTGGATTCACGGATACTCTATCTTAACCATAATGCATAGGATGAATCAAAAGCAAAGCAAATGGCAGTGTGACTCTCTTGCAGACGGCGAGGAGAATGCCATGTTTCTGCAGAGTCCTGGGACCTCGAGTGCCAGAGCTGAGACCTTCTCTTCCCGGGTCCGAAGAGCCACAACCTCCAGGACAGAGAGAATATGGCCCGGAGGGGTCATCCCCTACGTCATTGGAGGGAACTTCACAGGTCAGGAGCCCAGATGAGGCCTACTTTGGGAGTTGGTGTTCGGTCTCTCTGGGTTGACATAGTCTTTCCAGGAAGGACTCGGAGGGATGGAGCAGCTGTGGGGTCACAGTAGTCCTACCTGCCAACTCTCTCTCATGCAAACAAGGTCTCATGCACTAGGTACAGGGAAACTGCAGTCTTTGTTGGGGTGATGCCCTCAAAGGTGGCCCCCTGGTCCCCGAGGCTTCATGCAGGGGTGATATATGTTCCTGGTCTTGAAAGCTAGACAGGGTTTGCAGGCAGAAGGAAGAGTGTGAGCAGTTACACAGGATGGCTCCCCTGTTCTCTGCCTGAGCACCCTGGATCACTCCCAACCCCAGAAGTACTCCAGACGGCCACCAGAGGGAATAGACATGGTTAGTCCATCTGGGTCCAATTCTGGCCGCAGCACTTACCAGCCGCATGCCCTGAGCCCGTTACTTAGTTAACCCCTCCTGCCTCAGTTCCCTCTTCTGCCAATGGGACGATATCCTCCACTCTATAGGAGTGTTTTGAGAATTAAATGAGTTAATTTAGATAAAGCACTTAGAATAGTGCCTAACACGTAGTAGCTATTTATTATCTGTTATTGGTATTATTATCTTAACATGTGTAAGTCATTCATTCAGTGGCTCCCATCACCACTGATGCAACGGAGAGTCCCGGCCAGGACCTTCGGGCAGCCCTTGTCCTCCCAGCTAGTGATATACTTTGTCTCCTCCTCTTTCCTTAGTTGCTGTGCACTAGCCTCACCTGTTGTCTTTCTTTTCCGGAACGTGCCCACCTCCTTGCCACCTTAGCACTCTTGCAAGTGCCCCTCTGTCTGCCTGGAGTGTTGTTTCCCCCATCTTCCCCTGGCTGGCTTCCTCTGATCACTGGAGTCTCTGGCCAATGTCATGTCCACAGAAAGGCCTTCTTTGACTCCCCAACCAGATGCCCTCTCCCAGCACCTGCTTTATATAGTCGTTCTAACATTTGGTATCTTAACTATGTTCTTTTAGACCAGAGTGCTTTTCTGATTAAGGATTTCTATAACCTTCATCAAAATAAACTGATTTTATATAGAGATCTTTCTTTACACAGAGATTTTTTGTTATCCTGTAATTAGTGGGATCGCTATTTCGGTGAGTAATTGAGCTATGGACAATTTGAACTTAAAGTATAAAGATGTAAAAAAAAAAAGGGGGGGGCAGCTAAGCTACTCTTTGTTCTATATCAGTGGTCGGCAAACTGCGGCTCTCAAGCCACATGCGGCTCTTTGGCCCCTTGAGTGTGGCTCTTCCACAAAATACTACGGCCTGGGCGAGTCTATTTTGAAGAAGTGGCGTTAGAAGAAGTTTAAAAAATTTGGCTCTCAAAAGAAATTTCAAACTGTTGATATTTTACTCTGTTGACTAATGAGTTTGCGACCACTGTTCTATATGAATGTTTCTAGGGAAAGTAGGACACCACACCCACGTCTTTTAGGCTGAGAGCCTACCGTTGGTTGGTTGGCTGTTGTTTTTTTTTTTTTTTTTTTTTTTTTGCAACAAGGTCACTCTAGAATTCAGATCCACCAACCTCCGTACTTTCCAAACTATTTGTCTAGCCCCTCATCGCTTCTAGTAAGATCAAAATAGTCTTCTTCATCTCTGATTGGTAGATTTTGAAAAGAATAGTTACGGTATTCCTTATTTCTAATTAGCAGCCTGGAGTTTACAACTACTTTATTCTTACTCCCAGACAATTTACTTACTGTTTTATTTCTCAATACATTTCTAATCAAGGAAATATGAACACAGGTTCAGAGAAAGCATCAAATTCACCTGTTTTGAAAAGCTTTTTAGAAAATCAGATTCAAGGTTGCTACAGAAAACACTGAACCCCATGCTAAGGTAGCAAGGATGTACATGCAAATAGAATTTTTAGAGCATAGGGGAATGCCCTCCAATGGTTATAAAATAAAATGAGGGTGTGGAATGTTGTGCCGGCGAGCTATTTCAGAAGCCTAAATTTTCCAATTTGGGTAACCTGTGTAAGATAATTTTTTCTAAGTTTAGAAAAGTACTTTCAATACAAAGGAAAAGCTGGGAATAAATCCTTATTCCTAGTACATTTCTACTTTGAGTCACCCAAACAAGCTTTTTTTTTTTTTTTTTTTTAATCATTGGCATAAGCTGTGTTGTAAGCTAGCTTGCATTAAAGCATCTAAGGAAAACATGGGCCCATGAGTGAAGAGATGGGTACTGGCCTTGTCATTTCAGGAAGCCAGAGGGCCATTTTTAAGCAGGCTATGCGACACTGGGAGAAGCACACCTGTGTGACCTTCATAGAGAGGACGGACGAAGAAAGCTTTATTGTCTTCAGTTACAGAACTTGTGGGTAAGTAAACGAAAGCTTGGACACCTTGGTGGGATCAGGAGGGGCAAATGATGCTGATGGCTCACGAGTCTTAAATTTTCTCTATAAAACCAAGTATTTCCAAGGAGCTATAATATGTAGGAGCCCGGGGTTTGTCTGAAACTCCCCTGGCCCTGAATGATCTCACCATCCAACGATAAAGCAGGTGGGTCAAGAGGGAGACTCCAGAAAGACCAGGGGTCTGGTTGTCCTGGCCCAGAAGCAATTGTGACAGGAATTGAGGGTGCTTCATATGGAGAAGTGGTTCTGAACCAATTTGACATCAGTGACCCCCTTGAGAATCTGATGGATGTAAATTCGTGTAAAATTCCACATGTAACTTTATGAGCTTATAGATTTCCTCAGGAAAACACGACAAATAACAAGGTAACTGGATTATGTCTACATTTATCCGTTATGCCAATAAATGTAAGTGTGATATACTGAGTTACTGACAGAAAATGCTTCTCATAGTGGCTTCAAAAACTTAAACCTAACTACCTGCTGTCTATATGAGATAACTACTGAAGAAAATGACCCAGGAAGGTTTAAAAATAAAAGGAAAGAAAGCATACGGGCAAATGCTAACAAAAAAAGAAAGCTGGGATCACAAGTTTTGTTATAGACAAAGCATTTTTTGTTTTGTTTTTAAAGTGTTTTTTTTTTTTTTTAAAGGTGAGACTTTATAATGAGAAAGGGTACAAGCTCCGGTGAGAATATAACTGTCATAAATCTTTATCAAAACGACATAGCATTGAGAGTCATAAAATAAACCCCAGGGAATTCAAGGGGAGATTGACGGAGACACGGCCAACCGAGGACTTTATTTCATTTCTGTCAACGCACATAGATCACTGTCAAGTTGACAAAAAATAAAAAATAAGTACAAATTTATAGAGATCTAGAAAAAATGCAATTAATAGAGTTATTTCTATGGGTATACTAGAAAGGTCAAGAACCTTTGGAGGTTATTTCTGTATTGGGAGGAGCGTTGGACAATGAGAGAACATTCAGCTCTAAAACTGTTTCTTTTAGACTCACACGCACACGCACACATGACACCCTGGCTGTTCCCTGACCTGCTGATTTGGGTATTTCTGCACTGTCCAGCTGCTGCTCCTATGTTGGGCGCCGAGGAGGAGGCCCACAAGCCATATCCATTGGGAAAAACTGTGACAAGTTTGGCATCGTGGCTCACGAGCTGGGCCATGTGGTTGGGTTCTGGCATGAACACACCCGGCCAGACAGAGACCAGCACGTCACCATCATCAGAGAAAACATCCAGCCAGGTAAGCGCCTGCGCAGAGTCTGGAAGTTAAAGGCCAGGAAGGTGGTATCCCCGGGGTCAGGCAGGAGTGAAGGAGAGAGGGTTTGCTGGGAGCTGACCAGCCAGCGCTCATTTCTAAATACGGAGGCAGGCGTTTGCCACCAGCCTGTCACTGCCCATCTGTAGCCTTTCCTGGGAGGTCACCTACCCTAGCTTGTAGGTCAGAGCAGAAGCCAAATGACTTTCCGTGTTGTGAATGACAACGAAATCTAATTCTGTTTCCTAAGAGGAACAGAACCAACCACAACACTGTTGCAAGATCAAAGCGAAGCCAAAAAAAAAAAAAAAAAAAAAAAAAGTTCTGGTTGCTTTTACAAGAGTCATTTTTGCTGACTTAGGCAACCCATCTTTTTGAAACTGAAATACCATTAGGATGTGAGTACAAATAAAAACAACATTCCTGCCCAGAAACATTCTTCCCCAAGGCAGATAAAACGTCTAGATTTGAAAAAAAAAACAAAAACCTTCTTGTGTTAAATAATTTTACATAGACGTTCACATTAACCGTGAACGTTATCTGGTTGAAGAATACGGTTGCCTGAAAAATGCTTCCGAGAGTCTGAATTGTGAACTGTTTGGGGTTGAACTGAACTCTGATTTGTTTTCTTTTGTTCCTTCAGTAGCAAAAGCCGAGTCCCCCGCTCCCACCCCAATCAGATTGATAGCTAACCTGTCTGCAGACTTAGTGTAAGAGTTTGGAGTGGCACTTTGGGGAGAGGTGTTGGAGAGCGGGGTCGGGACTTATTCTAAGTTTCAAATTTCCGATCTTAAAAGCAGTTACAAGAACCTCCACCAAGCCGGGTATTCGGCTGACCTGGCTGACAGAGCTTTTGGAAGTCGCTAGGGGCCCTCCTCACCCCCTCTGCCTCCTTTCAGGTGCCCGCCTTGCTTTTTTTCAAAGGCCTTAACCGAGTGTTGTGTCACAGGTCAGGAGTATAATTTCTTAAAAATGGAAGCCGGGGAAGTGAGCTCTCTCGGAGAGACGTACGACTTTGACAGCATCATGCACTACGCCCGGAACACCTTCTCAAGGTCGGAACCTGCGCTTCGCCTCGTCTGCTTTATTGTGCCTGCCGCAGGCGTGGGTCGGACTCCTGGAGGTCTGCGGAGAGCGGGTCTCTGCGTGCTCCCAGCACGGTTGGCGTGTCTGTCCTTGAAGTGCAGTGGCCTCTGGGCGGCAGTGACATATAATCTAATCAGGCTCCTGCTAATAAGATTGAACCCCATTGTGAAGTGGTGTTCCATCATGCCTAGCAGCAAGCTGGAAAAGGGACGTTATTGAGAGGCCGGCCGCCGTAATATCCGAGGGGCTCTGTGCCGATGTCCACTTGGAGGGGGGTCTTCTACCGCAGCGGCCGCCAGCCGGTGGTCCATGGGCCACTGGTGGTCCGTGAGGTCTGAAAGGTTGGCAATCACTGTTGAAGTGGGCCCTCTGGCGTTTACTGGTTCGCCTCGAGGAGGCGAGGTGTACTGGAAGCTAGATCGTGTCAGAGCTGGGAGGGTGCGAAACCAGGGCTTCATTTCAGAGGCCAAGAAAGTGAGGCTCCAGCCGGCTCGAGGGCACACGGGGAGCTGGGGTTGGCGTGAGAACGAAGATCCAGCTCTCCTGGCTGCCGGTCACACACGATGGTCACTGAGATCCCCAAGGGCAGCCAGACCCGTTATTTGTGGGCAGGGTGGGCAGGATCTGTGTTGATGAGTTAGTATGGCGCCGAACCGGGTGTTAAATATTCCAATACTGCCCTGGCTTCCGGGCCGTACCGCTATTTTGTATAGAGAAGTGCTCCCTTCCCTCACAGGAGGTCCCTCAAAGTCTCAGTTCCCAAACCAGGCGCAAGAAGCCTCAGATTCCCACAAGGCAATGAATGCGGCCCCATCTGTCAGTCCTTCGCCCATCTGTAGCAGATAAATGTTTAATAATAAATAACAGATAAGTTATAAAGCAATATGAAGAGTTATGGCAGCTACGGAAACAAGACCCGAGTGACCAGCTTCTTACTTGGACCATCTTGACACTGGTTCCCTCGTGAAATCAGGGCCAAGTCTCCACATGGCAGCCTGCAGCCCCTGGGGCTGATATGGTGTGGCCCTACCAGTTCTTGCTCCATTTCCCAAACCTGCTGGTCACGCAGGGCCCAGCACCCAAGCATCCCTCACCCTGACCTCTGATCCTCCAGGAGGCTGCTGGCCTTTCCCCTCCACGGGAGCTTAGAGTTCCTTAAGGACCAGCTGGCAGACTGCGGGACTCTGGAGACCTAGGCTCTAGAACTCTCACGACATCCCTTCTGTCACATTTTATTGGCCAGAGCAAGGGCCAGAGCCAGCCGGGATTCAAGTGATGGAAAAACAGATACTACATCTTCCTGGGGGGAGTGGCAACTTCACGTTGCAAAGGGATGTGGATATGAGGAGGCATGAATCATTGTTGTGTCTACCACAACTACCTCTCACCTCTGCCCCAGCCTTCACAGTGGTTCTGGCAAATCCATTTCATAGCAAGCTGCTGCCTGCGTTGCCCTGTCTGCAGTTTTCTGCGTGGATCTTCAGAAAGCTCCTCTGTTCAGTGGGATGTTTATTAATGGTGTCCTTACTGGTGGACTTTCCTGCCCACTTTTTGTCAAAAGTTCCCCACTCCCTAACTCCCATGTCCCCTGTCAAAGAGCAGAAAATGGCCCATAGAACCTTTACTCCTTGGGGAGGCAGATGCTATTCCTGCTGATGGGAAACCCAGTCTTCGTGTGTCTTTATGACTGAGCTGTCTTCTTCCAACTTCATTCCCTTGAGCTTTTTGCAGCTCCTCCACCTCCCCTTGGTTGGACCGGGGCGTGGGTAGTGATGTCCTTGGAGGACTTGCTGGGCGGGGACCCAGGAGATAAGGAGACAGTTCTCTGGCACAGTGCTGTCTTTGTTTGGAGAATTCTGAGCAGACAGTTTTATTCCCGAAGGCATCTGCCAAACCCTTCCTTAGTTTAGCAGAATGTCAATGCTAAGAGTGGTCCTACATAAAGGGGGTGGGAGGGCGCAGTACTATGTGGTTTATACAGGGGACATCTCTTGTTGTAAACATCTTCCAGAACCTACCACCTTGCTGGCGGCTCAGGATGTGCTGGGACGAGGATAGGACAGGAATGGGGGAGAGAAGGGCTCAGGCAGAGGGTACACCATGCCCAAAGCATGAAATGTATCCACTTATCTGTTTAGGTCATTTTAGACTTTATTCGTGTGGAAGTAGAAGAAGACATAATGTTAAAAGGGACTGCTGAGACCATCTAGGCCAGAGGTCGGCAAACTGCGGCTCTGTTGACTAATGAGTTTGCCTACCACTGACCTAGACTCTTGATTCCAATAATTACAGGCCATTTTTGTTCCTTGTGATTAAGTCCCTATCCCAGTGGTTGGCAAACTCATTAGTCAACAGAGCAGCGAACCGTGGCTCACGAGCCACATTATCTCCTCCTGTTCATCACCGCGGTTTGCCGACCACTGACCTAGGCCATCTCTTATTGTTCAGAGAAGTAAACTGAGGCTCAGAGAGAGGAAGGGACTTGTCCGAGCTCACTCAGGTGGCAGAGCCAGGCCTTTACATCGAAATCTCTAGGCCCAGGCTCTCTCCAGTACCCCCAGTTCTCTTCATTCATCTCCCTTTCTATCTGATTACCCCTCATGCCAGCGAGTCCCCCAAACCTCAACCCCCACTTTTACCAGCTCATCTAGCTCTTCCTGACCAGCCCCTGGCCGGCTCACATTGTCCAGGTTCCCACGAGCTCTCTGCAGCCTCTCCAAGGCTTGTCCATGCTCAGCATTGCCCATTGCCCATTGCACCACTCCAGGGGGCACCGCTCACACCGTCATCTCTCTGAATGGCGTTCCCTGCAGTTTTGCAGCCTGGTGGCCCTGGGCCTGCACCTGTCAAGAACTTTGTGGACATGCTCCATAGACATCAGTACGGGAAGCCCTCGGGCCACTGGGCGAGGGCATATTTTTAAACTTGGCAGAGTCATTTTCCCATTGGAAAGGGCGCAGGCAGCTGATGAAATGGAATGCTCAAACGCCAGCATGAGAGCTGGGCAGGGAGGAGGAATGTCGCTGGGGTTATGGGCGAGGAAATGAAGGCTGTAAATCCCAGCGCGGACGCCTGACAGCCCTGACTTTTCTCTCTCCTTTCCCTCGCCTTCTCTTCCTCCCGCAGAGGGGTTTTCTTAGACACCATCCTCCCCCGCCACGACGACAGCGGCGTCCGGCCAACCATTGGCCAGCGCGTGCGGCTCAGCCAGGGAGACATCGCTCAGGCCAGGAAGCTGTACAAGTGCCCAGGTAACCGAACCCCCAGCGTCCCAGGGCCCCCAGAGCGTCCCCACAGCACGGCTCCACCGCCCTTTGCAAACGCTCCCCGTGGCTGGGAAACCAACTCGGGGGACTGGAGAGAGGACCTCTGGCAGCTGGGATGCCTCATGGGCCGCTGTGAGGAGGAGGGAGGTGGCATGGAAAGCTCAGGCGGCGAGGCTGTTGCCCGCAGGGAGCTGCAGAATAGGCCGCGGAGCCCACTGCTCAGCTTGTGGGACGTGCAGAGCTCTGGCACAGCCCTGATGCTCAGAAGAGGAAGGAGGCTTCTGAGAACCACAGTGCACCCCGTCACGGCGAAGGCGCCTCTCCTTTCTATGGGAGGAAAGGGTGTGTGTTGGCAGAACAAGAGGCGAGGGTGCTGCAGGAAGACCGAGCACGAAGGAGAATGCTTTTGAGAGGTGGGAGTCAGCTTCCCAACCCCTGGAAGGCGGAGGGTCCTCAGTGCTGTGAGTGAGGTCATCGCTGTGGTCTTGGGGCTCTTTGTCGTCCAGGGGGCCAGTCCGTGGCCCCCAGTCTGCCACTGACGTCTGGCAGTACACTGGGTTCTGAGCAGATGCCCACTCCTCTGCCAGTGCAGTAGCCTGCCCCCCTTGAATTTGCCCTCTTGTTGGCCCTATGACTTTGGCATCCTCACACCCCCTGCTGCCTCGGCTGGATGAGTTCATGTCGACCCCTTAAAGCTGCTGAGCTTGAATGCAAAGCATTGCTTCCCACAGCCAAGTTTTTACCACGGATGGGACAATGCATTGCAGCTTTTAGGGTGGAAAATGGTCCAGGAACCTTTTTCAACCCCGCCCCGGACCAGGCACACAGTTGATCCTGGGACAGGATATTTGAATAGGGGCCCTCTTAGACTATCTGGGTCATCACATCACCCTCAGCAGCAGGGTCACGGGGCTTTGCTCCATCACGAACCTCTAGGAAATACGTTCAGCCAGCTATTACTCCTCTGGGGGTGCATTAGGGCTGCTGGACAGGACACACATATCATGTGTCCTTGCTGAATTGAAAGAGAAACCTTATAGCATTCCCTGGGAAATGCCATCGTATTTATTTAGTTATAATGTATATGCCTCTCGCTTCCCAAAAGGATTCGAGGCAGCTGGTAAATACCGCGGGGCCATACAGTAACGTATCTGTTCCCGCAGAATGTTGATGATTATTCTGAAATAATTTCCATGGAGCCCTCGGGGTGGTGACTGCCAGGCATAATCCTCGTGATGCCTGGCAGTTGTTCGGTAACATGATACCGAGGCCCCGATATCCAGGACTTCCTGAGGTGAGGACGGGCCGCTCTCCAGCTAGCCCTTCCTGCAGCTCCAGAGACGGCAGCTCCCAGGAGTTTCAAGTAGTCGCTGGAAGCGGGAGGGGTTGCTGTGCAGAGTCTGAATTGCACACGGGAAAATGTGCCCAAGGAGCTCTTTCCCACGTTTTGGGGGTGTCCCCATAAGAGCAGGGTCCCCCAGCAGCCCAGTGTCTATGTCTTTGGGGTCTGAGTGCCGGGGGAGTCAGGGGAATGTGAAACCTGCAGTGTCCTAGTACTCATCCGGGTCTGAGGACAGATTAGGGAAGTATTTTCAGATACATAAGGACTCGGTTTTAGACTCATGGCCCTCAAACATCCAAGACCCGGATGGCTTGTTGGAGAGTGTTCCTACTTCCCAGGCCTTGGGTCATTTTCCCCCCCTCTGTTTTCTTGACTATTTGGTAGCTCATTTAGAGGTGGTTAGCAGGAAAAGAACAGGCAAGGTGGAAGCTAATAGCTGATATGAGGTTTCAAAGCTTTTTTTTTTGTCAGGCTGACGCTCTATCCATTGAGCCAAACCAGTTAGGGCTCAAAGCTTTTTTTTCCTTCTTCTTTTCGTGTTACCGACTTGGGCTTTCGTATCCTTTCTGCCACAGACAGTGTTATGGGTAATGGCAAGGCTGCTATGGGGGGAGCACTCACCATGTGCCAAGCACCGAGCTGATCCAGTCCACTTAATGCAGATGAGTTCATTAACTTTTGGGGCAGGCCACACCCATTTAACAGATAAGAAAACGAAGGCCACCGCCACACATCCTGCTGGAGAGCTGGGATTCAAACCCAGCTCTAGGCACACTCAGCCCTGAGAGCCTCAGAGGTGTTCCTGGGGCGTTCCTTCTTTGTGCCCAGCTATATTTTCACTTTTATTCGCCAGGAAGATGCCAGTGGGCCTGGCACACTTCTCGCCAACGCGTTCTGAAGGCCCTGGCTAGGAAAGGGGTGTGTCTGCTCGGCAGCCCTGTAGAGGGCGCTCTGCGGTGGGGGTGAGAGGGGAGAGAGAGAGCCTGAACCCTGGCTGTCCTTTTGCTTGTGCAGCCTGTGGGGAGACTCTGCAGGACACCACGGGGAACTTCTCTGCACCTGGCTTTCCAAACGGCTACCCTTCTTATTCCCACTGCGTCTGGAGGATATCGGTCACTCCAGGGGAAAAGGTAGGAACCTCAGGAAGTGACATAACAGTCTTTGAGTTGGATGACGTGTGAGGAGTTATTATTAACGCGAGTAATAACAGCTGCCGTGTTGTGGGCACCCACTGTGCGCCAGGCGCCGTGCTAGTTTGCTTAATGTTATTTCCTTCTGGGCTTTTCAGCCAGCCTCCCTCCCAGGGATGGAAGCCTCTATACTCAATGTCCATAAGAGTGGTAAACCAAGCCCACGGTGTGTAAAACTAAGTAAGTTCTATCCTTTCCCCTTGATAAGCGCACCATCAGAATGCCCTGGAAGGTGAGGAGCCCATTGAGAATGTCCCAAAGAGCTGCTGTGGCAGGTGGCAATATGGGGAGAGCGAGACACCGACCCACAGCTGCCCTCTCCTCCTCCCAGCCCCAGTCCCATCTCAGGAGCACCCAGAGTGACCCCTCAGCCCACACGCCTGAGCACCCTTCCCTCCTGACTTGCAAATAGCCATTGCTTGGCTGTCCTCCCAGTGGGAATGGACTGCCCAGGTGTGCTGTCTTCCCCCAGAAGGTTAGATCCAGGGCAGAGGTCCTTGTATGACCTGGAAGTGGACGAGTGGACTCGGGCTGTTTGGACAGGGCACCCCGGGCTCCTGGGCTCCTGCTGTGAGGCCTAGGAGCTCGACAAGCTCTGGGTGGGCATGTTCCTTTAGCTCTGAAGACCGTGACTCTTGAGAGCCAAGTCCAGGGCAGGGGCCTCTTTTGCCCTCATCCAAGGGGGCATGTTCGCTATCCTATGCAATGTGCATTTCCGTACACCCACTTCTATGGACATGCCATCTGAGGCTCAGACCCTTTCTAAATGACACAAGTTCACAGTGAGATATAGAACTGAGAACTGGGCCTCCGCAGTTCAAAACGGATTTTCCACATGACGCCTCTTTACTGTTCAAGTTATTTAAAAAAGAGAGGCGGCTATCTTTGATTTAATTTTTAAAAAATGTATTTTATTGATTTTTTGCAGAGAGGATGGGAGAGGAACAGAGAGTGAGAAACATCGATGAGAGAGAAACATCGATCAGCTGCCTCCTGCACACCCCCCACTGGGGATGTGTCCACAACCAAAGTAGATGCCCTTGACCGGAACCCAACCTGGGACCCTTGAGTCAACAGGCCGACGCTCTATCCACTGAGCCAAACCGGTTAGGGCAAGATGCAGCTATCTTTGAAAGGTTTGCTCTGTCACACCTGTCGTAGTTTGTCTCACAAATCATAATGCTGGGTTTTTGGGACTTCACCCTTCTAAACTCACCGAGGACAGAGGTTATTCACCTCCAGCACCTGACATAGCCCAGCACCCAACATAACCCATCGTACAGAGTTACACAATCAGCGTTTGTTGAATGAACGTGTGGATAGAGGCGTGGCCAAGTGAAAAACCTGCAGCTGGGGGTGCAGTGAGAGGTCTTGGGGATTTTTCAGGTGCCCATAGCCAACTTCCAAGTATCCCACATTCATAACATTAACAGATGTTCATTCAAACGCCACTATAAAGATAGTGTGGAAACTGGAGAGAAATGATGGCTCGGGATGATTGGCAGCATTTTCTGGGTGCTGTTCTTAGCATTTTATGTAGAGACCCTTGTCTAATCCTCACAAGTTCATGTGGAAAGTGCTGATACCACACTCCCTTTGCAGGTGAGGGAATGGACCTGCCCAAGACTGCTCAGTTTGTGGCCGAGCTGAGAGTGGAGCCCAGGCAATTGGACTCTGAGAGCCGGGATGCTTAAATATATTATTCCACAGAAGGGACAGGCTAAGACATTTGAACATGCATTCTCTCTCTCTCTCTCTCTCTCTCTCTCTCTCTCTCTCTCTCTCTCTCTCACACACACACACACACACACACACACACACACACACACACACACCTTTCCTCTGGCTCTAGAGCCTGAGAAACTCTAGGCCTGTCTACCTTGGGTGGATGCTCCATCCCCCCTGCCTAAGGGGTGGCAGTGGGAGGGAGGCCGGAAGAAGGAGGAGATGGAGGAGGAAGGGGTCTTGTAATCCCCAAATTGTTGACTTGCCCCTGTGTAGCCGAGGCTCTGTGATGAGTTTGAACTGTGTAAGACTGCACCCAGCCTTAATTGTTATTGCTAACTGGGGGCAGGGAGAATACATATCACTGAGATTCCTGCACCAATTATTTCAATCACTGCTTCACCCAACCTTCCCCAGAGCTGCTGGTAATTAGCAAGCTTGATTGATTCTCATTATCACCTCCTGTTCGTCACCTCTTCCCCTCTGGTCTTTATGGCTCACTAACATACTTAAAGTAATTAGCCCGAATAATTATCCCATTCATTCAGATCATGAATGTGTTACCAAGGAATTTGTAATAACATTTCCTTTCTAAAACTTTAAAAAAACAAAGGCTACGGAATTATATTGCAACCAGCTAGTGAGCACTCCCGAGCCAGTCCCCTTGGGTATAAGCACTGAAGGGGGGTGCGAAGGGAGTGCAAGGTACAATTTCTGTCTTCAGGAGACTTGGAATCCAGTTAGGCTCCTCCGCACTCCTGGGGAGTCTGATGTGATTGAAAGAGGAGCATTTGCTTGGCACAGGTATTGTTTATAAACGAAAGTGGGAGGAGGAAGATGCTAGAGAGAGTTGCACTGAAGGAGAGAGAGGTTCCTCAGGTGGGAAAAGGGGTAGGGTCAGAGGTGCGGGGGGTTGGAGCAGGGCTGCCCACAGTGGGACCCTGCAGAGCAAGAAGACCTGGGAAATGATGGAGCAGGGACATGCTGAGCACAGGCGGGGACATTGAGGGCGGGGCTGGACGAACCCAGACAGCTCAGTGCAGGAGAAGGCACGGGCAGCCTGCACCGTGGGATCCACGGGGGTGATGGGAGCCGGGAAGACTGAACTCCGGGCCACCTGCTAGCGGAGCCCTGAGCTGGAAGGACTGCGGTGGAGACCAGGGCCAGGTCATGGAAGCAGCGCCTGTGTGCAGGGTCACCCAGTCCCCTGCACCAGTGGGGACAGGGCGTCCACTGAATGGCCTCAGGATGGGCAGAAGAACTAGAACCTTCCTTTCCAGACCAATTGACCCCCACCTTCCAGCCTTCACTCCTAATCCTTTCCCTTCTGCTTCCTCGTTCCAGACACACATACACACACACACACACACACACACACACACACACACACACACGGAACTGGGCTGGGTGCACATACAATGCAGTGCAGGTCTGCAGGCACTTTTTTGCCTTTGTTCGTGTCATCCCTCTCACCAAAATGCTTTCACCCTATTTCTCGGCTCCCGGGACCCTTGACCCCCTTAGATTAATGACACCTCCTCCGAGAAGCCTTCTCCAGGGTCACCGGGCAGAATTCACTTCTCCCTCCTTGGGCCTGCTCCACACCTTTCCTGCCTATTCCTCTCTCTGCAGCATTTATTCATGCTGTTCTAATGGGCTTGACACCCCTGACCTCCCCCACTCTCTCTGATATCTCCAAAGGCAAGAACCTTGTCTTTCTGATCTTTGTCGCAATAGGCCAGCACGGACAGGCACACAGTAGGTGTAATGAATGAATGAATGAATGAATGAATGAATGAACGAACAATGGAGTAAACTGTAGAGAGGCACACACCACACCCTGGAGGAGTGAGGTCACGGCCGAGGGGACATTGATCACGGAGGTGCTCCGAAGCACTCAGGCTAACCCCAGGCCCTTTAGGATGATGGATGATGTTATAAGATCTTACCGTATCTCTGAACTTCACTGACCCCTTCCCTCCTTCCGCATCCCCGGGCTCAGTGCGTCCCGGCACAGCTTTAATGCATCTTGCTTTCTGTAAACCACCTAGCGACTTCAAAAGCTCGGCCGATTCCCCAGACAGAACCGAAGGACCCATCTCCTCTGCGTACCCCCCATCCTGCTTAAGGTTTATTATTGAATGTCACGCGGCTTCCTGTGAGTGTGTTTCTGAGGGGACGCTCTGACTGTGGTCTGAGAGCCCCGTATGCTAAGGGGTAATGTGAGAACGCCGGTATGCGAGATGAGCCTTTCACAAAACGCCTCAGGCTTTGTTGCCAAAACTCAACTTTATGGTAACTCTTTGCAGATCATCTTAAACTTCACGGCCATGGATTTGTTTAAAAGCCGCCTGTGCTGGTACGATTACGTGGAGGTCCGGGATGGTTATTGGAGGAAGGCCCCCCTGTTGGGTGAGTTGATTTAAGAAAGCCCTGGGAGAGGAGCGGTCGGATGCTCTGGGCGATGCTGTTAACGTTTGCGAGGGTCCATCCAGGCGGAGTCACAGGAAGCTCTCAGGGGTCTGTGTCATTGTAAAACTCCGAACATCCCATTTGGCCACACATGTTAAAAGCTTTTAAAACTGTGAATACCCTTTGACCCAGCAATTCCACTTCTTGGAATTTGTCCTGGATAACTAATTAAGGAAGTGTGCAAAGCCCTAGCTACAGGGATGCTCACTGAAGCAGGAAGAATCGAAAACAATTTACATGTTCAACAGCAGGGGCTAGCGGAATAAATTTATGATTCATCCCCTCAATGGAAAACTACCCAGCCATTAAAAATAAAGTTGGAGGTGACCCTTTATTGGTACAGAAAGGTGTTCGTTTGCATTGCTACACCAAAATAGAATATGACAAAATAGAATATGACAAAATAGAATATGACAAAATAGAATATGCAGTAGGATGCTATTCTAACAAAAAGTACATTCCTACGTCCATTATGCTGGCACTGTAAACTCAAATGCCTTCAGAAATTAAGTGAGAAAGAAGGAAGTGGGGTTGGTATGATAAAACAAGGCGTGGAGGGGCATGCGGCAAACTGAACAGCGGATATCCTGATCAAAATGGCCTAAGTCCATGGTCGGCAAACTGTAGCTCGAGAGCCACATGTGGCTCTTTGGCCTCTTGAGTGTGGCTCTTCCACAAAATACCACGGCCTGGGCGAGTCTATTTTGAAGAAGTGGTGTTAGAAGAAGTTTAAGTTTAAAAAACGTGAGTCTCAAAAGAAATCTTATTCATTGTACTGTTGATATTTGGCTCTGTTGACTAATGGGCCTAATCATTGTGTGGGCTGGATTTGCCGACCACGGGCCTAATCATTGTGTGGGCTGGATTCTCCTGGAAGAAATCATCCTGTGATCTACAATGTGAGTATCAAATAGGATTGTAAATATAAATAAATTACGCAGAGTGGTTATTTCAGGATGGTGGAGTATTTACTCTGTCGTTGCTCCTGGGTTTGCTCTACTTTCCAATTTTTCTTTAATGAGCATATAGTAGTTTGGAAAGATGAACATACACAAACTCATCCATGGGAAGGCAGCTGGGACCCCTGAATAAGAGGCAGTGGCAGGGTGTCAGTCCACTCAGTATTGGTACCCAGAAGAGAACTGCCTCAGGGGTGACCAGGGAAGATTCACGTCAAAAGGAGGACCAATGCATGAGGAATCTCCTAGGAATGGCAGTCGTGGTGGAGACGGAGAAGCAGATCGAAAATATCCTCAGTTTTAGAGTGGTCTGTAGGGTGGACTTCCGGCCTGTTGGTCTAAGTTCTCAGTGAGAGTTTGGTCCTTGGCTTATGTTCACGTGGACAGAAAGGCCACCATGTTATGCTGTGAGCTGCCTGAGAGTGAGCTGCTGCAGGGACAGCTGACTAAGGTGGAAGCAGGAAAGAGAGAAGAGAGCTAAGCTGGGGAGCTGCACAGCCAGGCTGGGCCTGACATTGAGTCGGATTTGGGAGCAGGTCAGAAGAGATGAAGTCGGATGCTTTGGCTGGATCCCAAGGGCCTGGCAGATTGTAGACTTCGTATGACCAAGGGGTCTCAGCCAGGTCAGCTGCCATCTGGAAGAGCCCATAAGTCCAATGAGTTTAAATTCTTAGAGGTACAAATAGGTAGGAAGTGAGGTCCACAGGTGCTCTAGCAAGGAGCCGAGGCAGGCTCTGAGTGGGGGTCCCAGGCTCCCAACACAAGGAGGAATCAGGTAGTTAGCAGTCCAGGTAAGCAAGCCAAAAAGGACCCCCAGGCCATGCATACACAGTGTGTACACTGCAGGGCACATGGTCATGCTGCCTGAGGGCATGTCAGAGGCTGTCTGCCCTGGGTTCCTGCCTCCTGTCCATTGTGAGCAGATGTGATGTGTGCTAGCAGCCCTAGGGAGGCAGCTTTACTCATCACATTGACTGGATGTGGCAAAACAGCAGAGGCTGCATTCCTGGTGGCAGAGGCTCCTAATCCAGGCTGCATGCCAGGAATCTGAATACAGATTCCTGGGAGAATATTGAATCAGAGTTCCTAGGAGCCAGGTCAGGGGGAAATGATCCCACTTACCTACAAATGCACGTACACGTGCTTGTCTAGTACCAAGTACACCAGATGCATTTGGCATCCTACGGTATAAAAGGCTAATATGCAAATCATCCCCTTGACTGAGAGTCCAACCAGGAGTTCCACCAGGAGTTGACCAGATGGCAGGGGCGGCCAACCAACTGCCTGTGGCCCCTCTCCCCAGCCAGCCAACCCAATTGGACCCCACTTGTGCATGAATTTGTGCACCGAACTCTAGTTATTTTATAATTAAACCTAGAGGCAGGTGCACAAAATTCATGCATGGGGTGGCGGGGGGGGGGGGTGTCTCCAATCTGGGATCCCTCAGATGTAGGCCAAATCATGGGGATCTGGCCTAAACCGGCAGTTGGATATCCCTCTCACAATCCTAGACTGCTGGCCCATAACCTCTCACCTGCCTGCTTGCCTGCCTGATCACCCCTAACTGCCCCCCCGCCTGACCCACCAGCCTGGTTGCACCCTACTGCCCTCCCTGCCGGCCTGGTCACCCTAAGCAGCAGTCATTTAGTTGTCCCTCACTAACCCCCCTGCTGGCCTGGTTGCCCCTTGCACCCTGTTTGGTTGTCTGTTTGGTGGTGATGGTCACTTAGGCTTTTATATAGATAGATAGTAAAAGGAGCAGTTACATGAGAACATGGAATCACACACAGATCCCTCAGCCCAGCAGGGACCTTAGAGTCACTTATCCCGCATCCTTAGGGGAAAACCGCGCTCCCCAAGTGTGGACCAACTCTCTAAGGCCACATCACCTGCTAATGGCTGAGGTCAGACTGGAACTTAGATGTCCTGGTGATGGGGAGAGACTGTATCTGAGAAGGGCCTCCCCGTAGGATTGCTAGATAAAACGCACCATTCACTGTTTATCTGAAATTCAAATTTAACTGGGCTTCCTGTATTTTTGTTTGCTAAGTCTGGCAACCCTATCCTCCCCCAGGAGTGGGACAGACTGAAAGGGCTCAGCAGGAGGAAGCTCTCTGCTACTGAAGTCCCCCAGAGAGGGCCCAGGCACGCACCAGCATGGGCACGGCAGAGGGATAGCCACTCACTCCCTTTCCTTGAAAGAACAGTTTTCTCACTGCAGATCCTGGTCTTTCTGGCCGCACTTTCACAGATTAAACCGGGCTTTTTCTGTCCTTTGATGTTGTTGGTGATGGTTTGTTTTGTTTTGGGTGGGCTTATATTTTGCACTCTTTTGCAGTGTGTGTGTGTGTGTGTGTGTGTGTGTGTGTCTTGCAGCCAAGACATGGCCCGGTGCCTGCAACCATTCTTCACTCACAGGAATCCTCCTTTGCCAACTATTTGGCCCTCTCTGATGTTTCCAAATGCAGTTGTTAGTGAACTTTTGTGTTGGGAACAAGTGCATTGTGTGGGCCGCGCTGGTCCCTGGGAGGGGTCAGTGCCATGAAATCTGCCGGGAGGAGGCAGGTCAATGCCCCTTTGGCAGGAGGGAGAGCGGATTAGGGCGAATTGTGAAAGTATGCATCTCGCCCTGAAAAACCGTGCACCGCATATTTTCCCAGGGCAGTGTGTGAAAATCCGGGCACAATGGGTGCATAACTTTTTATGAATGAACCCTTTATGACGCCCCACGGAGCCTCCTTGTCGTGCACTCCTCTGCATTTCCTCTCTTGATATCCTTATTAAACTCCTCCTCCCAGGCCAGGAACCAGATTGCGATTTAGGAATTTGACACCTCTTCTCCAGTCCAATTTCTCCCCAGCCTGCTAAGTCTCCTTGGAAGGAGGCTGTTTGGGACCCAGGTTTTCACCGCGTGATTAAAGGGAAATGTAAGCAGATTGAGAACATTTCACGGCTGGTTAAAGATATCGAATTGGCTTTCCAGTTTCAGGGGTCACTTATGAGATGGCACCTAAGGCGGGGAGGAAGGTGGCCGCATGGGGCCCTCACCCAGCGATCCGAAATGCCATCCTGTTAATTGGATTCCCTCCCTTACTTTCTGCCGAGGAGTGACTCTCACAATGTACTCTGTGTGCAGCACTGTCCTTGAGTATTCTCTGCCACCACAATGCACACAAAAGCCCTTTCTCCTCCTCCCCCTGAAGTGGGGAGGGGAGTTCAGAAAGGCCAGGCCGGCCAATCAGTGTCGCGTGGCCCCAGGACTGGGCTCCCTGGGCAGGGCCAGCCTCCCCAACGAGCAGAAGCGCGTCCAACAGTCGAGCCTGGCATTGCCACCGACTTGCCTTATGGTTGAGACTTGGATCGTCACTCCCATATGTGCTTCCAGACTGAGAAGTGGGGACGATGTTTACATTCTCAGAGCAGGTTGATGTCAGAAATGGCCAGCATTTAGAATTGTATTTTAACCCGGGAAGTTCCTTTGGATGGTGGTGATGGAGGCGATGGTGACGTGGTGAAAACGGTGAACCTGAGGGTGAAGGTCAAGGTCTCAGAACTGCCACGGTTCAAACCCTGTGTTTACATGACAACGTAGAGTGTAACCCAACTTAAATTCTCCAACCCTCCGTTTTCCCATAAATGAGATTACTAGGAGTACCTAATTCAGGAGGGAGAGAGGGTGCAGTTAGCTAATCCGAGTAAAATGCTCAGTGCAGTGCCTGGTGTAAACCTGCTCAACAAAAAGGGGGGTTTTATTTAGTACCATTTTGGTGAAGAAGAGAATGCTGAGACATCGGTCCAGGGATACTGTCGAGGGTTCTGGTTAAGCATCACAAGTGACCTGAGGAGAGACATAGACATAATTTGTCATTTATTCCACTGAGTCTAGCTCTGCCACGGCCGTAAAAGACACCTTGGTCTGTAACCCCTGCCTCCCCCGGAGGACTCAGCAGAGATGGCTGGTCCGGTGGCCCTGCCATGGGCGGTTGATCACGTCCGGTTGGGTTCTTAAGCAGCGAGACAGTGGCAGTCCCTCTCGCCTTTGGAACCAGTCCCCGGCGGCTGTGACAGCTGGGGCTTTAGAAGCAGAGTTTGGACTTGACCCCTGGGCGAGGGCTCAGAAGGAATTCCTTGTGAACCCGCGCTGCCCAGCGGAGGCCCTGCAGCGGCTGCGTCCCCTCACTGGTAAGCAGCACTTCCCCACGCTCGCGTATTCTTTTCCAAGAACTAATTGACACTAATTGGCCATGGCAGAGGAGCCATTATCGAAAATTTATAGGCTTCTCACAGATTTTTTTTTCCTCGCTGAATTCTTGGCAGCGGTTTCAGCTCATCGCGCTAATGTTAAGCTCACCAGATCCAAAAGGCTGCAGGTGGCCAGCATCGGAAGGAAGCAGAGGGAGATTAGCAGCCTCTGCCCCCGTGTCTCTCCGAGGAATGTGTGCCCCAGTTGGCCACTAGGAAGTGACTTACTCCCCCATTTCTCAGAAAGGCAAAGCAGGGTTACGGATTCAAGGTGTAACTTCACATGGCAATAAGAGCTTGCTCGCTAAATGTGGATTTCAAAAAAATATAGAGAGAAAGATATAATTCGCATGCCACACAGCTCACCATTTAAGTATCCACATCAGTGTTTTCTTGCATGCTCACAGAGTTGTACAACCATCACCACAATCAAGAGAAATCACACCCATTAATAGTCACTCCCAGGTCCCTCAGTGTTCAATGGATTTTCTGAGTGACTCACACCGTGAGTATTTGTCAGAACCGTGACCTCAGTCCAAGTAGTCCTGGACTGGTCTGCACTGAGAACTGCTCAGTCCAACACAGCTGTCTTCCACCTGCCCCACTCCTGTCCTTGCCCCGAGCCACCTTACGTTGCATTAGGAATAATATGGATAGGGATGGCCATGCACCGGGGAGGCATGGCCTTCCTCCTTTTCCTCTGCAGAGGGTCCAGATTAGATTCATACCCAAGAGTCAAAGAAATACACGTTTATTTATAATTCTCAGTAACAAAAGTTCAGTAACAGCCTCTACCATCAGATATTGAGCCCTCTCCATCTGGCATTGGGAACTTAATTTCTTCCATTTGTGTCGTCCCCCGGGTTGGGGTGCTGGAGGGGAACAGACTTTGTGTCGGGGCGTGGCAGCAGGGAGGCCTCCATATCGCTATGCCGGCTGGCATGCTGGGATGTCCTCATCCCTGTCTGGTCTCCAGACATCTGTCCATCCAAGTGTCTGCGTATCTCCTCCTTGTCTCACTTGAGCCAAGTCCATGTCTCCCTAGAAGGCGTTGGATAGCTCCCCAGTTCCTCAGACAATGGGAAGGTTACTTCCATGTCCCTGCCAGGAGCCTGGCATCCTATTGCTCCCATCATGCTATGCTTTGCCTGTAGAACTCTGTGTACCTGCCTATCTCTGGCCTCATGTCCTAACATACCACGCAGACATGTTTGTGCTGACCTCAAGTGGGACAAGTGAAATCTAGGGATTTGTCATCCCCCCAGGCTCTGCCCAGGGGCTAGAGCACGGTCCTCTGCTTTTTCCAGATCCTTAAACCTACTGAGCGCCTCTATCATCCCTTCCACACAGATCTCGGCTCAGGGTGGGACAGGGCACATGGTGCCTCTCCAACCCCTCTCTCCCTGGTGATCTCACTCCTCCATCCTAGGAATCTTTCTAAGACTCCAAGGCTGGGAAGTGTGCTCTTATTCACTGTGTAGTCTTCTAAATCTTTGGTATTGTGACTAGACTGTGACATTCAAAAGCCAAGAAGAGCTGCTTTCTTCATCCTGGGACCTGTGGCATGCCTTCTCTGGGGCAAAGAGGCAGAATGTCTGCCCTCAAGAGTAGGGTGTATGTGCAATGGGAAACCCCAGGGGGCACAGTCAGCACTGCCTCAGACCTTATCCCTCACATTGTCAGACCTCAGCAAGACTTGTTTGGCAGGAGGGAGTGGCACTGGGGCTCAGCCCCGGGCACTGTGCTGGATTGGGGTTGGAATTCCCCTGAGACAGTCTGGAGAAGGCACACGCCAGGTGACTGTTCCCATCCACATGTGCATCCTGTGTGTGTGCTACGGGATGAGTTGCCCCAGCGGGGTTATTGATCACCTTGACCCCCATTGGGAGCCCTGCTTCTCTGTCTGCAGGAGCCCCTTCTTACTGTCCAGCCACAGCCTCACCGTTCTTTCCCGCTTCCCAGGCAGGTTTTGCGGCGATAAAGCCCCAGAGCCCCTCGTCTCCACAGACAGCCGGCTCTGGGTGGAGTTCCGGAGCAGCAGCAACATCCTGGGCAAGGGTTTCTTCGCGGTGTATGAAGGTTTGTTCCCGATGCTACCTGGGCAGCTCCCGATATGCCGCTGTCCTTCCCATGCAGCCCGCTGTCCCGGGCAGGTGTGGCAGCTGCCAGAACCTTGACGGTGGGGCAGCCGCAGCGAGGGCCAGGCTGAGGAATCCACTGTTCCCTTCCTCCACATTCCGGAAGCAGGGGGCCATCTGTGCTCACTTAGGACAGACGTCATCTACCTGCCACCACCCTGCTGAACCCCATTTCTGTCCAGCGCGATGGTGTTGGGGGATATGGGGAAGTATGGGACCCTGTGGACATGGAAGGAGCAGCACTGAATGGTTGTGTGAGCCGGAGAAAAGCATCGAACCTGTCGGAGCCTCTGTTTGTTCCACTGGTGAAAAGCAACTTGGGGCAATGCCAGGGAATTGGCAAACGCATTTCTTGGGAGGGCCTCTGAGGGCACCATGGTGTTCGAGTTGAGGGAACCGTGGGCCTGGGCTCTGGGCAGCTGCCACCACGCCATTCTGCTTCTGTTTGTTCCACATGTTACCTCCTCCCCCAAAGGAGCCCACGAGGTGGTTAGTAAGGCCCCCTTTGGCTTTAAATGGTCATTTTGGAGAGGCCAACGTTTTGTGTTTACGAAAGAACGTATGTGGACAGCGGTGTGTGCACATTGGCCTGTCCCTCTGTCCCAGCGCTCCTCTACTGTCCACCTCAGAGTCACCCGGGGAGCTCGGATATCACTGCTGCTCTGGGCTCCCCAGGCCCACTTCCCTCAGAACTTGTGGCCCCGGCTCCTATGGCTTGAACACTCTCCCAGGGGTTTTGATGCACAGCAAAGGTGGACACGCATTGCTCCCCACGGTTATTTTCTGTCTAGGGGAAAAATTCTGAGTCGCAAAGAAAATTACGCCTTTCCAGGAGGCACAGTCTCGTTTGGATGGGAATGAAAACGTTGGCAAGTGGAGTCACCTAGTGGCGATACGTGGCCGACTTCCTCCGTAAGATCCAACCAGGGACCCTCTTTCTCTTTCTGAAGCCGGTTCTCTGGTTCTCCTCCTAAAGCTACGTGTGGGGGAGACATTAACAAAGACGCCGGTCAGATTCAGTCTCCTAACTACCCGGATGACTACAGACCGTCCAAGGAATGTGTCTGGAGGATTACGGTGTCAGAGGGATTTCACGTGGGGCTTACCTTCCAGGTGTTTGAGGTAAGCACTGCTCAGATGGTCCTTCCAAGGATGGAGTAAACGTTAACTCTCGCTAGACACGCTCTGCTCTGTGGAGATGGCTTTCCGTTGGAGGGTTGAAAATGGGAACCTAAGAGGCTATTTCAAGCCCATGGTGCATTGTACCCAGACATCTGGTATCCAAAGCTTTGCAGACATTAAAATCGTATCTGTCTCCTTCCTGAAGGCTTCTCGAGAGGGTGGGGAGTCATCCAAGTGAAAGTCTAGGGTGGGATCCCGGAAAGTGTTGTAGAAGTACCCTGCCCCGTTGACCGTTTCTTAGTCTCTTTGCAGCTTGATTCACCCTTGGTTTTCGTGAGTAGGAGGCGGCTCGGAGAAGCCAGGGGCACACGTGGGTCCTTTGGCCGCTTGGTTAGATTTTTCCGAGTGATATTGAGGTTCCGGAACCTTCTTACGTTAGAAACCTTAAGGCCAAGCCGTCGTCTATCTTCTATGTTGCCTCTGTTTCTCCATTCAGATCGAAAGGCACGACAGCTGTGCATACGACTACCTGGAGATTCGCGATGGCCCCACGGAGGAGAGCACCCTGATTGGCCACTTCTGTGGCTACGAGAAGCCGGAGGACGTGAAATCAAGCTCCAACCAGATGTGGATGAAGTTTGTGTCCGATGGCTCTATCAATAAAGCGGGCTTTGCAGCCAATTTTTTCAAGGGTATGAATTAGCAGTTGTTTCTATTTTTAGTCACAGAAAGAAGTATTATCCCCCCCCCTCCCCCCCGGCTTAAGAATCACAAAACCCATACAGAACCTTAGCACCTTATAAATAAGGCTCCCTATAGGGAGGAGCCAGTGACCCATGTTAGGGCTGTGCTAGAGTCCCCAACAGAGTTCATGACTAACTCAGGAACAGGCTCAGCCACAGCCTCCGTGGCAGAAAGCCCTGCTGCTGTGCTTGGAAATTTGATTTAATAAGTTTACAAGATCAACTCGGTGAACCTTTGTGAAACTGAGCCCTGCTAACAATACGCATTTGTGTAGTTGCTAGCATTAATTGGGCACTTACTGTGTGCCAGGAACTGTGTAAGGTACTGATTTACACGATTTATTTAATTTCCAAAATAACCCTTTGAGTTGGGTTTGGATCACGTTTGATCAGTGTTGAGAGGGGCTGCTCAGGGTCACTCAGAGAGTCAAGTGGCAGATCGAGAATCCAAGCACGGCGAGTGTGACATTACGTTGCATTACCTGATGTAGGCCAGAGAGGCCACCCAGGACTTCCGCTCCTGAAGCATCAGCCCCAGCCTACAAGGGCGTGGGGAAGGATGGAGAGTGAGGGGGTGGGGTGGTGCTCAGGAAACAAACCTCTGTGTTGCCTCAGGGACCAACTGCTCTGCGGGGTCTTGTTGAAATCAGAATGGTATGGGCAGGCTTCTCAGGACTCCCTTGAATGGGTAGGTCTTCCTTCTTGGCTCTCCGACCCAGAAGCCACTCAGACCACACCCTCTAAGGGCATGTGTTGTGAGTGGGCACCGGTAGCAATGAATGGAGAGATCCAGTCTGCAGCAGTGGTCCTGTGATGAGTGGTGCCACTCACACCAGGAGAAGGCTGCTTTTCCTTTCTTCTCTCAGAAACCCTGGTCCTCCCTTACTCCCAGTCTCCCCATCTGCCTCCTCTGAGCCCCTTTTCCCAGGTTCTGCAGAAGGAGATGGGTGTTAGGAGAACCCACGTTAAGCCATGTGACTCTGACCAGGCAGAAGCCTTCGTGTTCCTCTCCCTAAAGCAGGGGCAGGAACCTGCCTATTTTACCAAACCAGTTGTGGAGCCCAACACAACGATACTGTGAGGCACTTTGAGAGCTGAAAGTGCCACACAGCATGGGGAGCGTTCCTTTCTTCCGTCTCGAGCCCAAGCAGAAAGAGAGTCATAATGATCAGAATGCTTTCGATAATTGGAGACAAAACTAATCCTTTCCCAAGCAAAAAAGCTAGGCCACAGTAAGTATATTTCAGATGCTAGTGATTGTAATGCGAAGAAAGACATGACATTATTAGTTGAGGTCCCTGGAAACTCACCGTTGTGGCCCCACTCTGCCCAGACTGCATGTGACTTAGCAGCAGCCACACAGGCTGGGTGGCCTTGAGCAAGTTACACAACCTCTCTGAGCCCCAGGCCCTCCATTCGTAAAAATGACACGACCAGGTTATGGCAAAGTTGTTGTCCGGAGAAAATGGCACAGCATGAGGGAATACCGGGGGCAAAATGTTTAGTCCCATTCATTGTTCTTGCTTAGGAAGGAGTTTGAGATGGTTTTTTTTTTTTTCTTTCTGGAAAAAGTGACAATTTCTTCTGTCGCCATGGGTCAGTTTCCTGTTGCTGTTGTAATAAATGATCACAAACTATTCTCTCACTGTTCTGAAAGTCAGGTCTCCTTGCCTTTCCCAGCTTCTGGAGAAGGCCCCAGTCTCCTTGGCTCACGTCTCCCATCCCTTTTCGCCTTTGAGCCAGCAACGGCCGGTCAGTCTTTCTCCTGCGGACCTCATCATAGACCTCTGCTTCCGCAGGTGCATCTTTTTCTGACCCTGACTCTCCTTGTAGTTACATTGGTCCCGCCCAGATAATCCAAGAAAATCCTCTATTTCAAGATCTTTCATATAATCATACCTGCAAGGTCCTTTTTGCCATGTAAGGTAACAGGTTCACAGGTGTCAGGGGCTAGGTCATGGGCAGTTTGGGGAGGCCTCATTTGGTTTGCCACATGTCATGAATGATCATGAGGTTTTATTCTGCTTCTACTTATTTTAATGCTCCTGTCATTCTTCTCCCCTAACTTCCATCCCCAGGTCTATCCATTGGGTATTGGGGTTCTTTCCAGGGTGATACCTGGGCACTATCCCCACGCTCATTCCTGGTTCTGCTGCTAATCAGCGACGCACGTTTCTGAGAGCACCAGCCAAAGCTGGAGATGAAGGTGGCCAGATTTAGAGAAAACAGAACAAAGCAGGGTTTCCACTGAAATCTGAATTTCTTTGGAAGTATGTCCCAATTCAAATGTAACTGACCTCCTGCTTATTGTGTGGCAGCCCCACTGGAGGTGCCAGTCAGGGCAACAGACAGAAGTGTTTCTCTCTGTGATGCTAAGCGAGTGTGTGAGGACTGAGTTGAGAACCTTGGCCTGCTTCAAGTAACCATGATAACCAGCTCCGTTTGCTGGTTAGGAGACCCCATCTTCTCCCTCCTCCCCACTCAATTCATCCAGCAGTCATCAAACAATGTGTCAGGCGCCGTGCTAGGGGTTGGGAACAAAAAAAGGGACATCGTCTTTGTTCTCAAGAGCTTAACGTGCTGAAAAAGACGGCAAACAAATGGGCAATGGTATTGCCAAAGAAGTGTGGACCTGGGAGGAGGCCAGGGGGTGGGGGGCAGGTTACCCAGCTACTTCAAGGGCATTTCAGTTTGCAAACATCTTTTTAGATGCCCGTGAAGGTGTTCATTGAGGCCCAACTACACCACCTTAGTGCATGGGCCCAGCTTGACATCTTTTTAATATCAAGGAGAATGACCTTGACTCTGAACCAGGGCTGGTAGAAACCTCACTGGAACCTATTAAAGGGCAAAGAAAAGGCATGTATCGAGTGTGCTGGAAACGACGTTAGTTGTTTCACTTGATCTTCAGAACAGCCCTTGGTAGGCATTGTCATTCCTCCCATTTCCAAGCTGAGGAAGCGAGTTCTCAAAAGGCAGAGCTAGAACTAGACCCTGGACCCCCAGGACTCCACAGACAGCACTCTCTCTTCCCACGACAGGCCAAAAGCCACGGGCAAGTAAAGCAGCGTGAGCTTTTCATTCATGTTTGTGATTTGATGCGGACACTCTGTGGCCTTTCTGCCTCCTGGATTCCATGGGAGTATAGGGAGAAGGGCCCTGAGTTTAGCATCAGAAGTTCGGTTTTGAATCCTGCCCTCGTGTCTAGCCATCCATTCTCCGGCAGCCAGATTTCCTTTCTGAGATTGGGTCGTACCTGCTCTGTTCTCCATTCTATTCCCAGTGCCTGGTCCATGGTGGCCTCAGTAAATACTTACTGGGCAATGAATGAATGGGTGAGGCTCAGACTGTGGGTTGGGTAACCAGCTACCTACCTTTTGGGGTTCCCCTGAGGATGAATGAGATGGAGATTGCAGTCTAGAGCTCTGCTTATCAACAGATACAAAAGGCCAATCACAAATGCAAGCCATCTGTGTAATTTTAAACTTGCTAGCCACCTTACCAAAGCAAAAACAGAAACAGGTGAAATGAATTTTAATGTATTTATTTTACCCAATATACCAAAAAATACTATCATTTAAAAAAATATATATTTCATTGATTTTTTTTTACAGAAAGGAAGGGAGAGGGATAGAGAGTTAGAACATCGATGAGAGAGAAACATTCATCAGTTTCTTCCTGCACACTCTCCACTGTGTATGTCCCCGCAACCAAAGTATATGCCCTTGACCGGAATTGAACCTGGGACCCTTGAGTCTGCAGGCTGACACTCTATCCACTGAGCCAAACAGGTTAGGACAAATACTATCATTTTAATATATAATCGATATACACAAAATTAATGAGATGCTTTATGGTGTGTGTATTTTTTTTTCATACTAAGTTGTAAATCCAGTGTGCTTTACACTCACAGCACATCCCAATTTTGACCAGCTGCATTTCACACGTGTGATAGCCACACGGAGCTGGTATCTGCCATACAGTCAGCGCAGGTCTGGAGGCGGGGCACAGCCAGCTTCTTTACCCAGCCGTTTCCCAAAAGACCATAAGTAGGATGTCCCGCGAATCCCCGGTGCCCAGTGCGTGTGTCAGGACTTCTCTGGTGAAATGAGTTAGAAGAGTAACTACAAAGGCTGCGCAGAAGAATTGGACCAAGTCTAAGAAGCTCTGGCCTTGGTACCAGTTGGCAAGAGGCTCTGCTCAGGGCCCAGCTGGCAAATGACACTGACCAGGGTGCCAGCTGGCCTCTGCATCCTTCTCCAGGTGCCAGATGGCATCCCTCTCAGAGCCTGCTGGCTGGGCAGCTGGCAGAGCACCTCGCGTTTCTGGTTACTGCAGGAGATGGCAGGAGCATTCGAGGATTGGCAGGGCCAATGTGGTCACACACTTCCCACAAAAGTATATGAGGATGGATTCCCACCTCGGTCCCCACACTCCACCGTCCCATTGTGGATGGACCACTACGTGTGTTTGATGAGGGGGACTGGCATCTTTCGAGGTACTTCTTCAAAACTTCAAGGATGTGCTCTGCCTTCTCTTTCCTTAACCCTCTTTGAAACAATCTTTGGGGTCCTATCTGAGTCATCTCATTATTTAACCACAGAATGGTTCCTTCTTTCACTAATGCCACTTGGAGAAGACAAAGAAGCCAGAGCTCCTGATTCAAAAAAACTGATTTCCTGGTTCAGCTTCTCCTCCAACCCCCAAGCTCTTCCGGATTTTTCTGGTAGACTCGGCCTTGGCCACCACAGCCCAGAGCAAGCACACACCCTCAGGCTTGGAGCAGATGCTGCTTCACCATAGTGTGGAGGTGATACAGAGGAAAGCAGGGTCCCTCAGACCCTTCCATGCCTCCACCCATGCTGGGGAAGGATTGGAAATGGCCAAACACTCCACTGCATTTTCTGGCTAGAGCTCAGGGGTAAGTGTATAACTGTCATCCACCTTCCTGGATCCAACAGCCCATTCTTCTCTCGTCTGGAGGAACTACATTCCCTTTGGTTTAGGCCCAAACCATGCACCAGCCTGCCTCCCTCCATGTGGCTAAGATGGCACCAAGAGGCTTAGTCATCTGTGATCCTCCTTTTCTTGCCTATGACATACGTGTGTCCTGTCCATAATCAGAGCATCTTCTCACATCAGACTCCCCCCTCAATGCCCCCACCCCCCATCCCTTGATCCTCTGTTCTTAGTCTATTCCCACAGTTACTTCCCACCCTTTCCCTGTGCCCACCAGCCAGTTTCTTGACTCTGTGGTGCTGCTCATCTAGTCTTCCTGGCCCCATCCCTGGCACATTTTCCTCCTTTCTGTCCCTGCCTTGTCTCATTCCCCTCCTCAGGCCTGCCCTAGTTCACTCTCACCTGAGTCAGGTACGGCCAGGTGACTTCATTCTTTTCATCACCCCCGTCACCGTGTCTTGGAATTCCCACTTTAGAGGTAGCTGTATTACTATCCAATAGGCAAAATGATGGGACATTTGTGAACTGTCTTTTCCCCAGTGAAGAACAACCTGGTTGGTGAGTATTCTGTGCATCCTAAACAAGGAAGGCTGGAAGGAAATGGGTTTATTTGATGTGGAACAGGGCAGAGTGGAGGGAGACATTATGGTGGAGGGTTTGCATCTTCTGGAGGACCAATGGGTTGGAAGTTTGAATTTTGACAATTCAATTGGCAAAGGACAAGAAATACTTTGAAAAGCAGCAAGAGCCTTGTTTCCGGGCATTTTCAAGCTGGGTCAGAAAAAGCCATCTATCAGAAATGTTCTTAAAAGAATCCCTGGTAAAATGGCAGCACCCAGGTCCTTTTCAGGTCTTTGCCAATGAACTCAAAGATGTCCTGATTTCTTCTACTGACAAACAATACGGTCCTTTTGTGGACAACTCTGTGCTTGCTTTAGTCCTACCTCCCATGGTGTTATAAACCACCAATACTCTCCTCCCTGCCCCAACTCTTTCTTCTTCCTGGATTGGAGTTCATTACTATGCTTAAGATGTCTCTCTCGGTGTTCAGATTTCCTTTCACTAGGCTCTCTGCTCAGGCCACAGCCTGCATGCTCTCTTCCAGGGATAGAGATACTACAACTTGGCGACAGAAAATAATGATCTTTCCTTTTATTTCTGACACACTTTTTGGAGATGCCCAAAGCCTGGGATTTTCCTTTCTTCAGAGGTTCCCTGGGCCGGGTGTGTCTGGGAGATTCTCTGATGAACCCCTGGTTCTTCCCCCTGCGTCCTACTTACGTTACTTCATTGCTCCATACACATCCTTAGACACTGTCAATGCTCAATCCCATGTGGCTCCCCTGCTGACTTGGTCTCTATGGCCTCTTTCTGCAAATTCTCCTGAGCAAAGGCTCACCTAAGAGCCCGGCATTTTCTGCGACATTGGAGACTTCCCTGTGCCCGCCTCTTCAGGTCATTTATGAAAATGCTGAATTGCAGGTTCTTGTTCTATCCCTAGAGAATACGTATGCCACTTGATCTGGAAAAGCATCCCTTTTCCTCACCCTTTAATGTTTCTGGGAAATTCCATATTTGGGACTGGGGTGGGGGTGCGGATTTGGTGACATTGAAATAGGTTCAGCCTTTGGTATGGAACCTTTGAGGGCTTTTTTAGAAATCATGAATGAAGACAGCTGACTGAACCCTTCAACGAAGGAGAGTATTCAGGCCTGATCTCTCCCCAGGAGCCATTCCTGTGCTTAGAGGACACGTGTTAGGGCCCCAGGATGTGGGCTGTGATGGGGAACAGACCAGGCAGCTTTGTCATCATTTAACCGGAGTCCCCTTTGCCCCAACAGAGGTGGATGAGTGCTCCTGGCCAGACCGCGGCGGGTGTGAGCAGCGCTGTGTCAACACGCTGGGCAGCTACAGGTGTGCGTGCGACCCTGGCTACGAGCTGGCGGCCGACAAGAAGGCATGTGAAGGTAGGTGTTGGACCTGCCACGCCGGAGGGAGGGGATAGGGGACATGTCTTAGGGGAGCGAAGCAGGGGTGGGTGCTGGCTGACTGTGAGGTACCACAGACAGCTGTGGCGAAGAACCCATCTCCTTCTCAGAGAGACACACGAGTGGGTCGAGTGGTGAATGTGAGGACTGCCCAGATTACATGGACTCCGTCCTAGAAACTGTAACTGGCTGGAGCCTTCGCTTATTTGCTCCCGTGACCACGTAAAATTCACATGATGACTGAGGTGGGAAATAAGAGCCAGGGAAAACCATGAGCACTTGGGTGTGGCTCAACTAAGAGCACATTCCATTCACCCATTTGCCTGACTGGTGCTCTGTCTTCAGGCTCTGTCTTCCTTGCCCACCTGCGTGGCTGCTTGTTTACGTAAACCAGGTACAGGGCATAGCCTGGTGTGTCGGTCGGCAAACTCAGTCAACAGAGCCCAATAGCAACAGTACAACGATTGACATTTCTTTGGAGAGCCACATTTTTTCAACTTAAACTGCTTCTAACGCCACTTCTTCAAAATAGACTCGCCCAGGCCGTGGTATTTTGTGGAAGGGCCACACTCAAGGGACCAAAGAGCTGCACGTGGCTCGGGAGCCGCAGTTTGCCGACCACAGGCCTGGTGCAAACGTCTCTAGCTCTTCTTTGATCCAAGTCATGTGAGGTCCCCGACTAAGCCACTGGGTGACAGGCCAGCACAGGTGCATTGCCCTTCTTTCTCAAAGAAGTAAAGACTTGTCCTCAACTTTATCCCTCCAAGGCCTCCGTTGAAATGGACTAGAAGAAAGGGCGCTGCATTCATCGGTTCAGATCGTCTAACTTTTTATTATTTATATTATTATTATTATTATTATCAAAGAACAGCAGGGCCTAGCGCTGCTTCGGGGAAATCGCAGTTGCTTGGAACTAGAGCCACACCAATCATGCTTCTGTTTCCCCCGTGCAGTGGCCTGTGGTGGCTTCATCACCAAGCTGAATGGCACCATCACCAGCCCTGGGTGGCCCAAGGACTACCCGACCAACAAAAACTGTGTCTGGCAGGTGGTGGCCCCCGCTCAGTACCAGATCTCCCTCCAGTTTGAGGTGTTTGAACTGGAAGGCAATGACGTACGTGTCTGGGCGCTCACTGATTGGGGGTTGTGTCAGGCTGTGACTCAGGAGGGGCCCAGCTGGCAGGGAGGCAGCTCCCGGGCATCCTCGCTGTGCAGCTCCGGGGGCCTGCTTGCACAGCAGTGTCAGCCGCCCATCCTCTGCAGGCAGAGTGCTTGGGCCCTCTCATCACTCACAAGTCAAAGGAGCACCAGGATGAGAGTGGGGGAGGTGGTCTTGGATGAGGGAGGCGGAGGTGGTCTGGACAGCCGTCCCCTGGGGAAGGAATCTCGGGGTTCGTGTCTGGCGGAGGGGAGTGGAGAGGGTGAGGTGCAGCTGGGGACCAGGATGGTATCAACAGCCTGTTCCCTCCTTTGGGCAATGGTCATGGGATGGCCAAACCAGTTGGGGTCCAGGCAGAGCCCTACAGACAGAGTATAGTCAGGGGTGCCCAGGCCTGTCCCTCGGGCTGGAGGGGCCCCAGTGGGAGTGGAGAGGACCCTGGCTGAGCCTGTCTGGCCCCCTGGCAGGGGGCAGCTCTCAGGGAGGGGATCCCGCAGAGCCAGGGTCCAGGGCAAGGACATGGGGGCCCCGGGCAGCTCCCTCCATCGCTTCCTTGCAGGTCTGTAAGTACGACTTTGTGGAGGTGCGCAGCGGCCTGTCCCCTGACGCCAGGCTGCATGGCAGGTTCTGCGGCTCCGAGACGCCCGAGGTCATCACCTCGCAGAGCAACAACATGCGCGTGGAGTTCAAGTCAGACAACACGGTCTCCAAACGCGGCTTCCGGGCCCACTTCTTCTCAGGTGCAGGGGCTGGAGGGGAGGCCGCGAGTCTGAAGGCCACCTGGCTTTGCCAGCTCCCAGCCTCGGGGCACCTGGCCACCCCTCTCTGCCCGATGCCCCTGCCACATGGTAGTTCCATAACCATTTGCCATCAACTGGGTGGCTTAGGACAAAAGAAACAAACTCTCCCAGCTCTGTGGGCAGAAGCCTGAAACCAAGTGGTGGGCAGGACGATGTTCTCGGCAGCCCCTGGGCAGGCTCCTTCCTGGTCCCCCTGGCTTGTGGTTCTAGAGCTGGTGTTGGGTGATCCTCATCTGTTCTTCAAGTGTTGTCCAAGGATTCTTACCTGCCCTCATGGAACAAGATATACAGAGTTCAGTGGCCCATTATCTGCAGTGGGCAGAGGGTAGAGAGAGGAGATGCCACCTTGACCTTTGACCCTTGCAGTTATCCTGACCGGGGGGGGGGGGGGAGGGGGGGGCAGAGGAGGGAGGTTGGCCCTCTGTTATTACAGGAGAAGTTGGCTCAGGAGAGGGCTGTGTCCTACCCTGGCTTGAGCTAGAAGAACCATAATACTAACACCTCCTAACACTTGAGTTTAAACATAATCCTATATAATAAAGGGTAATATGCAAATTGACCCTAATGGCAGAACGACCAGTTACCGTATTTTCTGGCGTATAAGACGACCCCCTAATTTTACAGTTAAAACATAGGTTTAGGCCTATATTTGCTGTATAAGACTACTCCTCCCCCCCACCCCCCCACTTCCGAGGCAACACCAGTTCTTTTTTTAATAGACTGCCTCTCTGACTCTGGCCAATCTGAGCAGGCTTTTTACTAGAACACAGTGTAGCTTTGGGTACAGAACATGTATAATTTGCATGCATAAAAAGCCTGCTTGGATTGGCTGAGTCAGAGAGGCGGTCTATTAAAAAAAGAACTGGTGTTGCCTCGGAAGTGGGGGGTAGTCTTATACAGCAAATATAGGCCTAAACCTATGTTTTAACGCCCGGTCATCTTATACGCCAGAAAATACGGTACTATGATTCATACTGACCACCAGGGGGCAGACGCTCAGTGCACTCCACAGGGAGAGCTCTGCCCAGCCACAAGGCGGGCTCACAGCTGTGAGCTCAGTGGTGGTGGCAGGAGCCTCCTCTGCAGTGCTAAGGATGTCCAATTGACCACTTAAGCCATTAGTTGGACATCCTCCGAGGGCTCCTGGGCTGCCAGAGGAATGTCTGGCTGCCAGCTTTGGCCCAATTCCCTGGGGAGCGGGCCTCAGCTGGCAGGTGGACATCCCCTGAGGGGTCCTGGACTGCTAGAGGGTGCAGGCTGGGCTGAGGGACCCCCCAAGTGCACAGGTTTTCATGCACCAGGCCTCTAGTAATAAATAAAGCTGACACTTATTCCAGGCTGCACACTGTTCTAAGGGCTTTCCTTGAACTAATTCATTTCCTCCTCTCAACAGCCCTGTGAGGTCAGGAACCAGTATTGACTCCACTTTAAAGATGAGGCAATTGAAGCATGGAGGCCAAGGGTGCCTGAGGTCACAACAGTTGGAACTGGTGGAGCAGGGCTGGCACTTGGCCCCACACTTACCTACTCCACAGGCAGGAGGGGGCCTGGGATCGGGAACGATGACCCCGGGCCTCCAGTCACATAGGCCACTTGCTAACTCAGTGACCTTCGGCACATGAGCATCCTCAGCCTCAGTGTTCTTATCTGTAAAATGGGAGCATAAGCACCTTCCTCCTAAGGTGTGTGAGAATTGACTTAGATGCGTATGGAAAGGGCTTGGGAGAGTGCCCATCGCCTAGTAAATACTCAGTACATGGGTGGCATTTTTATTATTGTTCCTGTTAGCCCATCCTTCAAGGAGCTCCTTGTTTTGGTGGGGAGTAGGGATGGAAAATATATATATATATTTAAATGCTTTAGTAGCATGCGGAATTGCATATATTCCAGGGACATGTTACACCAACATCGATGATAGAGAGTCATTGATCAGCTGCCTCTTGCACACCCCCTACTGGGGATATGCCCACAACCCAGGTACATGCCCTTGACCGGAATCGAACCCGGGACCTTTCAGTCCACAGGCTGACGCTCTATCCACTGAGCCAAACTGGTTTCGGCGGAGACTACTTTTTATGTGTTGTGTGACATCACTTTCCAGCTCCGCCCCATGCTTGTCATTGTGTGTCCGTCATGGAGCAGGGAGGCCCCTTTCCAGCAGGCTTCTGAGCTGAGCGCGACCATCCGCAGTCGGCAGCTCCCCTCAGGAGAGCCCGTTGATCTCCCCAGACAAGGACGAGTGCGCCAAGGACAACGGCTGGTGCCAACACGAGTGTGTCAACACGTTCGGGAGCTACCTGTGCCGGTGCAGGAACGGCTACCGCCTGCACGAGAACGGACACGACTGTAAAGAGGGTGAGGCTGGGCCCCGGGCTGGGGCGGGAGGAGGGGCCCAGGAAACCTACCCTCGGCTGCCAGGCGTGTGCTGGGGTCCGAGTGAGCCCCACAAGGCTGAGCCTCTGCCTCCCCCTCCTGCCCTCTGCCCTCTCACTGAGGATTGATGTTCTCAGGGCAGCTCACGCCTTCAGGAGGCATGTGGGGCCCGCAGTGCTCTCCTGGAGGTATTAGTGCAAAGTTATTATTTTAACCCCCCCAGGCTCCAGGCTCAGACTTCCTAGGTTTACATCCTGGCTCTGCTACGTACTAGCTGTGTGACCTTGGGGAAGTGACTTAACCTCTCTGAGCCTCACTTTCCTCTTCTGTTTAAAGGGGGCTAAACCCGCCCCCTTCTTAAAGTTTTTCTGAGGATTACATGAGAGAATGCCTAGAAAGTATTTCAGACAGTCTGGCGCGCAGTAAGCCCTTGAAACATTACCATCTATGTCGTCATATCATTAACCATGTGCAGGTCTAGGAGTAAAATAGAACTGGGAATAAGCTAATGGCTTTGCTCCCCGCTTCACTCACTCCCGGGAGTTCTCGGGACCAGATGGCATTGCCTGTCCTGTCATTCTGGGAAAGGCCTTCCTGTGTTCGCACCCCGCCCTGCCAAGGGAGTGTGAACATCTCGGTTAAACACCCAGGCCTCCAGGCCTCGGCCCCAGCCGCAGGGCCTCATGAAGGACACCGAGGGCGACGGGTAAACATTTCAGAGAGATATCTGGCTGGGCTCACCGTCTGTGCGGGCCCTTCCTAGACTGTGACGACGGGGTGAGCTAAGACGTCCTGGGAAGCAGGACGCCGCCCCCCTCCACGCCCGGCCCTGGGACACAGACAGGGGCAGCCATGGGCTGGGCTGGGAGGTGGGCTGGAAGAGCTTGGAAGGAGAGGAGCTGTCCTTCTGGAACTTGTTGTCAAAGCCCCCGTGAGGCGGGCCTCGGCCAGAACAATGCGTGCCTCATGTGGTGTTGGGGAGGCCACCGGGGATAAGATGTAAAGTTCACGGAGGTCCTGCCAGCTGAGCTGTGGCCGCCTTCCTGTGGGGTCGCCTAGGGCAGGGCAGGGGTGAGCAGTAGGGGCCTCCTGCAGCCACTGCAGCCCCCCCCTCCCCCCACCTGCTCTTAACTGCCCCCTCCAGCTCCCTCAGGTGACGAGCTGACCTCCTCAGCTCCCTCTGCTTCCTAGTCAGTGATAGCCAAGGCAGGGCCCAGTTCGGGTCCTGACTCAGCCATTACCAGCAGGCCACCCACTTGCTCTAAACGTTTGCTTTTCTCACTTGGAAAGTGGGGAGGATAAAATGAGAGGGTGCGTTCGGAATGCTTAGCACAGCACCCACCACAGAGGGCGACAAACACTAGCTATAGGTCAAAATGCGGCTCACTGAGCAGGTAACGGGGGCAACAGCTGTAGCTTCCAAATGAAACTGCCCTGAACGAGTACCAGGGGTATAGACACGAAGGAGTGCAGAGAGTGGTCAGGATCTTGGGTAGCACTTGCCAAGCCTTTTACAAGCATCTCACTCACTTCCCATAACCTCCCTGGGAGGGAGGCAGCACCCCTTTGACAGATGAGGACCCCACGATCTAGGTAAGTGCCCTGAGTCCCAGCGTGAAGGTGGCAGGACCAGGACTTGAGTCAGGGTCCATCTGACCCCGGGGCCTGTGCTCTTAACCACGCACTCTACCATATTCCCACCATAAGCATGCTGGGAATTGTAAGAAAGATCACTTGGCTCCTGAGCCACCACCAGGAAGGCGGCTAAGCCAAATAAAGCGACACATCTCTACGCCAGGTATTTTGGTGTTGATTCAGGCTGACGCCAGCTCCCACGCTGCCCAACGATCATGTGACCGATGGAGGGTGGGGAGGAGGCTTGTTAGAATGCCTACAACGCCCCCACGTGAAGTACGTCTCTCTGCCTGTCTCTCCCCCCACCCCAGCTGGCTGTGCGCACAGGATCAGCAGTGCAGAGGGCACCCTGGCGAGCCCCAACTGGCCTGACAAGTACCCCAGCCGGCGGGAGTGCTCCTGGAACATCTCCTGCACCGCGGGCCACAGGGTGAAGCTCGTGAGTCCTGGTCGGCCTTACTGGACACGGGGGACAGAGGGACGTGGTGGGGGCCTCCGCTCTTCCCCCTCTCCGCTCTGAGACGTGGGGAAGCTACTCCGCATTCCCAGGCCTCAGGTTCACGCTCTGGAAAACGGGGGTGCCTCCTCATGGGGCTGCTGGGCAGGGCAAAGAGGATTCGCCAAAACCGGTGGTTTGGCTCAGTGGATAGAGCGTTGGCCTGCTGACTGAAGGGTCCCGAGTTCGATTCCCGTCAAGGGCACGTACCTTGGTTGCGGGCACATCCCCAGTGGGAGGTGTGCAAGAGGCAGCTGGTCGATGTTTCTCTCTCATCGATGTTTCTAACTCTCTATCCCTCTCCTGTAAAAAATCAATAATATATATATATATATATATAGTGAGAGAGAGAGAGAGAGAGAGAGAGAGAGAGAGAGAGAGAGAGAGAGGATTCACACAAAGCCCTTAGGTCAGGGGGGCAGGTGAGGCAAGCCCTGTGCATAGCACTGTGCACCGTGGCACCAGAACGAGGTAGAACATGCCACACGACGCTGTTTGAGATTTGTTTCCTGTGGTCATTTTTAACTTTTATTTGTTTACAAATTAATACATTCACTCTTTATCTCCAAAACCTCTCCTTAAAGTCCCACCCCCGCATGAGACTGTGGCCTGCACACCACGCCCAGTTATTTCAGAGATAAAGGCGTCTTTCCTACAAATCTCTCTCTCAGCCCCGAGGGATTCCCATAGGAACGGACCCTAACCAGCCTGTCCTGCCAGCTGGAGAAGTTGCTGTACTGGAGACAAACAGTTTTTAACTGGGTTTGTTTGGACTCCGGGGAGGAGCGAGCTCTTCAGAAGGCATGTGGATGTGTGAATTACGGACAATAACACAGGAGAACGGGAGGGAACGGGAGAACACGATAATGAATAGGCCCTGGCCCTGGGGTTCGCTGGGTGCTGCCGGCGAGGACAGTGAGGACAGGTGGGCGGAGGGCTAGAGTGCGGGTGCTGGTGTCTCTGTGCCAGGCCTGGGGAGTCAGGGCCCCTGACCACAGGGTGCTCACTGGGAGAAAAGCTTCTGGGGGCTGCTCTCCTGAGTGGATCGGAACAGCCTGGCATCTGTGTGCGGGTGGACTAAAAAGAGCGCCTTAGAGGAAGGCACCTTCCCCAGACTGCCATCTGCTGGGAACTGTCCCCAATGGCAACATAAATAGCTGATCACAGCGGGGGGATGGCGCCCCCTGTGGTTAGGGACTCGCAATCTGCACAACTGGACAGGAGCTTCTTGTCCAAGTAGTTGTCTGTAAATGTCTTCTGTTCTTGAAGGTACACGAAAGACCTAAAACAACTGATCACAGTGGCCACAGTGAGGCCAGACCTCACATTTATCTGAGGACGGTACATGTGTGTGCTAGTTTTCTAGAAGAACTTCCCTGGGAAGCGGGATTTATTGACCATAGCATAGGAATTGAATGCTTCTGAGTAGCTGGTGTTCCGCTGCATGGGGACAGCCACAGGGATGCCAGGGGCCTGTGGGGAGCGCCCGCCTCTCTGGCTCACTGTCTCCCTCCAGTGCCTTACCCAGCCTGGTGCCACCGGTCTCCCCCTGCCCCTCCCACTCCTACCCACTGTCCTCCAGCCTCCTCCAGCCCCTTTCTCGAAGGCGGGAAGAGCTTTGCCCATTTCAAACGTTCTTGTCATTCCTGTGAAGGCTCTCCCTGGTAATGGCCCCTCTCCACTCCCATCGCTGCTCTGCCTCCCCGTGGTCGGCAAACCACGGCTCGCAAGCCACATGTGGCTCTTTGGCCCCTTGAGTGCGGCCCTCCCACAAAATACTACGACCTGGGAGAGTCTATTTTGAAGAAGTGGCATTAAAAGAAGTTTAAGTTTAAACCAATGGACATAAAACTCTGGGGAGGGAGGGGATGTGTGGGAGGGAGGAAGGGGGGTAAAAAAAAATCAATAAAAGATGTAAAAATAAAAAAAATAAAAAAAAGAAGTTTAAGTTTAAAGAATTTGGCTCTCAAGAGAAATTGCAATCGACGTACTGTTGATATTTGATTCTGTTGACTAATGAGTTTGCCGACCACTGCCCCAGTCCCTTTCTTGTGAATTGAGACCTCTCCCTCCCCGACTATTGTCCTCTCTCCCCACTCTGTCTTTTGATCCAAGTCTGTATGAAACACTGTCCCCTCTCACCTGTCCCGTAGGTAAGCCATCAGTCCGTCAACTGCCCAAAGCCTGAGAAATCCCACATGTTGGGGGTTGGGGGTGGGGGGGAGAGACAGGAGGAGGGAGGCAGAATGGCCTGATAATTGTTAGAAGTGTGGCTTGAAGTCAAGTCCAGCTCCGTCCTCTAGCAGTTTAAGCTCAGGCCAACCTCTTAACTGCTCTAAGCCTCAGTTTCCCCTTCTGCACCTTGGGCATAATAATAGTTGTTCCCTGCCAGCATGAGCAGGATTGAGAGAGACAATGAGGGCTCTCAGCTGACGTCAGTCCGGACGGGGAGCAGTTGCCCGCGTAAAGCTCATGCACGTCACTGTGCCGCAGGGTTGCACAGTGTAGTGAGGAGGGTAAGGGCACGGTCATGCAGGTGGGGACCTTGGGCAAGTCCTCTGACAGCTCCGTGCCTCAGTTTCCTTGCCTGTAAAGTGGGGGCTAACATGGGAGACACATCACAGGATCGTGAGGATTGATATTTGTAAAGCTCTTAAGGCAGCTCCCGGCCCAGGAGCACGTGGCCGCTGCACTGGAGAAGCTGCGAGAAGTGACGGGAGGAGCACAGGCGTCCCAGGCCCAGCTTCGTCTCATCGGCAAAGTGGTCCCCGTGGCAGTGCCACGTCCGTACCGCCTGAGAGAGGAGCCGGGTCCAGGCCTCTCCACCGATGGTACTGCGATTGCCACGGCCCCCTGTCCCCTCTGCAGCCGCTGGCCTGGTCCTCTCCCCACCCCGCTGAGCGCCGGGCCCTCGCCTCACGTTGTGCTTTCCCCTCTGCAGACGTTCAGTGAGTTTGAGATCGAGCAGCACCAGGAGTGTGCCTACGACCACCTGGAGGCGTATGACGGCCCTGACGCCCTGGCGCCCATCCTGGGCCGGTTCTGCGGCAGCAAGACGCCGGAGCCCGTGCTGGCCTCGGGCAGCAGCCTGTTCCTGCGGTTCTACTCGGACGCCTCGGTGCAGAGGAGGGGCTTCCAGGCGGAGCACAGCACCGGTGTGTGGCCGCCGCCGGGGGCGGGAGATGGACGGGGGGCAGGCAGGGACGGGCTGCCTCTTCACATGGCTGTGTGTGTGCTAGCATGACCCGTTTAAAACGCAACATGGGCAACAGTGGGGGAAGGTTGCTTTCTTTTTCTTTTTTTTTTTTTTTTAATATATTTTATTGATTTTTTACAGAGAAGAAAGTAGAGGGATAGAGGTTAGAAACATCGATGAAAGAGAGAAATCGATCAGCTGCTTCCTGCACACCTCCTACTGGGGATGTGCCCGCAACCAAGGTACATGCCCTTGATTGGAATCGAACCTGGGACCTTTAAGTCCGCAGGCCGACGCTCTATCCACTGAGCCAAACCAGTCTTGGCATGCTTTCTTTTAATGTCCTTCACTGATGACGTGTAAAGTGGGCAATATGGCATGGTATTGGTGCCACGCTTCCTCCGCCCCCTCCTTCCTCCCGTCCTCTCTTGTAGAAAGTGAATTGTGATATTGCTGGTCTGGGCGACCCAGAAGTCTGGGGCTGAGTGCTGGGGAGCAGCCCTGTCTAAGGGCCAGTCCGGAAAAGGGAAAATAGTTCTGCCTCCCGGTGTTTATCCCTCACTTAAGTGGACGCTTTATTTGGTCCTTTGGAGGAATACACATGCTTATAACTGACATCTGCTTTGTTACGTAGAAGGGTGTCAGTAAGCAGATGGGCTCTGCTCTTTAGCCATTAAAGCTGGGGGTGGAACCCCGGAAGCAGTGTTGTTCTGACTCTGGTGGTAGATTGTGGCCCTTTGGATAAGGGGCGGCTGCCCAAGATCCACTTTGTGTCTGAGATCAGCGGACCCTGTGAGGGTCTCTGGTCCCTTGCACAGCCCCAGCCCTCAGCGTTCTTTGCTTTCAGAGACAGAAAATATGAATCAGGTAAAACCAAAGGACAACCAGCATCCGCAGGCGCTTAGCTGTCCTTGCCTTCTAGAAAACACTCCGTTACCTGCCCCCTCTCAGCTCCTCAGCGGGTTCTAGCTTCCCCGCAGGAAATGAGAAAGCCGTGGACTAATGACTCCACTCTCTTGTCCCTACAGACAGAACATAGGTGCTTGAGGCAGGTCAGGGTCCCAGCAAGAAATGGGGTACTCAGAGAGCTATTATTTGAGGAGAATTTAATAAGGGACTATATATATACAAAGTGGCAGACAGGGTGTGGGGACACCATGGGGACAGTGCAGCGACCAGGACTAAGAACTATCGGAGGGTAGTAACAGTCCAGATGAGGGAGTAGGTTCTGGAGCCTGGCTACAGAATGGGGGGGGGGGGGGGGGTAAGCAGAGGGTACCTGGACAGGAGCAGTGACTTTTAGGTGAAGAACACAGCCTTAGTTGACCAGGCAGGGAAGTAGCTTGGGACTAAATTCCTTGACCTACCTCCTTCCTCCTCTCACCCACTGGTCCTTCCCCTGGCTGAACCCAACCAGAGGCAGAGGGCAGGGGGCCCAGTCATGTGGACCCGGAGATCAGCCTCCAGGGATGGAGAGGGATCTGGCAGGAGGGAGAGACGTCACCTTGCCCTGCTCTATGCCCATTTCATTGCCGGCGACATCTCAGGGATGTGAGGTTTTCCAAAGGCTCACTAGAAGGAATTCCAAGCCAGAGCACATGGGCCGGGGAGTTGCAATCAGACAGGACTGGGGCCTGCTGGGCCTGGACGAGGCGGAAGGCACGCCCCAGGAAGCTCTGGGCCCCTCGGAAGCATGGAACACATTGAGGACAGACAGCAAGGAGTTTGCTTCCAAAGTTCCTGGTGTTTCCTAGTCTCTGATCGCTGTCATCCTTTTATATTTTGTGGCCTGCAGTGGCCCAGACACGAGGTAGCCTGGGACCCAGGCCAACCAGAGTTACAGTTCTAGTAAAAACCCCAGAAGCCAAGACTACAGAATACAAAAGATGAGATGAGGTAAGCTCACTGGTGACACGCACAGCGGCCTCAGTGGTGCCGGTGGTCAGTGTTCTGAAATGCAGGAGCTTGAAGCTTCCAGGTTTCAGACCTCACCAGCAGATCTGATGGGCTTTTGGTGCCCTCTGTTGGTGAAAGTTACAAATTACAGCAAGTCAATTGGGCTGGTGTGAGCCCTTGGCAGGTGGGTCTAAGCACTTCCAGGGAGTTAAGTGGCCAAGAGCAGGCGGCCAGCTGTTTCAGCAGTGTGCCCAGGGATTCCTGGAGGCCTTAGGTGGCTCAGCCTGGGGACATAGGACCTTGGCTCTCAGGCCCAATTTGGATCCCGCAATGAGCCCTGAATTGCAGAGTCATATTCCTCTGCTTACTCCTCTGTAAAACGGGATGACGCCCCTTGTTTGGCCTCTCCCCCAGGGCACGCACAGGCTTGGCAGACAAAAGTGGCCTGGAATGAGGGGGGTGGGTGTGCAGAGGGAAGTCCCAGACGGGAACGTGGGCAGTGGGGGTGGCACATGGGTTCTCTGTGCCGAGGGGGCATCGTGGTTCTCTCTTCGCTCCAGAGTGCGGGGGCAGGCTGAAGGCCGAGGTGCAGACCAAAGAGCTCTATTCCCACGCCCAGTTCGGGGACAACAACTACCCGAGTCAGGCCCGCTGCGACTGGGTGATCGTGGCGGAGGACGGTTATGGCGTGGAGCTGGTGTTCCGGACCTTCGAGGTGGAGGAGGAGGCGGACTGTGGCTACGACTACATGGAGGCCTACGACGGCTACGACAGCACGGCGCCCAGGCTCGGCCGCTTCTGTGGCTCTGGGGTGAGTCCCGGTTCGCTGGGCCCGGGGCACAGAGCTCGGTGATGAAGAGCGGGAGTAGGGGAGTCAGACACCCACTTATGATCACCACCGGGAGGCCTGTTCCTCTGGGAAACAGTGGGAAATGGGGAGGATAGTCAGAGAGGAGGTTGGGAGGGAGCCAGAGACCAAGTCCTAAAGGCCTTGGACTGAGGTCAGCTACTGAGGAGCATTTTCCATGGAAGACTCTTTCCTATTTTTGCAAAAGCACCTACTCTCCTCCCAACCCCCCATTTTTATTTGGCCTTAGGCTTTTTACATTTTCGATTGTACTTTTGTATATTTACAGTTCTCTCCCCAAGCAAAACCAAATGCCCATGGAAATTACAAATCGCCATCTTTGGTTATCATCCAGATCGTCATCATTTTTCTCACTATTACCTCTTTCCTGAGCCACCTCTCCAGGACAGGGAGACCCCTTTTGCTCACCACTTCCCCAGCACCTGACATAGCCCGCCGGTTAGTGGGTGCTCAGTGAAGGTGTGTGGACCAGCAGAACAGTCCTGGCCCCACTCCGGCTGTACCACGCTGGGCACTGCCCACACCAGGCCCTCAGCCTGCAGCCGTGAGGCTCATCACTCGAGCTTCTTTGCTATTGGCTGGACACGTAGCCAATCATTTGGGAGTCACTGGTGCTCCTGGGGCTAAACAGAACCTCCACCTGGCATGTATATGTCTCTGGGTAATTTCCCTTCATCTACCTGTATCTCCCAAAAAGAAAGGATGAATGTGTGGCATAATCAGTGCAGCGCCTGCCATAGATAACATCTTTCAAAATGTGGGTCCACAGGCAGAGGAAAACCTTGGGGCGTCCTGAGCAGTGAAATATGTGGGGAGTCCAGTTTGGTTCCACTTGTATGTGGCAGGTAGCAGCAACCTATATTCCTTCTTTCATACTTCCTTGTTAATTTTGTGTTCGACCCTTGTCAAAACTTAATTGCTTCAGGAGTAAGGCTACCCAAATATATGTTTAAAGCTGGAAAATTTTAGTATCACCTTTTAATCAAAGCCATCAAATTGTATCAATCAAATCAAATCAGATCAATCAAACCAATCAGCATGGTGCCCCTAGCGCTGGGTGATTCACGGTACACATTTGACCACCAGAAAGACCGGGGTTGGGGTCTGCCTACCCGTGTGCACTTGAGTCTCAGTTTCTTTAAGCATAAGATGGAGCTCGCACCTGCTTTGTAAAGTGTAGTAACATTTACATGAGATAAGATCCAAAAGTGCGTAGACCAGTGCCTGGCCCATCTGTACACTGAATAAATTCTATGTGAGCTGTGTCCAGGGTTGACTTTGGAAAAGCAGGGCCGGGAGCTCCTGGAGCAGAATTTGCAATGAGCGCCTTCAAAAGGGCGCTGGTTTTGGTGCTCTTTAGAGTCTCTGGTCCCAGGGATACCTAATGGCACTATCCGCCATCCTATGATTGTGTAAAGTCCTGGCTCGTCCTGATTTTAAACTCCATCCCCAGTAGTGTGGCTTAAAGTACCCTGTTTTCCTCTCTCCTTCCCTCAGCCATTGGAAGAAATCTATTCTGCAGGGGATTCTCTGATGATTCGCTTCCACACGGATGACACTATCAACAAGAAAGGCTTCCAGGCCCGGTACACCAGCACCAAGTTCCAGGACGCTCTGCACATGAAGAAATAACGTCCATGTTCTCGGAAGACAGCGACTGACAAGGTTTTTAAAAAAAAATAAAAATAGCACCTTGCGAATCTGCCCTAAAAAACAATGTACAGTATTTTTCTCAAACAAAACCTCAAAATCTAGTCTTGGAGGTGTGTAGTTGATGAAGTTTGGCCAACAAGGAAGAGGGATGTTCCTTTGATTCCGGTTGCAGCATGATCAGTTATGGACTTTCAAAGATTAAGGTTTGAAGCCACTAATCATTCAAGCTATGCCTGTCATTACCCATTCTCCTTGTCCCTTACTCCTATGGGGCAAGAGACCAGTCTTCGGGTTGGTCATTCCTCCGTTTCTGGACAGGCTTCCATAGGTGCCAGTAACCTGACCATGTGCTGGAGACTCCGGCTGTCTTCCATTGCACTGGGCAATGAGGATGAGAGCTTGGCCAAGGCTGGTTTGTCCCTCACAGCTTTGGGCAGAGACTCTACCAGAGACAGGTTAACCAGGAAACTCAAGCATGTGGACATCAGGACTGAAACAGGTGTCACAGTGAGCAGTACACAGAGGGAGCTCGAGTACTAAGCGCCATGGTCACCAAGTTGGGAGACCTCAAGCCTTTCTTCTGTGTCTTCAGCTCTCCCTGCCCCCTAGGTTTCCCCCTCATCCCTCATTGCATCAGGGGACTAAGGCACCTGCTGTGAAGTCCAGCAGTACGTTGGTGTGTAAGGGTCCCCAGGTTGCTGAGAAGAAAACATCCTGGCTCGTGTCGATGCTCCTTGGTCCGCTGACCTTGAGAAGACTCCACCTATGCACCGTGGGATTCCATGGGCTCAGAACCTTTGCTCCTTCAGCTTTGGGGGTACCATCTGTGGTCGACCTTGACTCCTTGACAACCAATGCAAACTGTGTTTGCAAAGATGTGCAAAGACATCTTACAAGGGACCAGTTCAGGTCCCTCAAGGGTGAACACTGTTTAAAACTGGTTAATCATAAGTTATGTAAGAATCAACACTTTGTGGAACAAGTCAACCTGTGACTAGCTTCCTGTAACTGATCAGGTTAAAGAGCGCATTGGTGATTTGGCTCAGACTAGTCAGTCTCCAATGTCCAACTTGCAAAAGGAATTCACCACACTTGGCACTTGTTCTAGAGAAGTGTAGAGGATGTTGTTTACACAATTTTAGAACCTCCAGGTAAACTTTAAACAGTGAGGTAATTTTGAATGGCATTTCATTAAGGCATCTATGGGCATTATGAGCTAAAAGCAGTGGTATGTAGCTTTAAAAGAGTATTTATGTTGGAATAATTTTAAATAATGTTTACATAGCTGTACATCCTGTCTGGTTGGTACTGAACACCGGACGGAGCACCAGTGTTTTCAGTGAGAGTGCAGACAGCTCCCAAGCACAGAATTCTTTTGGGGGAGAACAACATTATTTTAAACAAAAGTGTTTGCAAAAGGTTAAAGGTTATGTTTCTAAAAGATCAAAGTATGCCCCCAGAAGACTATGTCTAATTTAAATGATTGCTGGGAGTAAAAAAAAAAAAAAAAAAAAAAAAGAAAGAAAGAAAGAAAGAAAGAAAGAAAAGAAAAAAGAAAAAGAAAGAATAATACAAAAAAAATGCATGGAAATATTTTTCCTTAAAACAGAAAAAAAATCAAAGTATTATTATGAATAATAATATATGTCTGTATATATGTGTGTCTGTAAAAGATTAGCTGTCAGAGCCTTAATCCCTGCAGGAGACAAATGCCGACCCGGGACCATAGCTTTCCTGAGCAGGCCCTCCTGACCGGCCTGCATCTACACGCTGTTTCCATTTACCAAGCCCTCCCTTTGCCTCTCTGAGGCTGGAGGCTCAGCCTACGTTCTCACGCCGTGATGCATCGCAGGCCCTGCCCAGCGGATCTTTGATGCGGCAAATGCAGCAGCTTGTCTTGTGGTTCAGGTCTCATCTGCCTGTGAGGGTGGATTCCAACTCTCTGATTTCTGTATCCTCTGGGATTTATTTTGTCTCAGCTTATCTGTCCAAGCTACAGCTGAAATCAGGGTATCTAAGTGGCTGTTAAAGGTCTTTCTCCAAGGTCATGAAAATTCTATGGTTTCCATCTGTAGAAGTGTAAATAAGAGTAATGAATTCCCTGGAGAAGTGGGAGGGAGTCCGAATCAGGCAGCTTTGCCTCAGTATATGTTCCCCCACCCCCATCCTCCCATGGGAAACAATAGGATTCATTTTTATCTCTGTAGTACGAGTATTTTCAAAAGCACACGACTTTAACAATTATCCACCTGTGGCCAATTAGAAACAATGGGACACTTATGAAAACCTTTGCTGGGCCTTCTGGGAGTGACGTATTCCCAGAAAAGACAAGCTCTGATTCAACGGGGACTGGCCTGCGATTGCCACACGAGGCGGGTGCTGACATGTCTGCACACTGGCTCCACGGAGAAAAGCCCATTCCGCAGAAAGGCCCAGGCCCCTGCCGTGGTGCTCAGTGACCTTCCCACATACCCTCCCTCCCCTCGGATGGAGAGGAGGGAGCCAGGACATTGCTCCAGCCAGCTTCGTCCTTTAATCGGTGCTGGGCCTCAGGGTTGTCACAGAGCTCAAGCCTAACTTCAGTTCAGAGAATTAGCTTGACGACCTGATGACTATTTAGGGCCTGGGTCTTCAGCCTGGTCAGATTCCAGTGTCCTCTGGCCTAGCAGAAGCTCGCAGCTGGGTCCCAGGGCAGAGTAAGCGTCTGGAGTTCACGTTAACCTATGAACTCCTCCAAACAGAGAAAGTGAGGCTGTGGTTGGTTCACTTGAACTTCATTTCTTCTCAAGGGAAGTTTCCTATGACTCATGATAAATCACCTGCAAAATCTTGTTAACTGGCAAGTTTGCACTGGGATTTGCCATGGATCTGGTCCCTTTGCTAAGTCTCAAGTGATTCGTGGTATTGATACTGTTCAGTTTGTGAACAGATCTTCCCATGGCTCTAGCAGATGTCTTTCAAGTTTCCTCTGTATTCTGAACTTCTGAGAAATAATCCCAAATGCCTAAAAGGTTTCTTAAAAAAAAAAAAAAAAAGAAAAGAAAAGAAAAAGAAAAACTGTTTAGAGTGTTATCTATAAATATATTGTATTTTTTATTTTGTGTAATTTTCCATTTCATGAAGTATTGTCAGTTTCAAAGAGAAACTGGAGAGGAGCAACCATATGGTCTAGAAATAATTGTTTTATTAAAGAATGTGGATGGATTGCTGTGTCCTGGGTGCATATTACCAGTTCCGACAGGATTGGTCCTGATGGTGATGATTTTCCCCAATGCCATAAGAATTTGGGGAGCATAGAAAAAGAGGGTCCTTCTCCATAGCTCTCTGCTCTCTGGTGAGTACCCAGGGCCCAACTCCAGAAGAGAGTCTCTACTAAACCCGAAAGTCATGAGCAAAGCTAACGGCGACCTCAAAATTGTCCTCTTTCCTGGAAATCTGACAACAACTTGATGGTGGAGATGGTTGTTCCCCCAAGGATATAAATGTGGTAGACATCTTCCAATTGTCCCTCAGCAAGTCTCTCTGCTTGTGTCTATGCGGTTTTGTGCCCAAGGACCAGATCTGACATCTAAAACTGAAGGCCATGGCTCCTAAAAGGTGGCCTTTTCTCTCTGGCTTCTGGCAGCCACTCCTTCCATTCCCTCCTCCAGGTCTAGGGGTGCTGATGACACGCTGCTGGCCTAACCCGGGTTATCTACAGGAACCTTTATAAATACTCCTTCTAATAATCGCCCTTCAAATGCTTCAAATTGAGTATGTCACTAACTTCCTGTGGGGACTCTGACTGGCAGAGTCATTTATAACTCAAGGATAGAGACTATCTGATCGATGACAGCTCCCTGGCCCTCTCTTCATCCTATGTGCTCCACTATACCTAACCAATAAGCCCCCTTCCTAGAGTAATCAGAGTCCTTTTTGATGCTTGTGACCTAGCACCACAGACAAGAGAGGTCTTAGCAATTCTGCTAAAGGACTAACATGCCCTTTGGAGGGAGAGTTGGTGGTCAGCAGATACACAGCAAACAAAAAGAATCAAAAAGGACCTCACTGGCCTTGCCCATCCACAGACAGCCTAACCAGAGGGGGCTGGAACCATGAGCTGGAGTTCCCGGGTCCAGCTATCTGGTCCAGGTGTGATCCTACGCCCAGCAAGCAAAGTTGGAAGGAAGCATGCTTTGTACCACTTGTGTAATGGAAGGAGTCCAGTCATTGCCACAGTGTCCTCCCCATTGGATAGCGTGGGACTGAGGCTGGAAGGAGCTACTTCACTCACCTAAAACCACACAGCTTCCAGAAGGGCCACTCGGACTTTCACTACAGACTTCCCTGGACGATGACTCCGTGATGCTCAGGCACTAATAGACTCGGTTTAGGGATCATCTTGGGAACTGAAAACCCCATGAGGCAAAGACCACATTGGTCTTGTTCAGGTCAGTATCCCACTGCCTGGACACCACACCCTAAATCCATTTTTTCAATATGACCTGACTAAACAAATGGAGCCGCCATCCCCTCTGTGAGTCAAGTTCCAAAGCCAGGAGTTGGCTTCATTATGCTCCTTCCCTCGCCTTCTCTCCTCTCCCCTGCCCCACATTTCTCTCCCCGGCCCCCTTCATCATCAACTCTCATTGCCACTGCCCCCACAATGAGTCACTGACTCACTCACTGCTCTCCATTCCCACTGCCCCAACCCAGGGCAGCCACCATCGTCCTTCACCGGACTCTGCGAACCAGTGCCTGCATTTACATTCTTGTCCCCTGAAATCAGGCTCTGCAGTGAGGCCAGCTGATCTTTGTTAACATCAATTAGCTCAGGCTCCTGTCCCACTTAAAACCCTGGCAAGGCTTTCCATCGCTCTACAGTAGAAATCTTACCTGCCCTGCGGCCTCACACCATAGGTCCCTAATTCAGTGACTCCTTCCGGGGTCACTGTCTGGTCTCTGTTGTTCTAGGTCAGTGGTCGGCGAACCACGGCTCACAAGCCACCTGCGGCTCTTTGGCCCCTTGAGTGTGGCTCTTCCACAAATTATCACGTGCAGGCGTGCATACACAGTACGATTGAAACTTCTCGGCCCATGTGCAGAAGTCGATTTTCAGCTCCCAAAAGAAATTTCAATCGTTGTACTGTTGATATTTGGCTCTGTTGACTAATGAGTTTGCCGACCACTGCACTAGGTGCACTGGACACTGTCCAGTGTGTGAGGGTGCCAGACTGCTTCAGCCCCAGGGTTTTACCTTTGCTGCCCCCTCTGCCTGGGACCCTCTTCTCCTCTTGCACATGCAACTCACATGTCCTCTCAGCTGCCTCTGGGTCACTCTGCTCACCTGCTCCTCCACAGCGATTCCTGCCCTCGCTGGAGTGTACATTCCCCACAAGCTGGGGCCTCCTTTGTCTTCATCACCCATTCTGAGAGCGGTGCCCAAATAATACTCAACCGGCAGAAGGTGAAAACATATTTGTTAAGTAAATTAAGAAATGCACTTATTTAAATGATCAAATTTATTGGTCTTAAATCCGTTGTTTTGTTGGCAATGGCACACCAATGCCTTCACTATTTTAAAGAAGTAAACTCCTAACAGAGAACGCATAAGAAATAAAAAGCAGCCCATGTCAACAGCCTCCTCCAGCTCCAGGACTGCCCCCCACCCCACCCCCCATTCAATGTGTGAGAACAGAAAGGGGTGAGGCTAAACTCCACCAGGCAGGATGTGTGTTCGCTGTGGCAGCCCCAGTCCTTGCTCACATACAGGGCAGGTCCCAGCCCCTATCTCCCAGGCAGCCTCCACGGCGGCGATGCTGGTACCGGGCTGACTCCATCCTCGCTGGAATGCCGATGTCTAGCAGCTGGGCCAGCTTCAGCTGGTGGGACCCATTGTTTCTAGAGAGTTTCCAGCTGCAGGAGCCGCTGAGCTCCCGGCCAGCTGTGGGTTCTTCGCTGAGTTGGAAGTGTAACGGAGGAAGGGACCTGAAACGTCAGAAGGACAAGAAATAAAGGCAACGAGGGTGGAGCGGGAGCCTGAGATGATTGATGTTGATGAAGGTCACCTGGCTTCTCGGTGGAGCCTGGACACACAGGGGCTATGGAGCAGGGGGCCGTCTTCCTCGAGGGATGGGCCGAGGACTCGGCTACTCCCCTGACCATAAATGGCTTGGCCAGGGCCCTCTTGGAGCCACCTCTAGCCCTGTCACCCTTGCTCTCCCAGTTGGATGTCCCTGCAAATGCGAGACACAAGCCAAGAACTTCAGAGAGAAAGGAGCCTGCGGAGGACAGTATTTGGAGGAGGTTCTTGGGAGGCTGTCGGAATGGTGAGTGACAGCTAGCGTCTTCCCCTCGGCCTAACCTTCATTCTCTCTGATTACCATCAATACCCAGGCTTTTAAGACTCACATCTCTAATTCTAATAGAATTGTTTCTTTCATACAATGAAGTCAAGGGGCTTGGTTTTAAATTACTTTTCTATGTGCAAAATACTAATCATGTTTGTAAAGTTCTTGTCAAATAATTGCCGGTCTCATTTTTCACTTAAGGTTCTGTTTATAACACCTCACATACGGCAAGAGTACAAAGTAGATGTCTCAGCTAAATTCACTTCCCAGGTGAAACAATGGGCCTGATCAATGCCTTTATCCCTTATTGTTCAGTCTGCCTTCTACGACCTGGCCAGCAATATAGATATTCATAGGTTGCATCAGAAACTTTCCACCTTTTTTAATTGACTTGCAACACATATCTGGTTGTGACTCAAATGAGGTTTACTATGTTAAAAGGGAAAACAGAAGAGGTTTCCGTGATTCTTCATTAAAGAGATCATTGAAAGGAGTGGAATTTGGGCTTTGTAGTTTGGGGGATCAACAATCCAATCCAGCCCCTACCACTCACCAGCAGGTGACATCGGGAGCCTATTTTGGTCTCAGTTCTCACCCAGGATGTAGGGATGAGAGCAGGCCCTTCAGAGAAGGGATGGGGGGGTGGTGGTGAGCGCAGCATCTGACCCTCAGAACACCCCCAATAACAGGGAGTAATTATCCGACTCCCTCCATTTCCCCTCAATAACAGCAAATTTATACCAAGTGCCACTTGGCTGCTGAGATCCTAAAGGGCCTTCAGAACCATCGTGTAGACATCCTATTGTGCTTAGACTTACACTAAGTGCATTTTAGCAACAGGGGTTCTACACCAAATTCGAGTACTTTGAATATTGCTGATGTATGTGTGGGCTTTCATCCAAAAAAACCTTCCCAATTGTTTTCCCTGTGCCTTGCTCTGTGCCGGGCCATGAAGAGTATGGCGCCATGTGGACCCTCACACACCTGTAGTGTTTTACAGTTTGGATGGAGCTGCTCCCGATGTTATTTCATTTGGACGTATCCTGTACGATGGACAGGGCAAGTTGATTGTATCCCCATTCTGAGGATGGAAAACCTGAGCCTGGGAGATCTGTGTGAGGAAATGGAGACCAGAGAGTTGGAGGCAGTATTCCAAGGCCACACAGCTTCTAAGTGGCCGAGTCTAAGTGGCGGAGTTCCTCACCCCACCCAACTGCCTCTTTCAAGAACACTGCGTCAGATTCTTCTCCACCCAACTTTACGCGTTGTTTTTCTCTCCGTGAGAGCACTGTGTTTCTACAAAACATAGACGTCTTTCTTAAACTGGCCAAAACCTTCGTCATCCAAATATTGATAAACAGCACATGCAATGGCTCACTTGTTGTTGCTCCTCCCGTCTGCTGTCCACCCAAAGGAAGCTTTGTCTTAGGCCTGCTGACGTCAGTACCCAGTGCTCACTGATGAGATAAGGCTCTGGGCAGCTGTGTTCTGTGCAGTGAACAGCAAGTGTCCTTGCAGTATCTGTGGCTTGGTTGGTGCTAGCAACTGAGGGTATTGGTGAGGTCCCTTGAGGAAGAAGACTCTGACCCAGAGTCCCTCTTGCCCTAATAACCTGGAATAATGTCTGCCTTGGTCTCAGTAAAGAGTATTCCAGAAAGACTGGCATTGACAAGCCCAATCAATGGTGACAGAAGAGGAAGATGGGAGAAGGAAGGGCCCATGGAGCCCTCGACAGGGCCTGACCCAGATAAGTGGCATCTGGGCAGGTGAACAGTTTGATGCCCCATGAGCCCAGGAACTTAAACATTGACTTCAGTCCAGCCGGCTTGGCTCAGTGGTTGAGCATTAACCTATGTACCAGGAGGTCACAGTTCGATTTCTGGTCAAGACACATTCCCAGGTTGTGGGCTTTATCCCCAGTGGGGGGCGTGCATGAGGCAGCAGATCAATGATTCTCTCATCATTGATGTTTCTATCTCTCTCTAAACTCAATAAACATATTTAAAAAAGAAAACCACCGACTCCATATTAGGGGCAGAGGGGCAGCTGGGTGCTGAGTGAGGGGAGGGGAGAGAAGGGTTAGCTTCTCCTCTGTGGTCCTGACCAGCTCAGCCCCAGCCCAGAACCTCCGCCACCGTGGACTCATCAAACATGGAAGCCTTGTCCTTCTCAGGCTCTGGCCCCGGGGGATGGTGAGGGGGAGGGGGTTAGGGAGCAGGAGTTCTTGCCGGGGAGGGCTTACCGTATTTTCCGGCGTATAAGATGACACTGTGTTCTAGTAAAAAGCCTGCTCAGATTGGCCAGAGTCAGAGAGGCGGTCTATTAAAAAAAGAACTGGTGTTGCCTCGGAAGTGGGGGGTAGTCTTATACAGCGAATATAGGCCTAAACCTATGTTTTAACTGTAAAATTAGGGGGCCGTCTTATACATCGGAAAATACGGTACTTCCTAACCCAGCAGCAAGTACCAAGTCTTTCTAAATTCTCACAGTCCCCTCCCTGAAAATAATTCTGGGCTGGGGAGGACCATTTTCAGCCCTTTGCAGAGTTTCTAGTAATGTTCTTACTGGCCTCCCAGATTGGGGTCCCTCAGGCAATAGTCCTGTAGGCTGGCCCCTTGGTCTGGCCCGAGCTGAGGACTGACTTGATGCTCAGACTCATCTGCTCCCCTGCCCTCTTTTTGGGCTGAGATTGGGAGAGGACACGACTGACACTGTCTGGCCAGTAAGTGCTCTTAGAATCGCAGGGTCAGTGACAGGGGGAGAGGTCGGGAGCCTGGCTGGCCATTCCTGAGAGCTTTGGTGTTTCCTTCTCTTTTGCAGAGTTTTTCACTGAACTTCACGCTGCCGGCCAACACGGTAAGTCCAGCGCCCATGCACCAGGCGTCACCGCAGACCCTCCCCGAGGCCAAAGAGCGCAGCACATACACCTCACCTGCACGCACTCGCTTTTCAAAGGCCCGGTGAGGAGCTGGGGCTGATGACATTTCTCCAAGGCTGCACATTGTAAATACGCCATTTGAAAAGAAACAACATCCAGGCTGTTTTCTGACCAGTAATGCTGCCGAGGAGCTAGTCATCTTCCCGGCCCAGATTGTTGGTGGGTTTTGAAGTGCCAAATGTTTCTGATGAAGTCGTCTGGTTATTCGAAGAGAATAAATTGGATCTACCTCATAAGTGGACACCTGAGCCAGGGTTCAAGTCCCTTGTAACGCGAGGGCCCGGTCCAGAGAGCAGCAGGAAAGGTGCCGACCCCCTGGTGCCCCTACTGGCTGCCCTGGGCATATGCCCAGACTCCTTTGGCACCTGGGCACCCTCCTGGTGGCACCCTGCCTTCTGAGCCTCCCTGACTTGCTCAGCTCCCTGTCGGCAGACAAAACCCCTTCCTTCCCCTGAGCTGTCAAAGCCTGTTAATATGGTCGGGGCTGAAACGTTCCCCCGCGCTGATTAGACTCAGCGGGTCTGTAGCGACCCCAGGTTTTGTCCTATCCTGGCATGGCCACCTTATGAAGGTAACTCAGGGGAGCAAGAAGCCGTTACTTGGGGGCGGAGGGAGGGGGGGGAGAGGTGAGTGTGTGAGGGGAGGTCCTTGTGATGCTGGTCCCCACCTTCCGGAGTGCTTTCTTGGTTAACAGCCCATTTCTCTGGGAACGGTCCTCTCTCCCTGTGAACCTGTGTCAGATGGCCCACCATCCTGATCAGCCTGGGACCATCAGCTTTTAATGCCAACTGTGCTGCAACCTAGGCAACTTAGGCAACCTTCCGGAAAACCAGGACGGTCACCCTACCTCGAAGTTAAGCATTTACCATATAACCACTCCCTTTGGTGCTGCTAAGTGCCCGTGCCCAACATCAGAGCCAGGCATACTGGCTACCTATTTTACAGATGAAGAAATCTGACCCCTCACCTGTGATTGGAGACATTGCCATTCCACTCCAGGTAGGGAGCCCAGGACCTACCCTCTTAACCCAACACTGGACCACTCAGCATAATTGACAGCGGCTGGTTGCTCATGTAGATGTTGGTTCCCTGAGAGTTGTTGATGCAGGTAAGACTATCACCTGAAATAGCTCGTAAACAGGGGAGATCCAGTGCCTCTCCTTGAGTGGAGATGTGAGCTGGAAACATGTAAAGCATTCATCGAGTATGGAACTAACCCAGAAACATGGACAGTTCACAATTTCAGATCCCCCGCAGCCACTTGCTTCATTGCATGTTTGAAAACAATAAGGTGTCCTTCACTAGTTTCCACCAGTCTTTACCTTTTCCCTCTAGCAGGGGGACAGGTAAGCCCAAAGAGTTCTGGGAAGGATGTGGGGACTAGGGATTGGAGAAAGCCTTCTTGAGTTGTAAAGGGTGTTACAGCAAAACTCTGGGGTACATAACAAACACCTCTTCTGAGTTTCTGAATTCTGTCTCTTTGTAGAAGAATCTCTGCTTCTTCTAACCTGGAAAGCAGTCAAGTAAGGGTCTGTTGGGCAGTCATTGTTGCCAGAGGCTAAGACCAACAAGCAGTTAGCATAATTATTTGAGAAGTCCTCAGGAAGGCTAATGGACTTTGATATTCAGCAAGGGCTGAAAATCAGCATATTATTGCCCTGCTTGTGGCTGAATGGCTGAAGGCAGTCCCCTAACCTGGTAATCCTTTTATTGTTTACCAAACTTTACCTTTGATGCCTGTTTGCTTTGCTAAAGGGAAAATGTGTATTCTAGTAAATAAAAATTATGGGTCCGAAGATTCAGGGAGCTTCTTCACTAGAATGAGGCCTCTGCCTAGCTCCCCCAATGCCTTCTACATTTATATTTCTTTTCTAGTATATCCGTTTGTGCACAGCCCATTCTCCAGACCTTGAGCCCTAGCCACAGATGGATTCAGCAGTCACAATTGTTTCTATTGTTTTAATAGAATTTTTAGCAAAGGGGTGAATGTTAGGCATGATAGAATTTTAGGCAGTTCACACTTGACAGACTGTCTTGTTTAATATTCATTCCACAAATAATATTCATTTGTTTTCTTTTTTAAAAAATATATTTTATTGATTTTTTACAGAGAGGAAGGGAGAGAGATAGAGAGCTAGAAACGTCGATGAGAGAGAAACATCGACCAGCTGCCTCTTGCACACCCCCTACCGGGGATGTGCCCACAACCAATGTACATGCCCTTGACTGGAATCAAACCTGGGACCTTTCAGTCCGCAGACCGACGCTCTACCACTGAGCCAAAGCAGCTTCGGCTCATTTGTTTTCTTAAGATACATGTTCTTTTTCCACACAGACTACCTCTCCAGCTGTTACAGGTAGGAAAGAAGAGGTGAGTATGCCCCTTACATTTTGGAGCCTTGGTTTGATCATTTATAAAACGGGAATAATGATGCTGTACCCATCTTGTGCATTTCTTTTAAGGAGTAGATAAATTTGATATGTGAACTGTTACCAAGCACAGACTCTGGCTCAACTATTATTCTTATGACCAACTCAGCTCAGAAGTGGGGGAGAGAATGCAAATCACAGATGGATTTCACAATGTGTTGAGCAAAAGAAGTTAGACAGAAAAGAGTTGGCAGGTTCTGGAAGAATGTTTTGTTCAACACTGTTTCATTATAGCATTGGCCAGATGCTGTAGGGCCGGAACTCTTATTTCTATTAATCAGTCCATGGTAAAAACCGGTTTCATTGTATGTAGTTTCACCACGTCCCAGGAACCTCTGGGTGTTAAGTGAGGACTTACTGTGCATACTGCCTATATGAATCTATATGGGGTTGAAAAACAGCCAAATCTATGGTGATAGATTTCAAGATAGTCTTACACACGGGTGACTAAAGAGGGCTTCTGGGTGCTGGCAATGTTCTGTTTCTTCATCTGGGTGCTAGGCTCCTTATGTGAAAAGTCATCCATCTATATATTTATGATTGATGTACTCTTCTGAATTTATGTTATATGTGAGAATCACACATTTTCACAGATTCTGCAGTTTATCTTTAAAAAAATATTTTTATTGATTTCAGAGAGGAAGGTAGAGGAAGAGGGAGATAGAAACATTAATGATGAGAGAGAATCATTGATCAATTGCCTCCTGCACATCCCCTACTGGGGATTGGCTCGAAACCCGGCATGTGCCCTTGATCAGAATTGAACCTGGGAACCTTAAGTTTGCAGGCCAATGCTCTATCCACTGAGCCAAACCAACTTGGGCTGCAGATTATCTTTGATAATTCCAGAAAATCTGAAAATTTATATGGCTATTTCCACTCGGATCAAAACAAAATGGGAATTTGAAAATTAATTGGTTAATGCATTTAGTGTAAATAAAATTTTAAAATTTCACATCAAAATGGGATGGGATATAATAAAACCTTTCACTTTTTGCCAAACTAATAGATAAAAATGATACCTATTTGTTGCCTTGAATCAGATCTCAGTTGATGAGATATTTGTATTTTTGTTTCTAAGAATGTCCTGTTCATATTCTTTGTCATTTTTCTACTGGATTATTACCTTTTTCTAATTGACTTAAATTATGCAAATTAAATTCTATGAAAATGAGCCATTTGCCACATACTGTACAAAGCAAATATATATATATATATATATATATATATATATATATATATATATATATGTTATATATATATGACAATATTTCATTACCTGCTTGATTTTTGTATAACACTTAGGGTCCCTGAAGGCTTTTTAATTATTATTATTATTATTATTTCAAAATATGTTTTTATTGATTTGAAAGAGAGAGAAAGTGAGAGAGAGAGAGAGAGAGAGAGAGAGAGAGAGAGAGAGAGAAGCATTGATAAACTGCCTCCTGCACGCCCCCTACTGGGGATTGAACTCATAAGCTAGGCATGTGGCCTGATAGAGAATTGAACCAGCAGCCTCTTGGTACATGGGATGATGCTCAACCCACTGAACCACACCAGCCAGAACTCTTACTTTTATTGATTGAAGTTTCCTTTGTTCTTAGAGACTCTGACTCTGCTTTCTCTCTTTGTCAGGATTGTGGGCCCTCTATTGGATTAGCGGCCGGCATCCCATCTCTGGTGGCCACAGCCCTGCTGGTAGCTTTACTGTTTACTCTGATTCACCGAAGAAGAAGCAGCAGCAGTGAGTCCACTGAGGTGATTAGCAGCGTCCTTTGGTCTGAAGGTGTTGGCAGGAGTCAGTATTGGAGGGAATTGGCTTTGGGCAGAGTGTGTTTAGACTTTTATCTGTTTTCTGAGGACAAGACTATGGGCGTTCCCACACCTCGATTTCTCAGACTCATGGGCTGGTTTGTCATAAACCTCAGCTCACGTGAGGAAATCCGTGGCCATAAAGATGGTATTTGGGATGGCAAAAAGTAGCAGTGAAGAGGAACTTCATTGCCATGGTAACGTGTCTGTACATGGATATGTTTTTTTAAAGTTGAGAAATAGGATGGCACAAATGTCCTAAATAAGGAGATGATCTTAGGGAAGATAGAGGAGAAACAGGTGGTGAGGCATCATTGGTAGGTGTATGTTCGGAGTTCGAGGCTCTATTGTCTTTGCCCTTTTCCACATCTGAACACACTTCAGTCACAAGGGAATCTACCAATGCTGCCCCTTCTGGGTGCCAGGTTGCTCTGGGCACCACGCTCAGAATGCAAAGGCCCCCTCGCCAATATCCAGTGAGGGTCCAGGTTGTGATGCAACTGTGTCATGTGGCCTCGGGGTTCTAATCCCATCCTCTGTGAACATGCCTGCTGTTCTCGCAGAGCTCAGCATTCTCAGGGAGGAAGGAAACCGAGGCTCCGATCCGGGCCCTGCCACTTTATCACTTACATGACTCGGGCCTAGTGACTTAACCTTTTCTGTGCCTTCATTAGTTCAACTTAATCGGAGTCATAAAACTAGCCTGCCTATTCTTGGAGGCAGGCAAATTCACAGGGACCAAAGGAAATCATGGAGGTAAAGATGTGTTGGCAAGCTGTACACTTTAACCATTCAGAAGTATTGTGCTTGCTGGTGGTGTTAATTAAGTGGTAGTTTCTCAACCTTCGGTGCATTTTAAAATCATCTAGGAGGCTACAAAAATACCAGTCACCAAGGCTAGTTAAATCAGTATCATCATGGGATAATCAAGTTGTGGCACTAGTCTTTAAGAAGCACAACTTTTAAAAATGTATGGATATGTTTAAACATATACTGAAGTAAAGAGAATTATATGATAAACCTAATTATCAATTCCTGCCTAATTATATTTCATCTTTACTCCCACCCACTTTTCCACACTGTCAACTCTGGATTATTTTTGAAGTAACTCACAATGGAATTTCTTATTTGTGTTTTGGAAAGGGAGAGTTAGTATCTATTTGCTTATTTTGTTTTGTTTTCAAAGTTCTCCGGTGATTGTAATATGCACCTAAGTTTAAGTACCGCAATTAAAATCATGGGCAAATGGTATGACTTTATTTCTTCCCTTCCCTTCCCTTCCCTTCCCTTCCCTTCCCTTCCCTTCCCTTCCCTTCCCTTCCCTTCCCTTCCCTTCCCTTCCCTTCCCTTCCCTTCCCTTCCCTTCCCTTCCCTTCCCTTCCCTTCCCTTCCCTTCCCTTCCCTTCCCCTTCCTTCCCTTCCCCTTCCTTCCCTTCCCTCCTCCCTCTCTTTTCAACTTAGGAAAGTGAGAGGCCATATGAAATTGATGAAATTGATGAAAATCCCAAGATAGCTGAGGTAAGAAATCTTGGTTGTAATCCCTGTATATTATCATACAGTAAACAAACCTACTGAAGCAAGGGTTTTAAAGCCTTTTGCATCACAGGAGAAGTACAGTTATGAGCAATAGCCACTTCCTTGCCAGCCTGATCGACGCCTAATTGCTCCCCTGTCAGTCTGATTGCCCCTAACTGCTCTCCCCTGCTGGCCTGTTCACACCTAACTGCCCTCCCCTGCCAGTCTGGTGGCCCCTAATTGCCCTCCCCAGCCAGCCTGATCACCCCCAACTGTCCTCCCTTTCAGGTCTGGTTCCTCCCGCAACTGCCCTATCCTGAAGGCCCAGTCCCTCCCAACTGCTTTCTCCAGCTGGCCTGATTGCCCCCAAATGCCCTCCCTTGCAAAGATATTAACATTAGATATAAAAGCAAGATACAACTACATATTGCCTATTAAAACTCACTTTAAATTTAAAGACACTAGTAGATTAAAAGTAAAGAATGGAACAACAGACACAATGCTAACATGAAGCAAGAGAATGCTGAATGGCCTGAAACCCCTCCCAAGGCAGCAAGCTCAGGCAATTATTTGTTTTCTGTCTTTTAAGGATCCCTGTCCATCCTTGCTGATGTCATGTGTTTCGAAAACTATTTAGACCGTTTGTCTGAATTTTGGTTCTTGCAGGTGGGAGGGTAAATCTGGTTGTTGTTACTCCAACTTGGCCAGAAGCGGAAGTCTCTGCTATGTTTTTAAAAATCTGTTTGATTCCTCAAGAATCCTAGGAGAGCACCCACACGTGAGAAGAATGTGGTGGGAGCAGAGGAAGCTCACATATACGTGCAGACTGTCTCAGGAAGCGAGGAGATCATGCACGACACTTACCGTCCTACCGTGGAAATAGAGAGAAGGAGGGGATTGTGGTGGCTTGTGCCCAGACTGAGCCTGGAATGATGTAGATCATTCCAACTGCCCTCTGGAGTTGGAACAGAGCTGGAGACCCAGGGATCTGAGCATGGAGTGAGGAGAAGCTTCTTAACCAATCCAAATGTCATGGACAAATCTGGAAAACTTTTGGATTGACTTGTTTTTTTGGGGACAGCTCTGACAAGGTTCACTCCAGCTCTCAGATCTTGTGGTTTAAGAAGCAACAAACAACCACGTGACATCACTGTGCATCCAGAAGGAGCCGTGGGTCCAGTTCCTGACCCCAGTGGAAATGTGTGTGTGTGTGTGTGTGTGTGTGTGTGTGTGTGTGTGTGTGTGTGTGATTTTAGAAAGGGGGCTTGATTTCTGAGTGTCTTGCCTTCTCACCTTTTTTTTTTTTTTTTTTTTTTTTTTACATCCCATTTCTCAAAAAATCATTTTACCTGGCTTTTATGGGAGGGTTGGCCAAGGCCAGCATGATCTAAAAATGAAGCTCAAAGGGGTGTCTGAGGGAAAGCAGATCCTATTACTGAACGTCTCAGGGTAGAAATCAGATGGAGCCATACGTGCCTTGACTACAGGGCAGCACATGGTTGGACCATTCGTTACTCCTGCTGTGTCTTCAGTATGTGATCAGACATATTTAAGGAAGACAAATTGCAATGGGCTGTGTGTGCATGTGTGTATGTACAGTAAATAGTCTTTTAAATGACTATTAGAAATGAGGCTACATCCATTTTGTGGGAGTAGAGAGAAAAGCCCAAGTCCTTGGACTATCATGGGGAAAAGCTCACAGTCAAGACGAGAGATCCAGGGATTCAGCACATGAACCCTGGGCCAAAGGGGTGGGCTGAGCAGCGATGTGGCTGCCCTGTGAGGGAAGGCTGTGCAGTGTCAGCTGGCTCAGGCCAGGCCTTCGCCATCGCTTCTGCAAGGAGGCTTCCAGGAATCCTGTCTGCCCTCTTCTTCAAATAACAAAGGACGGGCTCTACAAACTCAGTCACAGGCCCATGGTGCTGTGCAAAGCCCCCCTGAGAAATTCAGTTGTACTCTATATCCCCTGGGTGCAGTCACTTTGGCCATTTTGTCTATAAAATGAGGTGCGACATATTTTGGACCATTTATTTTAATTCCACTTACAATCCATTGCTTAGAATCTCTAGTTCAAGTTGTTTCTACTAAACTAACAAGGTTCAATGTTTCTTTCTTTCTTTTTTTTTTTTTGCTACAATGCACAAAAACGTATTCTATATAATAAAAGGCTAATATGTAAATTGTCCCCTTGGGTGGGAGTTGGATCAACCTGGAGTTTGACCAGGGGGCAGAGCCAGCTAGCCAACCACCCAAGGCCCCTATCCCTGGTTGGCCAGCCCTGCCCCTGATCACCACCCTGCCATTCCAATTGGGGACATCCCCTCCCATTAGCTGGCCTGGCCTGATTGGCCCCAATTAGGGCAGGCCAGTCGGACACCACCCGTGCATGAATTCTTGCACTGGGCCTCTAGTTGTGGAATAAAGTGAAAAGTGAAACAGTGGTTCTTATGGACTTATGAAACATCTGCAGTTTTTCTTCACCTATATTAAAGTATGATATTAGCCCTGGGGTTGGAATTAAGGCTATCCCAGGGAAACTCCTGGGGCTGGCACTCTCTCTGCTGGCTGGTGATGGAGATGTTCAGTCCTCCACAGAGTGCAGTCCATGGTCATGTCATGCTTGCCTTCCAAGGTTCTTCAGTTCACCACCAGAGGGTGCACTGTCCCCAAAGCCAAAGACACTGAGGACACCTGAATTCCACAAACTAGCCACTGCCCTAATTGATGAAATTCCATTATACAAGAAAAAACAAAAACAAAACAAAACAAAACAAAAATCAGTGTGGATCCAAATCCTTTCATTACTTCAAGCCTACTAGGATCCCTCCTCCTCCTGTCCTCCTGGACCACAGTCTATAATGTCCACCTTCCCCTTCAGGTGGCAGCCCTCTTACTTTTGTGCTGATCAGCCATTTCTCTCTGACATTGCCCTTCCAGACCTCCTTGTTCCACGATTCCTGCCTTGGAATGTCTGGTCCAATGAAACCTGTTTCTCCATTTGCAATAAACCGTAAACTCTTTATCCTTTCATTTTGCATTTTTGTTTAAAAGTCTTTAAACAAAAGTTTAAATAAAAGTTTCAATATTTGAGTGGAAAAAAGGAAGAAGACTCCACCATCTTGTGTCCTCCTATTTTTATTGGAAATACACAGTATTTCAGCTACACTGCAAGGAAGGGGGCTTCTATGAAAGGAGCCACCCATGACAACACTGTTTCTATGGCAAAATGCATGGTGAACGCTAAGCAACGGTCATACAAAAGGTCTATTACAATGGTGGCAAACTCATTAGTCAACAGCGCTAAATATCAACAGTACGACGACTGAAATTTCTTTTGAGAGCCAAATTTTTTAAACTTAAACTATATAGGTAGGTACATTGTTATTAACTTAATTAAGGTTCTCCTAAGCTGGCCTTTGCTAAAAACTCAAGCGGCCAAAGAGCCGCATATGGCTCTCGAGCCGCGGTTTGCCCACCCCTGGCAAGCATAATCCATTAACAGGTGGTGCTTTATCGTGTTTCCAAAATGATTTTCTGCTGGAAACAATCTGCATTTCAGTAAGGCTTAAGAATCCCCAACTTTCCGAAGGCATCATTAACTAGAATATGAAGCATAGTTATTTAACCGGAGACTTTTTTTTTAAGTGTCAACAAAATTTTTCTAGGCATTTCTTTCCCATGGATCGATGTAATCCAATCCCAGGTGTGCAAAAATTTCTTCTTCACTTTCTGCTTCGAGAAATATCCTCTGAAATCATAACAAGAAATAAGTGTATTCAGATATTTTTGTTCAGCATCTCAGCGCTAACATAATGAAAGCATTACTTGCAAAACTGTCTTGACAAAATGAATTACTGCCAAAACAGAATTCCCTGCTCCTGAGCATTAAAAGTCATCTTAACAGAATTCTGTAATTTTTATATTTTCCAACGACAAAACATGGCGCTTAACAAATTAAGGTAAAATGATGACAGCCTCCTGTATCAGTTAAAGGCACTTGGTATTTTTTCCCCTATGGTTCTTAACTATAGTTGTTTATCAAAACCATCTGAAGAAGTTTTAAAAATATATAGATTGAAACTTGAGCTCAGTCTAATGAAATCAGAATTCCAGAAGAGTTCTTGCAATCAATCTATTTAAAAGCTCTAGGTGATTCAGTACTGTTGCTATAGGTAACAAGGAGCGACAAGAAGTGGATACTCCTGTGTGTTCTATTCTCCCCCTGGCCCTCCATACCTGTCCTTACCCCCACTGGGCTCCCACTCCTGTTCTCTTTAAAACCAAACACCACTTCTCCTCCATCCTGTAGTGTTGGGTACATAGGAGACACTCGATTATGTGGAACCATTTTTTATATGTAAATTTGCAAGCATTCCTAAATAGGGTTATGTGAATCTGCCTCTACACACACAGTCAACATCCTGCCACATCCAGGGCCCTCTGTTCTGACAAGAGCATCTTGATTTTTTGGGGGGAACACCCCACATCCCACCCTCAGACCCCGAGGATCAGGTGGGGCTGATCTCACCTCCAAAGAGGAACACACAATCCTAGTCTGGCCAATCAGAGTCACCGTAATGGATTCAGGATGGGCATGGGGCCCAGGCCTGGCCAATAAGCATCAGGACAGGCTCTTGCTGGAACTACCAGGAAACAGGCTCTTCTCTGTTGGGGTAGCTAAGCTGGAAGGCTGGGACTCGTGGGAAAACCCTGCTTAAGAATGAAGCCAGCACTGAGGGACACCTGTGTGCGCGCCTAGATGCAGCCACACCTGAAGTCAATATTACCCAGATACTGAAGTAGAGAAGCCAAATTCCTCTTTTGTGCCATTTTAGGTTGGGTTTCTGACACTTGTAACGAAGACAGCTCTAACCAAATACACCTTATTTAGACTACAAATTAGAGGGCAAATATGATTACTTTCAGTTATTTTTTGTCTCCTTTCCTCTCTGAGCTTAGTTTTGTGCCCCTGACCACTGTAAGAACAATAGCCCTCAGCACTTGTGGACTAACAGTGGAACATTTTTTTAAGTCTCTATAACTGATACAGTAATTTATCATGTTGCTGCTGCATGGGTTTGAATTGTGACATTGCCAAGCCTTGGTGAGTGAGCCTAATGGGCTGCTCAGCAACAGCCCAGGGCAGCTCTGATGCTTCCCTCCTTGCAGTCGACTCTCATTAATGACCTAAGGGGTCACTCACAATGCTACTGCCTGCTGCATTTGAGGAGTACTTGAGTGGTATTTGTGATATTGAGGGATCTTTGGTTTTCTTTGGAGTTACTCATCACAAACACCAAGGATATACTAAACTCAATGAATATTCACTGCTAGACTGGTTCTGGGGACCCATGAGCTCATCATCTTTGAGCCCAATGCCCCCGAGGTGCAATCTGGGCCAGATGGGAGGCTGTGCTCCCATTAGGATCTTCCCAGCCACCCTCAGCTATGATCGGTGGGAACAGAACATTCTGGACAAAGGAAACTGAAACTGGACACTAAAGTCAGTTCAGGAAAAGGGCTCAGGAAGCCAGCCTTTGGAAGGAGGGTCAAAGCAGCCTGTGTCAGGGGATCAACTCTACCTTGGTCTTGTCATACAGAGCATGGTTATCCAGCATCATCTTCCGCTCGTGTGTGGCATAGCGCCGGAGGTCTCTCTCAAATTGCTGGACAAGAGATAAGTAAAATAAGTTACTATCAAGTCTAGACTCTCTTCAGTATTACTATGCATTTTTAGAGGCATCTACATCCCTACAATAGAATATCTATCTCAACACAAAACATTCCACAAAATGGAATTAAACTCTGCTAAATATTCTCAAAGCCAATTTTCCCCCAGCACAAAGCTCTGCTATAACAGAGCTCTGTGCTCATGTGTTCACACTAGAATGTAAGCTTTGTGGACACAGGAACTCAATTTCTCTTGTTCTTAACTATATTCCTCTTCAAACATGCCTGGCACATCGATGTACGGCAAATGCTTGTTGGGTGAACAAATGGACATTGTGAGGATTGTGTACAGAATAATATCTGGTTCAGAGTAATTTGGGGGGGGGATTTGTTTTTTTAATGTTCAAAAGAGAATGAAGAATCAGGAGACCTAAATTCCAGCCTAAATTTTGTCCTATCTATCTGGCTGTATATCTCTTGACAAGTCACCCAGCCTCTCTGAATCTTGTCTGCTCAGACAGGATGATGGAAGAGGTGCGTGAGGAAGGTCACCTCTGGTTCTAACACCCTCTCTTATGAGATTCTGTAGAGCTTATGGTCTGAGCCATCTGCCCCAGAGCAGCATCGTCTATGATCAGGGTTGGACTCTGAAGTCACAGGGAGCAAAGCCTGAAGCCTGAGCTAGCAGACAGGAACAGCATGGAATAGGAGGACAATTAATTAAATTCCCATTGAAATTAATTTTTTCCGAGAAGCGTAAATCTAGAAATATTGTTCTTTCCATGATGGAATCCAGTGAAAGTCGTGGGATAATTGCGCCCTCTAGTGGCATTTGTTTAAACACAGGAAAGCAGGTTGAAGCTGGAACTACTCTGCTAGCCCACCACTTGGGTGTGTGAGAAGACAGATTTTCCAACCAGGCAGCCTTTATAATGCAGCAGAGGGGAAGCCAGGATTGTGGGGAAAAGCAGATTCTGGGTGGTGTAGCTGCTGGTCTGTGGGGTGTTGCTTAGCACCGAGCCTCCTCCCAGCCCCGGGTCACGCTCCCGCTGTCTACCACACTTAGAACAGCGGCTGCTCACACTGTGAGGGGAGGTCTGGAGATGAGGGCCGGGGCACTGAGAGGCTGTGCTTGGCTCCTCACTTCTGGGTGGTGAGACATTCCTGGACTCCTGTGCTAAAATGTCAGGAGCATTTCCCCACACGCTGTTAGAAATGATAACTGTGGTTGATCATCTATTGTGTGCCAGGTGTGTTCTGGGTCTTTGGAATAATTCCAGCCCCAAAGCAAAGACACCTGACATTTAACTCAAGGTTGAGGACAATTCATTTGTGTTATGTCATTCATCTTCCGTATAAAAACCTCTAAGGACTCATTTCTCTGAGGAACAGCCAGCTGCTTTGAGACATGGGTGAAACAGTAGGCAGACTTAGTTCAGAGTATGGAGCACGTGCCAATGAGACTCAGATCAGGGGCTCCATCTCTGTGACTATAAAATGCCTGGAGCAGGGAGCTGCTGCCTGGCCATGTGCCAGAGGTGGGAGGGGTGTGCCAAGGGCTTTGCCAGTTTCATCGCACTGAATCCTGTGAACCAGGGAGGGAGCTGAGGTCACCGCCCTCACTTTCCTGACGGGAAAACTAAGACTTACGGGACATAGGGAACTTGTCCTACATCACCCAGCTGCCAAGAGAGACTTGTGACCAGGTCTGGGGAGGCCAGACCTGTGCTCAGAGCAACCACGCTGCCTTCTCGGTTTCAGTGGCTCTCACCCCTCACCTGCATTGGAACCACCTGGGAGCTTTCTTAACTACAAAGTGCTGGGCTCCATCCCCAGAGTTTCGGATTCAGTAGGCCTGGGTGGGGTGGAGAATTTACGTCTCTCACCTGTTCCCAGGTAAGGCTGGTGCCGCTGGCTGAGAGACCACACTTTGAGAACAACTTCTAAGTCTATCTGTCTCACTTGACCATGTTCAGGTGGAATGCCGGCAGCAGAGCTTTCTGGGCACTGCCCCCTCCTATCACCCCCTCCCCGCCCCCACTACCGTTGCCACTGCTCTCGGCCACAGTCCCGGGGATTCAGGCAGTGCTTACCCGGGAGCCGGTCCAGCCCAGCAGCGCGAAGGCACGGCGCTCGTAGGGGCACATGACCAGGTCCACACGGATGGCCTTCCAGGGTTTCCCTTCCTGCTGGCTGGCCTTGCCGCTGTCTACTCTCTGCCGGTGCAATTTCAAAATCAGAAAGCACTTTTGGAAATGATCTAATGCATCCACCTTCCTGCTAGGCAACTTGAACTTTTCAAATGTTGACTCTATAAGGTCGTAGTATAAAAGTAATCCCTGGAAACAAATGGAAAGACATAAATCAGGAAGAGTCCTCGATGGACAGGGTCCCCGATTTTATACCAGTCTCTTTTAAAATCTTTATTTATCACTATTATTTTAAAAATTTTTATTTTTGTATTGTTTTCAGAGAGAAGAGGAGAGGGAGAGAGAGGAACATCAATGTGAGAGGAACATCCATCAACTGCCTCCTCCATGCCCCCTACTGGGCATGTGCCCTGACTGGGAATCAAACCATGACCTCCTGGTTCATAGGCTGATGCTCAATCACTGAGCCATGCTAGCTGGATGGCACCAGGTTCGTTCGTTCTCTTTCTTTCTTTCTTTCTTTCTTTCTTTCTTTCTTTCTTTCTTTCTTTCCTTCCTTCCTTCCTTCCTTCCTTCCTTCCTTCCTTCTTTCCTTCCTTTTTCCCTTCCCTCCTTCCTTCCTTCCTTCTTTCCTTCCTTTTTTCCTTCCTTCCTTCCTTCCTTCCTTCCTTCCTTCCTTCCTTCCTTCCTTCCTTCCTTTCTTTAATGTTTCTATTGATTTTTTTTTTTTTTGGAAGAGAGGAAGGGAGAGAGATAGAAACACCATAGGCTGCTGCCTCCTGCATGCCCCCTACTAAGGGTGGAGCCTGCAGCCTGATCAGGAACCAGTGACCTCTTGGTTCAAGGGTCCATGCTCTACCACTCCAGCTGGGTTTATCCCTGGCTGTTAATGAGTGTTCTTAAAGGATGCTTTACGGATTCCAGCAGAACGTGGGTGTGGTTTGTCCTGGCGCTGGGAGCCCACCTGGCCATCTCAGAGAGGAAGCCCGGGCAGGGGTGTCTTATCCTCCCTCTGCAGCGGAGGGCTTTGGCAGCTGGAGAGGCCCAGCCAAGGCCTGTTAACAGCAGAGCTGCCAGAAAATCTACCCCCATTTCTAATCGCAGGCCAGTGCTTAGCAACTCGCCTTCCCCTTTAAGAACAAATCAACCAAGAACAACAACAAAAATCAGGCTGTGTGTATCGGTACCCCTCATGACATGGCATGCGGCATTGCATCAGCTGTTGCAAATAACTGAGGACCGATTAGTCGTTATATGACGGTGAGGTAGTGTGTAAAGTGCAATGACGTTAACACAGGGTTGAGTGCCCCAACATCCACTTCTGACCTTTCTTCTTACCTTCCTTTCCCATAAGTTGATCACTTTAGGTAAAAGTTGTTGTTCTTCTTCCTCTGTTAATCCTGGGCTGGTGATTAAAAAATCTACGTCATGCCCAATCTTTTTACCCCTGGTGAAAAATAACCAGGAGAAAATGGAAGGAATTAGATTTCTAGCTCTCAGTCTTTAACAGTCCTTGCTTTTATGCCTTAGGCTTCAGGTTTGCAACACAAAATACTCCTGACATTTGTGTAAACAAAATATCCTTGGTTACACAACCTCATGCATTGCAAGATAAATGTATGACACAAAATTTTTTTTAAAAATCATACATGTATATAATCATGTATGTGTGGGTAAAAAGATGACAGATTATTTCTTCTGCACACTTACACGTGAGTGCACCCTCCTTCACCCCCCACCCCACACATACAGACAAGCATGATAACAGCAAACTAAGAACTACATTCGCATAATATTAGATGGGGCTCTTGGAATTAAGTCAAAGTTAAGGGCTCAGCTTGCCAGGAGGGTCAACAGCACCATGTAAGATAGCCACAGAGAGAGTCAGGGGAGAGGGTGACGGGAAGGAATCTCTTTCTGCAAATGGAGGCTTTTTCCTGCACACAACCCTGTTCATTCATTCATTCATTCATTGGCTCAACCAATAGTTTTGAATGCCTACTTTGTGCCAGGCACCATGCACTGGTTCTCGCCAAGCACTGAGTTCTAAAGTCTTAGTGGGAAACGCACAAATACAAACGAATTACCTGGCAGCAATCTAGGAAGCACTGAGAAGGGATGCCTAGCCCAGCGTAGGGAGGAGGGACTCAGGGAAGGCTTTCTGGAGGAGGTGGCATTCGAATGGAATCTTAAAGGGTGAGAAGACACTTGCCCGGTGATTTGAGGAAAGCCAGGACAAGCAGAAGATGCAGCTGAGCGAAGCCCCAGAGGCAAGAAACGGCCCTGCGTGTGCAGAGGATGACGAGCCACGGGGGATTGCTGGGGTGGGACACGAGGTGCAGGAAACGAGGCTGCAGAAAGAGGCTGGGCCATAGCACCAAAGACCCAGAGTGTCAGGCTCAGAAGCCTGAATTTCTGAACCTCGGGAGCCGTGGAAGGTGTCAGAGCAGGGGAAGCAAAAGCAACCCTCGTTGTTTACCTCCGGAACCCTCCTGTCAGGGTGACAAAGGCATCCGGGAGAAACGCCCCGACGGCCTCTTTCACCAGCACGCCCACGGCCTCCGCCTCGGCCTTGGTCACACAGCTGGCCAGGTCTTCGTAATAGAGGAATCCTGGGAGGCCATTGGACAGGTCAGTGGAGAGAGTGACACGTCTCGGGTGACATGACCAGCCCTCAAAGCAAAGGGATTCTGCTCCACGTACAGCTAACATGGCTACGCCCATGCCCATCGTCATTTGTTCTCAGTTGTGAGTTTTTCACGGCAACAATAGCTCTTTGCTTTCTGACTGAGAGGCTCCCAGTGTTCTCAGAAAGAAACAATCTTGCATATCCCTGTAGAAACCAAGCAGTTCAACTCTGATTTCCTATTGAAGAACCAGCCCTCTCGATCAGTAAGCCACACCCAATTGTTAAAGAAGACCATGCATAAAGATTTGGGGTGGGAAGGTTCAGGGTTGAAATAATTTTTTTTTTTTAACCGTGCATTGAAATTTCTTCATTTAAAAAAGACTTAGCAGGACCCTCCCTAAATGGCAGTGACTCAGCCACTTTCAGCCTCTGGGAAGCCCTCCAGGCTTTCAGGATGCCAGTGTCAGCACGGTCTTCCCTTCCCAGATTAACGAGTCTGCTTGGATGAACCAGATCAACCCTATGTCTGGATTGCCACCGTTTCCATTCTATGTCCTGGTGTTCTACAGTTCCTAAAACAGATCTATATTTGTGGCAGACAACTCTAGTTTGTTCACAGATTCTTTGCTTGCCAGTCCTCCATGTCAGCTTTCTACCCTCGACTCCTCACCGATGCCTCTTACCCTACTGGGACCCATAGGGTAGAAGGGTCAGTTCAGTAAGAAACAGATGGACAGAGCAACCTGGTTTGACATCTGGACATAGATGAATGGCAACCACTGCAAGAAGGGTGCATTTGCTCTGTGCCGGGCTAATGACTTGGCCTGCATTATCTGACTTATTTCCCACCCCCTTTTATAGAAGAAGTAACTTAAGCTCAGAGATCTTAATGCTTATGTGAGATCACACAGCTGGAGATTGCTGGAGCCAGGATTTGGATCCAGAGCTGTCTGATTCCAGAAGTGTTTGCTTTTAACCAAAGCAGGAAAAAAGGACACAGGAGCACCTCAGGTCACGGGGATCAGGTAAAGCTCTACCTCCACCTGCCCAGCCCAGGGTAACGACGGGAGGGTGTCAGGAGACATGACTTACCTGCGTTCTGCATTCGTGTGAATTTCAGGCTTTTGTCCGACCTTATTTTACTCAGGGTTCTGAAACCCATCCGGAACCATTTCTCAGATGTCTTCAGTCCCACCCCGAATACGGAAGTGAAGAGCTGAAAGGGAAGGGGAGGCAGCCTTCAGTTCTAAAATAGTCATGACAACAAATGATACTTTTCAAGGCTAAGAGGTTAAGAAAAAGTGTCAGCAAATCTCTGACCCAGCTTCTCTTCGATATGACAAGTGGGTGATAGTAACTTTTTAGAGAAATGTTTGTTTCAGGGGGGTCCTCTCCTGATAAATGAAACAGACACGAGGAGGCAGGTTCTGGCATCTGCACAGGGCTCCCCAGTAATTGGATCACGGTGTGGCCTGTGCTGTCCACCTGTGACAACTGCTACCCCTGTCGGCATTTCCCTTTGCCAAGGGTCCCTCACACACACGCACACATGCATGCTCTGCACATTTATCCTCACACTTTAGCCAGGGATGCGCATGCAGGTTGCACTAATTCTCCGCCATCGCACAGCTGGTGAGTGGCAGAGCCCGGGCTGAAACCCGGTCTGTCAGCCAAACTGACTCATACAGCTACCTAGAATAAGTAATAGGATTTACCAAAAACCATTTTTGATAAATATGTGTAAAACCACTTACTTTGAAGGACTGATACCGCTCATCATTTAACACAGCTTTAACTTCAGAACTTTCTCCATCTTCAATAATTTCCTGCATAGACATTTGGAAGATATTTTAAATTAGTGATGTTGGACAATCACAGTCTAAGATGCTAAAATCGCTTGACTTTTCATAAAAAGCACACCCATTGCGTGGAGGATGTTCCCCTACGTTATCCAGAGAAAACAAGACATTTCCCTAAAATCTTGAAAATCCCAGATCATATATTTCCGAGTGTCACTTTACAATCCTCAGGAACAAAGGTACAGAATGATTCGGGTCCAAATCTATGGAGCACCTAACCAGAATATTCACTGACCAAACGTGTCTAAATTTTTGTGATAATCTTCTTTTTAATGGCTACGAACTTGCTGAAACAAAGATTTTTTTTTTATCTGAGTGGATTAGGTTCGGACCCATTGAAAAGCCAACCCGAAGTTCAAGCCCTTATGATGTCTGGCTCAGAGCCATCCACCCTCCTCCAGATAGAGTTAAGATTATTTATCTTAAATAATTGACCTTGCACTTGACTCTACTGAAACCTACTTCTGGGTGACCAACCTGCCTTGCTGGGGAATCCTTCCACATCATTTAATTAATAGGCACCCACCCCTGACTCTCTGTCTGAAAATTACACACAGAGATGCAGAATCAACTCCACTGCCTGTGACACCCACCCCCATCCTGGAGGGTGAGGTTCCTGATGGACCTGAGGCCCTTCACCCAGCCTGTGCCTGAGGTCAGACTTTCCCCTGCTGTCAAGCTTTGACGTCACTCAATTCTTTTACTGTGACTAATAATAATACAGGAGAGTCCTTTTTTTCCATTTAGTTGATCCCACCTAGCTCCAGCTGTCATAATATTGGTTATAGAATCTATGTATCTACCATCTCTATCATCCATCTAATCTATCTAGAGAGAGTAAAATAAGTCATGAATATATCTACATAGTTGACAGGAACATCTATTCTCTCTCTCTCTCCCTCCTTGTCTACCTACTTACCTGTCAGAGGTGTGACAAATCACATTTCACCCTCACCTCTATGACACTCTTCACTTTGTCCCCCAAGCAGGGAATTCCTTCTGTGTCCTTCATACTGATGATGGTGAATGGCAGCGACTTAAGGACAGAAGCCGCTCTCATGAATGCCAGACAGGAGCCTTCGTTTTCTCTAAACTCACAGTTCTCAGCCAGGACCTCGAAGGCATCCTGAAGGATGAAATCAGGTGAGTAGAACTCGGCCTTGTTCCCCAGCCCCGCAGTCACCCACAAATGTCTCCTGCTCTCCTTTACCGGATTGGAGAACCCTGCCTGGCCTGTCCCTGAAGGTCAGGAGTGGGTCTTCACTACCTTTCCACCACTCCATCTCCTGTTTGATACAAAGATGGGACTCAGCGTGTTTTGGAAGGAAACTCTGAGTTCCCTGCCGTTAGATACTCAGAAATGATCTAACTAAAGCGTGAGCCCATGCTCACTGCATCCTACCAGTCATTATGTGGTGTTACTGATCCTTCCCGCTTTGCTTACTGACATTCCCACCAGCCTGCAGCCAGGATTCTGCCTTGACCACTGGGTGCCCCCGTCTCTTGGCTTGTCTATAAAGCAGTCAGCACGTTGTGCTCTAGCACGGGCTGGTCGATGACGGGTGTAATCACAGGTGGCACAGGCTCGAGGCCGGGGTCATTTGAGGTGGAGAGTGTGGGTTTGCGCTTCTGGCAGAGGAGGAAGCAGCTGCAGCTGTGTGGCACCCCGCACATGGCACCCATTTCCTGGTCCTCCTCGCACAGAAGTCTTGTAGCCACTACAGGGCTGCATGCTTTCCCCACCTGACAACCGACGCCGTGCTGGGAGACAAGCAGTGGTGGTTTGCTAGGCTCCTTTGGACCGCAGTTGCCAAACGTCAGGGCTGGATGGGGCTTTAGAGATAATCCAGCTCATTTCTATTGAGTGGAGAAGAAGCTGGGGCTCCGAGGGAGGAACTGACTCCCCGAGCTCATTAACATCCGAGGAGCGAGAGGCGCTTTTGGTTCCCCAGCTCAGACTGATGATGCCTTATTGCTCTGCCCATGCAATTGCACTGACCACCATATCTGCTTTTTCCGAATATTTGCCTTTGACAAGAGTGATGCCCGATAATGATGACTCTTAATAAATAGTAATCTACCATTTCTAAAGAGTATAATCCAAATAGATTGGTCCATTTCCATGATACAAGTAGGCCCATTCTTGATAGAAAGAAAAACCAGAGATCAGGGTTGAGGTTGGGGGCGGGGTGAGTGTGGGAAAAACTTTCCTATCTTTTCAGAATTCACAATCTGTAGACTCCCGGGAAGGACCTGCAGGCCTCATCGGCCCTGGGTTTTGGAAAGCCCGTTACCGTGAATATGTGGTTGCGGTTGTTTAAAGTGGTTCTTCTCTGACATGCGTACGGAGAGATCTTTCTTCCAGGAGGTGGTGGAGTCTCCTGGGGCTCTGGGTTGGGGCCACTCGAATAGTCTCTTCTCACCTAAACAAATGCATGAGCATTTATGTTGAATAACCATCAATAGTAATAATAATAGACATGCACGAAGAAAAAATTGGGAGAAGTTTGATGGCAATTATCTCTGGAAAGAGGATAAGATTTCAGGGGAGTCAAATTTTATATTGTACAAATCTCTAATATTTGAATTTGTTATAATTAACATGCATTATTTTTCCAAACAGGGAAAAATCACACACACACACACACACATACACACACACACACACACACGAAAAATGACCATCAATGAAATACCATTTTCCTTTCCTATGAAAAGGAAATGAATCTTCTTCCTGAGGGTTCTTGTGCATGAGTGAAGGATTTTGCATTAAGAGTTTAACTTTCTTAACCTTTTGCTTTATGAATGGTCATAGCAAGAAAAAAAAAACAGAAACCCTCCACTTCTCTGGCCCCAGAACATCAAGTCTTCAATGTTTTGAATTGGTGTGTAGACCTCTTCATTTATTAAGGTCAGGCTTGGTGTTCAGTGTTTTGCATGTATGTTATGCTAACCCTCAGACCCATCTTTTGAAGTGGGTGCTGCTGTTATCCCATATTATAGAGGAGGGGACTGGAGTTCAGAAAAACTAAGTGACTTGCCCAAGGCCAGACCGGGTGTGAGCAGAGAGCCCAGGCCTGTTGGTTCTGTAGCCCATGTTCCTAACCATCAAGCCACGGGCAGTGGGAACCACAGCCAGGACACTCACGATGAGCTGGTATTGTCCTGTCGTCTCCACGGGCTTTCCGGCGCGCATGCATTCTATCAGCCAGGAGATGTCGAGGAGTTCTGGCTGTGAGCTGGCTCTTGCATTCTGCTCCTGAAGCCATTCCAGGACCTCGGGACCTGAGTTGTTTTCTGCCACAATGTGGGTGACGGCATCACTACAGAAAGCAAGACAAACCACCAGCTGGGGGCACTTTCAGAACCAGAAGCTCTCCCCTCTCCCCAGGGTCCTCAGAGCATCCCCATCAAAGGGCAGCAGCAGAGACACAGTAACACCTCCTACAGAATGTCATTAGCCCACTGTCCCTGCTGCTGCCACAGAGAACGAATGCTTTGGTATTTTATGTCCAGTGTCATATGAACGACAATAAACTGCGAGACAAACAGAATTGTCCCAGAAAGCCTGAAAAGACAGTTGCCATAGTTACACACCAACAAGGAGAAGCCATAGGGTGGCTGCCAGGTTCTGTGAGCTCTGGGCTGTGCCTCCACCTGGGAAGGAGGAGCCCTGAGGCTCATCTTCCAAACCCATGCCCTCAGCATCCACTCTTCCCACCCGGCTCCACCACCACTGTCTCCTCACTGAGGACACAGCCCTGCCTCTCACAGAGACATCGGATGCCTGGGAATGTCGGGGAAAGGGTGACAATATAGCAAACTCGCATATACAGAAGACAAAGGCTAGAGAGAAGTACTCCAGAATATTAGAAAAAAATGATAACCACATACACACATGTACTAGTATGCAGTTGTCCCTTGTTATCCACAAGGGATTGGTTCCAAGACCCCCATGGATACCAAAATCCTCGGATGCTCTAGTCCAGTGGTCCTCAACCTTTCTGATGCTGCGACCCTTTAATATAGTTCCTCATGCTGTGGTGACCCCCAACCATAAAATTATTTTCGTTGCTACTTCATAACTGTAATTTTGCTACTGTTGTGATCGTAATGTAAATATCTGTGTGTTCCGATGTCTTAGGCTCTACAGCAGCAGTTCTCAATCATCAGAAAACACAGATATTTACATTACGATTCATTAACAGTAGCAAAATCACAGTTATGAAGTAGCAAGAAAAATAATTTTATGGTTGGGGGTCACCAGAACATGAGGAACTGTATTAAAGGGTGGCAGCATTAGAAAGGTTGAGAACCACTGCCCTAGTCCCTTGCATAAAATGGTATAGTATTTGCCTATAACCTACTCACACCCTCTCATGTACAAATCCACTTTAGATTACCTTTAGCACCTATACAATGTAAGTGCTGTGAATAGTTAGTATACTGTCCTGTTAAGGGATCAACTTCCTGGAATTTTAAAGCTTATTTCCCATCTATGATTGGTTGGATCTGTGGATGGAGAACCAGTGGAAACAAAGGCCCAACAGTATATTCTTACTTGATGCCCTCAGAGTCTTAAGAGGCGGGCGGACAATATAATTTTAGATGAGAAAACTGAGGCTTACGGAGGCTACGTGAAGCCAGGATTCAGAACCAGGTGTGCATGACTCAAGCAATCTCTTAACGTTCTACTACTCTGTGGTTAGCGTCCTGGGTGAGGTTTTGTTTTGGTATTTTAATGTGTTTTCTGTCATGAACCACCTATCATCATTTTTTCTCCTTAGGAGGAAAAAAAAATACACATGATTCATTTTTAAGGACAAAAAGACTGGGAGTGAGCTGAGGTGTATCTGCCTTGCCCAGAGCTTTCTTCTTATAATAAAAGGTGGCCGGCAGCCTCACAAAGCAGTCTCCAGTTTTTTAAAGACCCCAAGGCACTGCCAAGATGGCTGTTCCTGAGATGTCGGTGGATCCAATTCCTGAAATGCTCCTAGTTTCTCCACCAGGACTAAGCAATGTGTCGGACTAGGTTTGGGAGGCCTGAACCAACCAAAGCAGCTATGAGACAGAATGTGTCCCTCAGCTTCCCACAAGGCAAATACGCAGGCTCTTCTGCAACTAGAAATGTGCTGCTTATGCCCCTTGGCGTCCTGAAGGCCTGGACAATGTTATAATCTGCTTGGCTACAGTCTGGGTTATAACTAGGCCTGGTGCCCAGCACATGGCCAGATTCATAGTAATGGTCAACAAGTAGACCATTGGTAGAATAAATAAATAAATTGATTAATCAATGGCTCCAAAGAAAGATTTCTCTTTTTTAAAAGATTTTTTAAAATTGGTTTTTAGAGAGAAAGGAAGGGAGCAGGTGAAAGAGAGAAACATTGATGTGAGCGTAAACCATCAATTGGCATACTCCCTACCAGGATGGAACTTGAAACCTGGGCATATGCCCTGACCAGGAATTGAACCGGTGACTTTTCAGTGCATGGGATGACATCCAATCAACTGAATCACACTGTCAGAGCAGGAATGTTTCTTAAACTCTAGTGTTTCTCCAAGATACCCAGAAAGCTGGGTTAAAATTCAGATGCCAGGCCCTATTACCAGAGATTCAGATTCAATAAATCTTACCTAGAGCCCAGAAACATGCATTTTTTTACAAACTCCCTCCATGATTCTGACGTAGTCAGTCCTAGTTATCTATTGCTATGTACCAACTGCCCCAAAATGTAATGGCTTCACAAACGTAATGATTTCACTATATCTGCACTTTTGTGGGTCAGGAATTCAGGCAGCTTGGCTAGTGATCCTTCTGTTTGGTGTGGTCCCCACAGAGGTGCGATGGTCCAGATGTCAACCTGACACCTTTGTGTGGCCTCTCTCAGGGGCACAAAAACTTGCAGGAAGTTCTGGGATCCAGGAATAGTAGAGGCCATAGGGCCTCTTAAGACCCTGCCTCAAAAGTCACATTATGTCACTCTATTGGTTGAAGCAGTCACAAGCCCTCCCAGATGCAAGGAAAGGGGAATCGTGCCTGCCTCTTCATGGGAGTGCCCATATTTTATTTTATTTTTTAAAATACATTTTATTGATTTTTACAGAGAGGAAGGGAGATGGAGAGTCAGAAACATCGATGAGAGAGAAACATAGATCAGCTGCCTCCTGCACACTCCCCACTGGGGATGTGCCCACAACCAAGGTACATGCCCTTGACCGGAATCGAACCTGGGACCCTTGAGTCTGCAGGCTGATGCTCTATCCACTGAGCCAAACCAGTTGGGGCAAGGACTGCCCATATTTTAAACCCGCTGCTCCTTCCTCCCTCCTCTCCCCCTTCCCCCCACCATAGCCCACAAACTCCTTTGAGAAACATGTCTGTAAAGAAGGATCTTTTTTTTTTTTTTTTTTTTTTTTTTTTTTACTGGATGTTGTGCTCAATTACAGCAATGTTTTCCAACATGGTATGCATTTCTCTGCAGGTACAAGAGATAATTTTAGCAGGCACAACTGAACATTTAAAACGCATATGTGTTTATTTATATCTACATTTTTAAATGATACCTATCAGGCATGGTTGAATGGGTTTCATAGTTTTTATATTATACCTTAGGACAAAGCTAAATTATGTTTAACAACTCAGTTTAGGAACAATGAAAGGAAACACATTATGTGTATGATAGCACATGTGGTGAAAGATATAAGAACCCCAATGTGGCACTCAGATGTCTGGAAAGCCCTGGGTTATGGAATTAACTCATAAATCTTAGTTCTGATTTTTCCCTCCGATATCTGTATCCTGGCTCTTCCTGTCTTTCTTTCCCTCGTTGGTCTGCTTCTCCATATAATTAGAAAAACTCTCCATGAAGAAAGAGACAGCCATTCTTTTTGCCTGGAGACCGAGCCCCAATCTGACTTCCCCAGTTTTCGTGGACAATCACCTGCTTTTATCTTTGTCTTTAAAATTGTTTTCTTTCCCTGGAAAGGTCATTCCTGATCCTTCCCATCTGATGTAGGACTTGTTTTTTCAAGTAATGCCTTTAAACAGTAATTTACAGTTAAGCTCAGCTGTTTGCAGTTTAAAAACTCCCCTGACAATTCCCCTTAGCAACTGATCTGTTTCCAAATCCCTGAAACAGAAAAATTGAAGCAGTCAAGACAGGGTTCCATTTCCAGCCCTGATAGACATAGTAAGACCGAGAGGATCTTGCCTTAATTTTTTGGCCCATCTGAAATGGTATGGTGAGCATTTTCATTAACTTAGATTCCACACATTTTGAAATACAAAGTAATTTGGACCAGAGCTGAACTAGAGTTCACATGCTCCCGAATTTATAAAAATAAAGTATCAGTTTGCTGCTTACAAAAGTCATACTGGTGCATTGTAGAAAAAAATTAATTACAAAAATTAATCTTGGAAATCACAGATTCTTCTTGCTGGTTCTGTATTCACCAGGCAAATCATTCTTTTGAGCAAGTATTTCCTGAAGCCTTCTGTGTGCAAGGAAACGGTCAGAGGTCTGAGAGTGAGGAGGGTATGATGGCCCTGGTGACACCCTTGCCCTTGGAGTCAAGGAGGAGCAACTAACTGGATGAGATGAGGAGCAAAGCCAGTGGGAAGTCATGGATCTCCCATGCTCCAGGGAGGAAGTTCTCTCCTCTAAGAGGGCTTCCAGGGTCGTAGGTCTTAGACAAAGAGGGGCGTAGGGAGGAGGGGTTCAAGGTCAGGGGGGAAAGTAAGAAAAAAATATAAAGAAAAATGTGTTTGGATACTGGGCCTGGAAGGGGCCTAGAGATGGACTAGTTAAACATTCTTTTTTTTAGAGCTGGTAGCATCTTTTTCATCTGGTGTTCAGGTTATTTGGCAATGACCTTTAATATTTTTATCTCCGACACCACAAATTTGAAGTGATAAGACACTGTCAAAGATAAACAAAGCCAGACCCTAGTGAGAGCGGCAAGGATAGATTTTATTAAGTAATAACTACGGCAATAGGAAAGAGCGTCCAGCACGAGGGCAGTTCAACTCAAAGAAACAGGCAGGAGACCTTCTAAGGGCTGGGGTGTGTTAGGGGAAAGGCACTGAGGGCACTAGGGGAGTTGGTCCACGTGCTGGCCACCTGGATTTGCTAGTTGGTGCTTATTCAGAGGAGAAACACATTTCTTGAAACATTATGACAGGAGGCATTGGTGCAAGTTAGAGCCTTCACTTCCCACGGAGAATGAAATTGGGGGGGGGGGGGTGTCTCTCCTGAATGTTTGCCTAAGGGCTGACTCTCTGGTCATTGAAATGAATGGAAAGTAAAGGCATCAGGGAAGGAAAATGCTAATTTTGAAGAAGAAGGAAAAGAAGAAGGAGGAGAAGGAGGAGGAGGAAGAGGAGGAAGAGGAGGGTGAGGAGGAGGAGGAAGAGGAGGAGGAAGAGGAGGAGGGGGAGACTAGTACACACTTGGAAACTATAGTATTGTCTCTTAATTCTAGAGATAACTAAGCTACAAATTCCCGACTCCCTTGTCTCATCATAAAGCCCTTGCTGGCAAGGCTCATGTCTTCTAGTTTGCATGTCCAGGACCATACAAATATTGTGCAGAACGGGTATGAACAGAACCCTTTACTTGTGATGCCACAATGGCCTGTCTTGCTTTTATTGGAGACAATGCCTTCCAAAGGAACTCTTGTAGACAAGTTATGGAGGTCTAGGCAGAACGAACTTCTTTGCTTGAACACTGGAACTCAGCAAGTGTTAAACTGCTGGTGACACAACCCTGGAGAGCCATCCTTCCACCACAGCTCTTCCTTCTTCAACATGGAAGGGCATGTGCATATGTGCTGGGGAATATAACAGCTCCAGACAATGTACAGCTCAGGGCATGCAGGTGTGCCATTTCCAAGCTGTGCTCAGGCCCAGGTAAAGGAAGAATCAGATTTCCCCTCAAATGTAATCCTCCTGGAATCCAAAGAATGTGCTAGGAACTAAGAAGGTTGTTGCCTATTTTCAGAACATCCCTTCCCCCCTTTAGCTCCGCCTTCTCTGAATCTTAGACTGGTGAAGACAGGCAGAGCTATTGAGAAGCATCAAAATCAACTTTTATTTTTATTTTTAAAATATATGCATATTGTAAACAATTTGGAAAACAGAGAATAAAACTAGCCATGATCCCTCACTACTACTCCCTCCCCACCCCCCAAAACATTAACCACTTATAACATGTCGATTTCCTTCCTGTCTTTGTTCTACTTGTTTATATCATTTGACCTAGTTCATATTATGGAGAAAGAACCCTCTCCTCGGGGTTTTGTTGTAAAGGTCCATGGATCCAGCTAATTAACAAGAAAACAATCACACTTTATGTTTGCATAACTTTTAATTTATCCAAGCATCCAGCATCACATTGGGCGGTCACATCAGACTACACCATTTACCTAGAAACCAAGGTCCGAGAGCAGAGAGGGAGTCTCGCCTCATATGCCGTGGCTGGAAAGAGTCAGGGCCAGAATCTGAGGTCTCTAGATTTCTTATCTAGAGATTTCCCCCTACCATCCTGTCTGCAGTCCTTTCCAGTGGAAGTGTGCATGTCTAAGCACACAAATTCCGTTTGCGAGCTAGGACTTCTACTTCCTGTGGGTTATTTCTGTGCCATCGAACACGTTTGTATGTAACGTGTCTGCTGAGCTGCCAGCCTGGGAACTCTGCCACCATCGCACGCACAGCAGCAGGTTGCTCACCAGGCACCAGTTTCCTCTGCCACCTGAGCAGCTGGGCTTGGCCCCCGGCCACGGGCATCTGGGCACAGCACAGCTTCTAGAGCTCTCTGGCCAGAAGAAACTTGCCTCCATAATCTGCCCAAGTACCTGCCCCGGCCACCAGGTACGTGTCTGTAGCTGTGTCTGTACCCTCACAGCCAGCCGCTGCTGGAAGCATGGGCCGTTCAGCAGAGAGCTCTCTGTGTAAGTGCCACCTTGACCATCTGGCTCTCACCTCCCCGCCCGGCCCTCACCAATTTTCTTTACCACAAAAAAAGCAGTTCCATATTTGGTAAGGCTTTTAATTTCTGGTGTTTTGATGTGGGTTTTTTTTTTTTTAATTCTTTTTAAAATATTGCCCTTTCTCTGCCTCTTTGCCTATGTCATCTTTCCCCTCCTCCTAATTCAATATTTTGGGTTTAACATCACAAATGAGACAGGGGTTAAAGAGGAAAAAGAGGCAGAAAGGAGCAAAGGAGACCATATAAAGAGAAATCAGACAGGAGAGAGGCCATGGAGGACTCAGGACTTTCTGAGTGGGCTCTTGGTTAAAAAAAATAAAATGTTTCTGTGTCATGGTTTTTTCAGATGAATAATGAATGGGTCTCATGAAAATGATCACATCTGATTATCAAAGACTACTTTTTAAAATGCAAGTCTATTTTCTCATAGAATTCTTATTGTTTTTCCTGAAGAAAAAAGAAACTCGGTCATTCTATCCCTTTGACCAGCAAAGCCAGCCCATGGTTTTAATCACCATTCTTTATTCACTGCAAGTCCCTTGGTAGCTCTGTTTGGAACTATTTTTGTCAAGGTTCTAACACCACTCATTTCTGGATTGTTTGTTTTCTCTTCCATCTATTTGAGACAGGTGAAAAGCTTCCATAACTGAGGAAAGCAATAAGGCTAATTGCAGGGATGTGACTGGGTTTGTGAGTAAAAAAGTCTAAGTAGCCCAATGGTTGCTTCAGTTGCCTTCTTATCTCAGTTCTCTTGAGCATTATTATCACTCTCAGCTTCATACGTTGCCCCCGAATCTCTAATGAGCATCCTTCTCTCTACAAACTTCAGTCACACGGTTCGTTAGAAAAGTAAGATCAAGGCCACACTGGGATTCCTACATGAGCCAGCTATGGTCACTCATCTCTAGCCTGTCACAGACACTGGTCACTCAGCACAGACAGATGATTAGCTCAAGAGCCAGGCAGCCAAAGCATTGTTTTTGCCTCAAAGTAGCTGAAATGTTTTTATTGAACTCGGTGGTGTTTTGTTCAAATTGGTCAAGAATGAATTTGAGTAGCTTCAGCCTTGACTTTTCGAACTAGGTTTCTGTTTATTATCCTTAGACACCACATCTCATCAAAGTGAAAGGCAAAAAAAAAATTGTACCTTATTTTTGGATGCTAATTATTTTCAATATGATTCTATTCAGTCACCACTCATCTTATTTCCCCTAACTAACTGTCTCAGATCTGTTCCTTGGTTTCATCACCTCTTCCCTACCTGAGAGGAAACTCAGGGTTCTTGGGATTCAAGGGAGCTGTTCACAAAACTGACTCACAAATGAACCAGTGGTGTCCTACCTGAGCTCATTCTCCACCCTGAATCCTTTCCTTCGAGCCAGCTCCATGAGGAAGGCTCTGCGGGTGGTTCCCATTTTCTTCTCCAAAATGAAGAGGACCAAATCTCGGAACTTGATGTCCTGAGGAGGAGAAGCCATCAAGGCACCCATCTGCCTGGGTCTCTTCTTCCGAGGGCCCAAGTGGGCCATTCTCAGTGAGTCCATGGGAAGGAGGCTGCTGCTGCTCCAGCTGTGTCAGAAGGTGGTGTCTCCAGCAGGAGGAAGAGCCTACCCCTCCTTCAGAAGAATCTGATGTCATCTCACCAGCAGGCTCTGAAGCCAGGGCAAGGTTCCTGGGCCCCTCCCTGGTGATATTCTTCCTGCCGAAGAGTGATGGAAAATTCTGCCTCCCTTCAGCGCATTGTCCAATGTAGAGATCATAACAGAAACAGGAATTAATTTTTGCTTTCCTATGCTATGTATAATCACATCAGATCTTATGAGAAGGGTAGGGAAATATCATTTTCCAATTTTATTTACTTATTTGTTTGTTTGTTTATGTGTTGAGACCCCTCTTGTCTTTATTTTTTATTTCTTTTTATCTCCCAACTTGCTTGCATTCTCTTCCTTTCATAGACAATCATTGCAATACATGGGATCTATAGAATTCACAAGGCTGTTATAATACATTATATGTGGTTGTTTTGATTTCATATAAATGGCATTGTTATATCTCTCATTCTGCTGATCCCTTATTTCACTCAAAGCTAAGCTTTTGGCCAGGCTGGTGTTGCTCAGTGGATTGAGCGTCGACCCATGCACCAAGAGGTCACCAGTTTCATTACCAGTCAGGGCACATGCCTCGGTTGCAGACTCAGTCCCCAGTAGGGGATGTGCAGGACACAGCTGATTGATGTCCTCTCACACTGATGTTTCTACCTCTCTCCCTCTTCCCTTTTCTCTCTCTGAAATCAATAAACATATTAAAAACAAACTATGTTTTCAGATCCATTCATGTTGTTCTGTGTTCTAATCATTGTTTATAATTGCTCCATAGTATTTCATGGTGGGCATTTTAACTATGTTTATGCATTTTATAAGTGGGGGGAAAAAGAAAAACAAACAAACAAACAAGATTCAAACAATTTGCTCAAGATCACAGAGTAGGTGGCAGAACCAGATCTTGAATTGGGTCTTCAGACTTCACATGCTATATACTTCAGATTTTTCAGTGGACTAAAAGCTTGTCTGGAGAATAGCCTATTATAGCCCCCCCCCCCCAAGTGGATCTTTTGGGATGATTTTTTAATGATATTTACTGCCATAAAGAGATGTTTTCATAACTTTATGTGCAGATGAAATTAACATCTTTCATTGATACACCTGAGAGAACTCATTTCCTGAGCATCTCTGTGTGGCAAAGGCCAGTACTGACAAACCTCAGCTGATTGAATCCACACACCTGTCGGGTTAGTACTCACATTCCCATTGGGCTGAACAACCAGCTCAGAGTTACAGAGCGAGGAAATGGTATCATATAGGAAATGTTACAGAAGGGGTTCACATGTCTAGTGAGGACTTTTAAGGTAGCTCTGTGGTTCCGATATGCTATGACTGCTTGCTAATGATTAAAACCTGGGGATGAGTCCATTCTGGCCCTCACTGTTCCTTAGGCCTTTGGTTACTGATGCTAAACGCTTCACAGGAGAAGATAGGATGAACATACCTGCCCGGCCCACTGTGGGTCCAGATTCTGCCCTACCAAATGGCCCTGCATCATGGAGCAAGCAGAAGATTCTGGCAAGAGCTGGGGTTGTTGTGTTCATTCCCACGGTGTGGCCAGAGGAAGAACCTGTGTGCCACCTAAATGGCCAATGGGATGAAGACCTAACACAGAGAGATGACTAAGAGCTCGGGCTCTGACATCTGGCTGTGGGTACAAATCTCACCTCCTTCGCCTGCTGAGCTGAGTTTTAGGCACAGAGGAAGCACTTTAAATTAACATTAGTTGGTAGTGATCTGATATTTTGTATTTAAAGAAGTCCCAGTTTGATCTGAAATCACGTCTCTATGTATTATAAAATTATAAGTCATCAAAATGTCATGCCAGTCAATGTCTTACTTAATTTGCTTTGAATCCTGCTATTGAAAATATTTCCCACAAAAATTTAAAACGTGATGATGATGTTTCTCTGGTTATGAGGCTCTTGATTGTCTCTTAGCTCCAGCTCTACCTTTCTCCTACGCTCTGCCTGTAGGGGGCACTAGAGGGAGCCTGCTAGGCTGGAGAGAGGAGGACTTGATCACCTATTGATGATATTGTCAGGGTCTTTTCAGTTCATGGTTCATTTCTCTGACAGGAGCAGCTGGTTCCATGCTCTAGCTTTTCTTTTTCTTTTTTTTAAACCTCCCTAGCTGGTTTGGCTCAGTGTATGGGAGCATCAGCTGCGGACTTACTGGTCCCGGGTTTGATTCCGATCAAGGGCACATAACTGGCTTGCGGGCTTGATTCCCAGTGGGGGGCATACTGGAGGCAGCTGATTAATGATTCTCTCTCATCATTGATGTTTCTATCTCTCTCTCTCTCCTTTTCTCTCTGAAATCAATGAAAACATATTTTAAAAAAAGATAGGATGAACATACCTGCCTGGCCCACTGTGGGTCCAGAGTCTGCCCTCTCCTTCACCCATACATTGGCAGATACACCCAGTGCTCTTGCCTTGGGTGGGTGATGATAGCCACCAGGAACCGAGAGCACACCTGGTCCCGGCTGCTCTTCTTAGCTCAATGTTGACTTGTTTTCCTATTTGGGGCAACATTTGGTATTCACATGACGATTTTAGAGAGCTTTATGGAGTATGTGTGTGGGGCAGGGAGGAAGGGAGAGGTTCACTGGAGAAGTGGGCCTCTTCCCATTCACACACACTGCTTTATCCTTGGGAGTCCTGCTGTCCTGTGGACACGCATTGGGAGAAGTCCGTTTGAGAGAGAAAACGTCTGCTTCCGGCAGCTTGCTTTTCTTTTATATGAAATAATGCGTATCCTCTATGTATTTCAAGCTGTGCATCTGGGACCTTTGCCATCCTTGACTGTGCGGGCAGAGTCTGGTTTGGTTTGGTTTTTTCACTGAGCACCAGCTTCCTCTGCTGCCTGAGCAGCTGTGTTTGGTTCTTGGCAGCAAGTGCCTTCTGCAGCTCGGAGTTGCCTCCTTGGGAAAACTGGTAGTTTCTTTTTATGCATACACACTAGGGTAGTTGTTCTATTTTATTTAAAAACATTTTTTTCCAATTACAGTTGATATTCAGTATTATATTAGTTTCAGGTGTACAGCACAGTGGTTTGGTATTTACATACTTTAGGAAGTGACTCCCCTAAGAGTCTAGTACCCTCCTGACACCACACGGTTATTACAATGTGATGGACTATATTCCCTGTGCTATGCTGTGCATTCCCGTGACTGTTCTATAACTACCAATTTGTACTTTCCTGAGTCCCTTCACCTTTTTCACCCAGCCCCCTCCCCTTCTGGCAACCGTCTGTTTGTTCTCTGTATCTATGAGTTTGTTTTTGGTTTGCTTTGATTTTCAGATTCCACATATAAGTGAAATCATATGGTATTTATCTTTCTGTCTGGCTTGTTTCACTTAGCAGAATACCCTCTAGGTCCATCCATGCTGTTGCCAATGGTAAGATTTCATTCTTTTTTGGGGGGTGGAGGTGGAAGAGGGGGTTGAGTAACATTCCATTGTAGATATGTCTAAAAAAAATCTTTAAATTGTTCCTTTTGCCATTGAGAAGGAATCTGTAGCTATATAGCCTCGATGCTAATAAATATAAGAAAATTCTATATTTTAGTGGTACCTTGGGGTTTCACCTTCGTCCACAAGGTGAAAAATGATAGCAAGAGTGAGGGAATTGATGGAAGTGGCAACTTGTATGTGACTTCTGGTCTTCATTCAAAAGGATTTCGTAAACTCCAGCTATCACACGATGGCAGGTGAAAGCGTGAGATCCAGGCATGGACGTGAGAAAGGGAAGATACCTCAAGGAAGCATTTGGAAATTTTAATAGGAGAGCTGGAATTTTACTTGCAATGAATCAGGAGCTGCTGTGGGTGATACAGCAAAGGCAGGATGTGATAAAATGGTGCCATAGTAAAATTATCCAGATGGTAATGAATGAGATGAATCAGAGGAGGGAGAGAGAGAAGGGAAGACATTAAGAGACAATTGTAATAGTCTGGGCATGGAGTCATAAAAGACTGAACAGAGCCTGCAGTGAGAGTGACAGGCCCTGATGACTGTGATGCTGGCTATTGGTTGGAGGGATTAGGGGTCAGCAATGACTCCTGGGTACCTGGGAGGAAGTCCTCCAGTTCTCAGGTGATTTTAAATCTCTATCTTCAACCCATTCCTCTCTCTTGAGTGCCAGCCCATTCAGGTTCCCCTCACTCAAAATGCCTAAAACAGAACTCCTTCTCCTCCCTCCCCAAACTGCTCTTCTCCTCTCTCCCAGACCCTTCCACTGAGTGGCGTTTCCTGGTAACTGGGAACAACATCTCTGTCCCCTCTGGACTATGAGCCAGAATTAAGCACAAGGGTCGAACAGGTGGCGGGGAGCGTTTGAAGGTTGGAAAGTTCCGGAATATTTAACCTTTGATTTTTTTTATTAGCTGGGCAAACTGGACCAACACACCACTGCAATCTGTGTCACGTGATCAGCTTTGTTATTGGTAAACTGGCTGGATTGTTTAGTCCTACCTTATTGTTTAGGATACATAGCATTTCATTGAAAAGACATAACCACATGACGATGATGAAATAGCAATAATGCTCGTCTGTAAAGATGTTAGGCTTCATGAAGCGCTTTAACATTTGCTCTTACTTTCCCCTTCAGAGCGCCCTGGAGGTTGTTTAACTCCTCACACTCTCCTGCTAGGGAATTTGGAGGAGAGAAGCAGGAATGGTGCTTGCAGGGGAGGGCGTCTGTCCAGGGCCAGGAGGGAGGGGCCAGGTCTCCAGAGAACCCAAAGCCTGACTTGGCCCTGGGAAGCCACTGACAGCCTCTGAGCAGGACAGAGGCCAGAGAAAGTCTTTCTGGCAGTAACATGAAGACTAGTCTTGAAGGGGGGAACCTCAGATCCACACTCTAGTTGGAAGCCAATGGCCATAGGCCAGGAAAGAGCGGAAAGAAGCCTGAACTGGGCTTCATCCATTCATTCACTC